TGCGGTTGTGGTGGTTTACCTGGTTGTTGTGAACCACCTGGTGATTGTGGTTGTGGTGGTTTAGCTGGTTGTTGTGGAGTACCTGGAGTTTGAGGTTGTTGCGGTTTATCGGTTTGTTGCTGTCCACTTGGTGCTTCAGGTTGAGATGGTGATTTATTTGCTTCTTTTGAATCACCAGCTTGTGGTTGAGAAGGTGTTGATGGTGCTTGTTTTTCATTAGTATCTGATTGATCGAAATCAAAAGTAAAAAAAATCTTATATATTAAATTGATATAGATATTTATAGATTAATTTTTTGTTTTTGAATATCGAACAGATCACGTATATATGATATGTATATGCACTCGTTTAGAAAAAAAATGTGTTTCTCATTTCTTTAGATATTTTCTTCCTAATATTAGAAAGCTCGATAGACTACACTCATATCTATTTTGTATAATATACCTTGTGCAGCTGGTGGTGTTTGATCTTTAGCATCCTTTTCATTGTCTTTATTTGTAATTGTCTTGAAAAAGCCAGGTAGAAGAAAGTGTGAATTATGAGCATCGTCTGAAGATGTAACGACAGCTCGTACAATAGAATTAACTTTATCAGCATCCAATGGTTTTGTACCATTCTAAATTGAAAATATTTAATGATAGAAAAAAATGAAATAAATAAACTGTTTATACTTCAGTAAGAAATTTATATGCCATCAAAGCATAAGGACGACTTAGTTCCATTTTTTGAAAGAGTTGTTCAAAGGCTGCTGGTGGAATTGTAGCTGTTCCATTATCACCATCCTTTGTTGAATATAATTCAAATCCAGTATTAACTAAATCTTGTACTATATCTGGTATTTTACCATTTTTAATAATATAATCAATAAGACTAGCCCATGTATCAAGAAATTGTTCTAAAGTAAGTTTATCACGATTACCATCTGCTGATGGAACTTGATCATGAATATGTTCCCAAAGAGCTCGTGCAGCTCGACTTAATCGGTTTTCTAAATCACCTTCATTTGCACCTTCTTTTCCTGCAGCTGTTACATGAAACTATTGAAAATAACAAAAATATAATTAAAAAAAAAACAATTAAAAATTTTTGTTTTTGATATCTTTTCTTACCAATAAATAAAATTCAGCTTCATCCCAAGTTATAACTTTGTTGTTTTTAATGTCTAAAATAAAATAAAAAAAGTTTATTCATTTTCTTAACGAGTCAGTATTTAACGATTAACTTTACTGAATATTAATCTGATGTAAAATAAAACAACATACCTAAATTAACATGGAAAAAGTATTCAGCTTTCTTTCGTTGAAAATCAGTCAGATTTTTTGCACTGTCTTTCACTATGGGAAAGTCAACATTATTTGGTTTTGATTCATCTTTTTTAGCTTCATTAGTTGATGTTGTTGATGTACTCGTAGTTTCAGCCGATTTTTTATTCTCATCTGCAGCTGGTCCTGAAGCAGCTAATGCTGGTTCTTCTGATTTCTTATCATCAGCAGTAGATGAAGTTGTAGAGGCTGATTCTTTCTTCTCTTCCGTAGTAGTAGTAGTTGCTGCTTTTTCTTCTGGTTTCTGATCGGCATTAGTAGCTGAAGTAGAGGACGTTGAATCTTTTGCTTCTTCCTTTTTCTCTTCAGTGGTAGTAGTAGTTGCTGCTTTTTCTTCTGGTTTCTGATCGGCATTAGTAGCTGAAGTAGAGGACGTTGAATCTTTTGCTTCTTCCTTTTTCTCTTCAGTGGTAGTAGTAGTAGTTGCTGCTTTTTCTTCTGGTTTTTGATCTGCAGCAGTAGCTGGAGTGGAAGAAGTTGAATCTTTTGCTTCTTCCTTTTTTTCTTCGGATTCAGATTTTTTTTCAGTAGCTGGTGTGGAAGAAGTTGCATCAGTAGTTGTAACAGTTTCTACTGTTGTTGTTATTGTTGTGTCTTCAGATTTCTTGGCTTCATCCGTAGATGGAGTTGCAGAAGTCGATGCAGAAGCTTCTGCTTTCTTATCATCTGTAGTCGTTTCAGATTTTGTTGTTGTTTCATCTTTAGCTTTATTTTCTTCAGCAGCTGGAGTGCTAGAAGCTAAAGTAGGTTCCGATTCTTTTTTCTGTTCGGCTGAAGTGTCAGTTGATGCTGCTGTTGATTCTTCAGTTTTCTTAGTCTCATCCGTAGCTTTAGTAGATGCTTCGTCTTTCTTTGCTTCGCTAGATGCATCTGTTGATGGTGCTGCTGCTGCTGCTGCTGTTTCTTCGGTCGTTGACGCAGAAGAACTTACTGTAGTTTCAGTTTCTTTGACTTCTTCAATAATAGGAGTATCTGCTGGTTTTTCAGTCTTTTTCTCCGTTTCTGCAGCAGGTTCTTCAACAATTGGTGTTGCTGTTGGAGGTGCTTGTTCAGTAGTAGGTTTTTTCGATACTGTTGTTGGATCGGAAACATCTTCTATTGTTGTTGTTGTTGTTGTTGTTGATGGTGGTGGTAATGCATCATCTTTTTTTTCTGATTTTTTATCTGCAGAAGCAGCTGTTTCAACTTTAATTGTTACTTTCACTGGATCGTTAATTGTAATTGATCTTGTTGATGTTTCTTTGTTTCCAGCATCTGTTGAATTACTGCTGTTTTCTGTTGTTGTTTGATTCTGTCCTTTACCATTATTATTAGCTTCTTCTACTGTTATTGTTACTTTTACTGGATCAGTAATAGTAATTGATTGTTGTGATGGTGATGTATCACTTTTTCCAACTTTTGTTAAATCATTAAGATTTCCTGTTCCCTCCGCTAAATTTTTATTATCATCACTAACATTTGTGGTCGTGGCCATTTTTCGGTCGAATAATATCGAATATGTTTATTTTATTTTTTACTATTGCTTTGCCTATTTTTCTATATTACTGGCCGTCGTAAACACATATACACAGGTGTGCAGTAAGCGAATAGATAGATATATATGCAATATAGATGCAGAATAAATATTAGAATGGTGACGTATCAGAAGAAAATACTCACCTTCATATTTTACATAAATATATATATCCACCAGTGTAAAAAACAGAGCTGCCGTTACATGCATTTGTATTTATGTTACGCTTCATTACTTTTCTTCGTTTTTTTTTCCATTCCTTCATTCGTTCTTCGGTGAGACAAACAAACATTTATTAACTCAAGGTCGCTTGTCATCAAATATTTTGTTTTTTAAGTTTAGATATATATATGTAAAAAAACCACTGATATAATATATAGATAAATAATATATGTATATATATACATATAGAAAATAAAAAATGATTCTCATCATTATCATTTCATAATATACATATGGTTACAGAGTAAAGTACCGTGGATAATTACTCTCGTCTTCTATGTATTAATGAATTCTAAAGCTTTGATTAGACCACAACAACAAAAAAGAAAATGACTAAAAATTTTTTTTATTTTTCAATATTTTGTTTTTACAAAAAATTTCCATAAATAATTGCAAAAAAATATAGCAAACGTATTATTAATTGTATGTAGATTAAACATAGAATCGATATAGTTTTTTTAAAAATATTTTTGTTAATTATACGCAAGAATATTGTTTTTCAATATAATGAAAATATTTTACTATAAAGTTATTATATATCAGTAACGTACCTATCAATATAATAAGAATTTAAACTATTACATAAATATTATACATACACATAAGAACAAAATTCATTACGAATCATTTTCTTTGTTTGAATCAATTAGCATTATATTACACTGATGGACATTAATAAGAAAAAATGAACTAAATCGATTCACTTTTTTTCTTAACTGATGTACTTTTTTTTGTCCTTGATTCTGATTGATGACATACGAAAAAAATATTACTTTGGACGTCTTTATAAAACGAATTTAGTTATAATATTTTTTTTCTCTTTATTTGATTTGATCAATATATCCAGTGAAAAGTAAATTAACACGATAAAATAATAAATTTTAAATTTTTGTAAAATCGTACATGATAATATCGAAATCTTTAATTAAAAAATATATATAGAATATAGTATATGATAAAAAAAATAAAGAAATTTAAATATTTTATTTACATTAAAAAAGAAATTATTATTAAATTCAACGGTGATTTATATATCTTGATTTATAAGAGCTGTACTATTACTATTGCGACGATGTGCAAATAAACGAGTAGGTAATGAACTAATACGAGATAGAACAGATGTAGTAGGATGAATTTCATTAGTTTTATCATCACCCTTGAATTAGAAAAAAAGAATAAATGAAAAAAAAAACGTAATTTATTAACAAACTTCATCTTCATTCATATCAGTAATTGTTGGAAGACGAGAAACTTGATTTATTTGTTGATCAAGACCAATGACAGTTGAATGACGTCGTGAAACAGGCCTTGGAATAACAAAAATAGGTGTTGGTATAGGATTTGATTTAGTTACACCTAATTCTCTAATTAATGCTGATGATGGTCTTCGTTGATCGAGTGTTGGTGGTGGTGATGGTACAGTAAATGTTACTTGTGTATGTTGTTTTTCAACTTCATGAACAGTTTCAGGTAGTTTACATGGTGAATGTATATGTGGTAATTGTGAAGCAGCTAATGCAGCTAAACATGATGCTAATGAATAGACAATATATGGTAATGGAAACCAAACAGAATATTGAGTAGCTGAAAGTTGTGGTCCAATCATTGCAACAAGACGTGCAATACATGCTGATAAACCAACACCTGTAGAACGAAGAGCTGTTGGATATGTTTCAGTTGTATAAACAACAATTAATAATTGACATGATGATGCTGTTAATTTACCTAATAAAGCAAGTGCAACACTTACTAAATAATAGATAAAAATAGATTTATTCGATTGATAATTTAGAAAGAAAAATACCATTATGCTGTGTATCATGAGTAAATGGTACAAGAGCTGATGCAAGTGCAGTTGCAATAAAAAATACAATTAAAAGACGACGTCGTTCAATATATGATGCAAGTATATGACATACACTAAGACCGATCATTTCACTAATAGCACCAGCTATAAATAATTCATGAGGCCATGGTGTAAGTGCAGGTATTGCACTACTAATACCTTGACAATAAAATAGAAGATGTCTTTTTATATCGATTACATTTTAAAACATAACATGACGTTTCTATTTAATTCCTAAGGTTATTCAAATGATTAAAATAATTTCTATGTAAAAAAAATATTTCATAATGAGACTCGATCTATTATACTATTAAATGTGTATAGCCAAGAATTGATAAATATGTTTGATAATGACGAGAAAAAGAACGCATTAATTTTACTGAGATTTTATCAGGTAAACCTACATTGAATATGTCTAACATGTCTCATGAAAATCATATTTAGTTTTTTTTCTTCAATATGCTTATACAGACAAGATAGATTGAAAAAAAAGTACCTTGACTGTCTCACTAATCGTATATGACTGTAACAGGCTGGCATATTTCTCAACGATATATTTAGAGTTGTTTTTATTGAAAAAGAAAGTTTGTAATCTATGATGATTCATTAAATGAAAACTACTTTATAAACCAAGGTTTTATTATTTATTGACCGTGAAGGATATGCTTATTCATGGTAATTTATAAACAAAATATTTTGTAAATTTTTATCTAAATATGATAGATTCAATTGTAACTAAGTGCATACCTAAATAAACAGAAAGAGCCACTGCCCAAACACCAATAAGAAGTAAACATCTTTTTCTCATTAATTTTGATCGACAAAGTCGTTTTAATACATTGAAATAAGTTGGCATTTTTTGATTTGCTTCTCTAGCAGCAACAACATCAGTTGGTAAACGAGAATAAAATAATTCTAATCGATTATGTATAGGTCGACGATTGATAAGAAAGATTCTTTCAAGAACTTTTCTTGCTTCTCGAATACGACCTTGTTGAACAAGCCATCGTGGTGATTCTGGTATAAGAAGATAAATACAAGTAAATGGTAAAACATATATATTTAATGCCCAATATGTTAATTTATAATCCTTAAATTGTTTAGCTATAACAGCTAAAATAATTTGACCGAGAGCAAATGAATATGCAAGTGTATTTGCAGCTAGAACACGTCGACGTGGTCCAGTTAATTCAGAAAGAAGAACAAGTGAAACGGAATGAAATGTTATTGCAAATCCTTGAAAAAATCGACAAATTGTAAAAACAAGAAGTTTATGTGTTGGTGAATAGAAAAATAATTGCATTGTATTTAATGCAATAAATAAGATAATAACAAGTAAATAAATTGTTTTTCGACGACCCCATCGATCAGATAAAAGACCTGTTAATAGCGATCCAGCTGCACCTGCTGAATAAACATTTTGTGTTAATGCTCGTAAATGAAATTTATCACAAACAAGTGATAATTCAGTTGAAAGTGTTACACCATATTTTTTCATATCAAATACCCAACCATTATCACATGATTTTCTTTTTAATGAAGAATTATCAATAAACATTCGACATTTTTTATCATAATCTGTATTTGATGATGATGTTAAATATTTAAGAAGTCGATCATGTTTTGTATCATATGTATCATTCGTTGATAGACGACAACGATGATCAGGTGTACCAACATTAAGATCATATGAAAAACCAACCATTGATGGAACAACAGCAAGAAGACCAAGAATAAGAAAAACGGATATTTGATAAACACCAAAAGAACCTGAATAAAACGAAAGAAATTAATCAATCGAATCTTTCTTTTTAAATGAGAATATACCTGCATCTGATAATGATTTTTCAATAGTTGTTGTAATAACGGGTGCAGGTTTAGCTGGATCATATGCAGCAAAATAGGGAGATATTGAAAAGCGTGGTGCAGTATGAATAGGCATTTTTTTCATTATATTTTTAACAATTCGGGTATTTAAATAGATTATATCTCATATATAGTCTTTGCACGTTTTTGTATGTATAAGTAGTTAAATCGAGGTATCGTACTTTTTCGTTTCGTGATAACAAATGTGTATGTATGTGAGAGAGAGAGAGATGAATATTCTTTCTTGTTCTCTATATAAATTCTGGATGAATATATATCTAGTCACTTTCACTTTTTTAACTATCGACTGAACTGTAGACATAATAATGATACGAAATAGAATATGTTTGATATTTATATTATTTTTAATGATTGTTGGACAATCACTATCTAATGATATATATAGTCGAAGAGGTAAGAATGATTTTAAAATATTTGAAAATTTATTTTAAAAAAATTTTTTTTTTCAAGGTAGTTCTGCATTGAACCGTAAAAAACAAAAACAAGATGATGTTGAAAGAGAAAAACATGAATTCGTAGATGATGAATATTCACCACCATCGACACATCAACATGATCGATATTCTCCATACGGTGAAACAAAACATAATTATCGATCACGATCACGTTGGCCATTATCTTATGAAGATTCTGATGATTCATATGATTCACGTGATTCACATAATTTACGTGATTCACATGATTTACGTGAATGGTCACGATATGAACATAGACACAAGTAAATTCAAAAACCAAATTTTCTCCACATTCTTAATTATTTTTATTGTAGTAATCATTTATCACCTGCTATTTTTGATCATGGACCAACTTGTCATTCATTACTTGATCCACAATATCCACTTTTCTCAGATGTTTGTGGTGCTGTACCACAAGCTCGATATTCTTTACCAAATCTTTTCGGTCATGTTGAACGTTGGCAAATAGCTCAAGTTTTATCTACTATACTTGATCCAACAACATTAGCATCATCAGCTCCAAATTGTCCTCGTGCTTTACGTCTTTTACTTTGTCCATTATTATTTCCCCCATGTCCAACACGATATGAAACTCCACCAATTCTTCCATGTCAACCATTTTGTCGAGGTTTGTTCTTTTTTTCTGTATAAAATATTCTCTCATTTAAATCGAATTCTTTATTTAGTTATTAAAAATCAATGTGCCGCACCTGCACTTGATCTTTTACCATGTGAATTACTTCCACCTTCATCTGATCTTTGTCCAGGTATATATTTTTATTGAAATCTATCTTAACTATCTATTTACATTTAATATTTTTTTTCATCTTTAGTTAATCCTGCACCTTACAGTTCACTTTTATCATCATTTGGTCAAACATGTTAGTCTTCAAATGATACATTTATATTCAAATGTATTTATTCTTTTTTTTTGTTTCTAGCACCATTTAATGGTGGTCTACCACAAGGTGCTCTTCAATCTTTATTAGCACAATCAGCATTATCACAATTTGAAGGATCTCAATCACCTTTTTCATCATTATTTGCACAAACAGGACTATCGCAATTTGATGCACCTCCATCACCTTTTTCGTCATTATTTTCACAATCAGGACCATCACAATTTGATGGACCTTCATCACCTTTTTCATCATTATTCTCGCCATCAGGCTATCCATCAGGACCAACACCATCAGGTTACCCATCAGGTTTTCCATCAGGTCCAATACCATCACGTATTCCTTCACCTGGATTTTCTTCATTATTATCTACATCTGGTTTACCATCATTGTCTTCTTTTAATCCTCGTTTTAATATGGAATCTGTTATGAGTGAAAGTTTAAAACCAATTCTTGTCGATTTTCCACCACTACCAATTACTCCAGAGTTCCGAAAAATGCCACGATACTTTCCATCATTACGTTCAGCAACTGAAAAAGTTTAGTTTTATTATTATTTCGTTATCGTTTGTTTTTTTTTATACAACTTCTATTCATTTTATTTTACAAAAAAAAACGAAATAGAACCGGTGATTGATTGTTTTAGTCATATGGATTGTTTTTATTTTTCTTATTTTAATCTAAATCAAAATTGTCAAACAAAGAAAGAACAAGAGAAAAGATGGAGGTGGGGTATGAGAAATAAAACAGATGAATAAATGAAAATGGCGTGATATTTTTTCATCAGTCGTGTCTTATATAATACGAATGAATTGTAGAAAAAATTATTCGATTTAATAAAAATATTTAAAACGAAAATGTTTAAATTAATTGCTATCATTGCTCTTCTTGGTAAGTATATTATTCGATAAATTCTCATTGAAATAATAAAAATATATTATCATAGTTGTTGCATCTCATGCTGGTAAAGTAACAATCCATTCAAGTGGTGCATATGTTGCTCGATGTACCTGTGATGTAAGAGATGCTTATGGTACAATAAAATTAGCAAGTGGAAATATTTATGCAGGTCAAACACGTGACATACAAATTCCAGATAATGTTGAATGGATGAATATTCGTTGTGAAAATCAACGTCTTGTTGGTAAATGGCATGAAGTCTTTACACAAGAATCGAATGGTCCTCGATCACTTTGTTATAGTATTGGTGGTACTACTTTCCACCCAAATCATTCCGCTAAATTTTGTTAATTTAACATTCTCAAATAAATATTTACTTTTTGTTTTTACTGTTAAGTAAAAACAAATAGAATTGATTTTATTTTATTGTTTTATAAATACGAGAAAATAATCCTTTCATTTAGAAACAATATTCAATTTTATTATTGTAATATTATCAGATATGTTTATAAATGAAATCAATTAAATTTGACGTTTTTTTGTCTTATGAAAATGTTGGTATAACGAAATATATAAAGAAGGTTCATGAGATAAGACATGATGTTAAATGAAATATGAGAAGAAGAGAGTTAATTAACTACGATAGAGAAAAAAGTTAATGAAGTATAGAATAAAATATTTGATACTGATGAAAATATGAACTGTTCATTCATTTTATACGTAAAAAAAAGTAATCGTGTATTTGAATGTTATTCGTTATAAGATAGACTTTTATATAGTCAGAGATGATCAGAAAAATAATTAATATCTGATATCTTACATTTATTTTTTTTTCATTCGATTATGACTCTTGAATGGATAAAGAGATCGTTTTTTTTTAAATGAATCTTTGTATAATTTTTCAAGATTTAATTAATTTTATTTGTTTCATAACTGTATTCTATCTTGTATATTTATTCTACTGATAAAATACAACGTTTATCAAAAGAAAACTGGTCTGTATTAACTCTTTTATATAGAATATTTACTTACTTTTTTTTATATTAAAGCTTGAAAATCTTTTTATTTAGAAAAAAAAGATACTAGAAGACACCTTACACAATCTTGTAAATATTGTTTTATCTAGTAGCCCTAGATTGTGATAAAAACAGCTGCATATCATTTGTAAAGAATCATTTTGAGGTAATACTACCTTGTAATAACAATGGTGGTGTTATTTAGTATTTTATGGGTGTCTGTATTACTTACAGCAACTACTGGTGTTAGTTTATTGCCTGATCCATCAACCATAGTCTATGAAGGTCAAGCTCGATTTACTGTTTTATCAACACGTCTTATTCGTCTTGAATGGTCAGCAACAAAAGAATTTATTGATGGTAAAACATGGCTTGTTCAATCGCGTGATATTCAACCGACTCCACCTGCATTCAATGTCACACGAAATGATACTCATCTAAAAATTGAAACAACATATATTACATTAGAATATCTACGAAATGCTGCAACAACATTTAGTCAACATAATATTCGTGTTACTATTCGAGTCAATATTGCTAAAGGAGAGACAGTTATTTGGAATGCTATACCTAATGAAGAATATGATGGTAATCTTCTTGGTACAATACGAACATTAGATGGAGATGCAGATTCAAAATTAGCATTAGACTGTCGAAATCAACCTCGTAATGATCTTCATTGTACTTATGGTGTTATATCACGTCGAGGTTATGCTCTCGTTGATGATACACATCAACCTCAAATAGATAATGACCCAAAATGGCCATGGATTATCAATAAACAATATTCACCACCAGCTTCATCTCTTTGTCAAGCCGTATCAGTTAATGAACGTCGAACTTGTGGTCCATCAAACAAAACTAATCAACATGATTGTGAACTTCGTGGATGTTGCTTTCAAAGTCCATCATCCTGTTTTTATTCATCACAAGCACAACAAGATTTATATTTATTTGGTCATGGACGAGCTTATTCTCAAGCTTTATATGAATTTACACGTCTTGGTGGATCAATTCCACTTCCACCTCGTTATATATTTGGAGTTTTTTTTAGTCGTTATTGGGCTTATGCTGAATATGAAGAAAGACAAATTGTTACAGAATATATTCAACATGATGTTCCATTAGATGTACTTGTTACTGATATGGATTGGCATATTACATTTTATAAACAAGATTCAGAAGGTAAAAAAGATCAAGCTGGACAAGATATTGGATGGTCAGGATTTACATTTGATGAGCATTTATATCCAAGTCATCAAAAATTTCTTCAATGGTGTAAACAATTAGGTTTGAAAAATACCTTAAACGTTCATCCTGCATCAGGTAATTTACAAATTTAATTTTCCTATCAAATAAATGATATACTATTTCATATATAGGTATTCAACCATGGGAAGAGAAATATAAAGAAATGGCTGTAGCTATGGGTATTGATCCTTCAACAAGTCATTATGTACCATTTAATATTACTGATAAACATTTTACTTCAGCATGGACTAGTATTGTTCTAAATGCACTTCAAGATGCTGGTATTGATCTATGGTGGTTAGATTGGCAACAAGGTGAAGAAGGTTGGATGAATGATATACCTTATACAAATCCAACATTTTGGCTTAATCATGTTTTTTTTACTGATCCATATTTTAAGGAAAACCGTCCAGCGCTTCTACATCGATGGGGTGGTCTTGGTAATCATCGTTATCAAGTTGGTTTTTCTGGTGACGTTATCCCATCATGGGATACACTTTCATATCAACCACATTTTACAGCAACAGCAGCTAATGTTGGTTATGGATTTTGGAGTCATGATCTTGGTGGACATACTCGAGAGCCAGATCCAGAATTATATACTCGATGGCTTCAATGGGGTGCATTTTCACCTATGTTTCGAACACATTGTACAAAAGATGCAAATAATGATCGACGACTTTGGACATATCCTTGGACTTATCAAAATAATTTAGCTCGATTTACTCGACTTCGTCAAGCACTTATACCATATCTTTATACAGCTGCAAGACGTACATATGATTCAGGTCTATCTGTTGTTCTTCCTGTTTATTATTATTATCCAGAAAATGATGAAGCTTATTCATATTCAAATCAATATTTCTTTGGTTCAAATATTCTTGTTTCACCTATTAGTCAACCAGTGAATCAAAGTACTGGTCTTGTTGAAAATTGGCCTATGTGGTTTCCACCTGATTTTCAATGGGTTAATTTCTTTACTGGTGATCTTCCTTCTTCTTCTTCAACAAAGCAATCTTTTACAATTGATGAAATGCCAGTCTATGCTCAAATTGGTTCGATCATTCCACTTTTACCTGAACCACGATCAAGTCGCGAGCGAATTGGTCGTGCTCAACAAATACCAGAAACACTTCTTTTATATACACTTATTGGTGGATCACCAAAAGGAAGAGGACATGTTTATGATGATGATGGAACAACAATAGCATATAAAGACTCTACTAATATAACAACTGCTGTAACTCGTTTTGATTATACAGTTTCAGGCAATACATTACAATTTAGTAAGTTTACTTCATAAATAATCAAACTTGACATTCATTATTTCTTTATGTTTTTTTTCAGATATAGCTGCAGCAATTGGTTCATTTCCAAAATTCCCTTCATCACGATCATATGAAATTCAACTTCGAGGTGTATTTCCTGCAACAAGTGTTTCGATCAATAATACTTTTCTTCCTTTTGAACCATTTAATGAATTAATCAATGGTCAAGATGGAACAACAAATGGTTATACCTATGATGGATCAACACTTTCAATTATTATCTATATTCGACAACCTGTATCAACATCACAAACACTTCAAATTCAAGTTCAACTATCAGATAGTATATCACATCCATATCTTGTTCAAGTTCCAACATCTTTTGTTGGTCTTCTTGCTCGATGTCAATCAGCTAAAGCACGACTTGATTATGAATGGGGTATTAAAACAGTTTATATGGATGATTATCCATTATTATTAGATGCAGCTGCAACTGGTCTTCGTATAACACATTCACCTTCCACTGCAAAAGATGAATTAAATCAATTTTTTAGCGAACGTATGACAGGTGCATGTGATGAAATAGCAAATAAGATTTCAAATCTTGATTCAAATGTTCGAACAATATTATTAGCACAATTACAATGCAATTCATTTATTTACAAATAACAATATATTATAAATATTCAAAACGTATAAACTTTTTTAAATATTGATTAATTTCTAAAAGATCGATTTTATTACTTTTATCAATTGATTTTCTTATAAAACAACGCATAATTTGTTTAAGTTTCATTGGATTTTGTAAACGATGACGTATAAATGATTGATGATAGGGAATAGAAAGTAAACGTTGACGACAATAGATATGTTCACTTAATAGAAGAAGATGAATAAATGGTAAGAAATAATTAATTCGTTCAAGAAATTCGAATAAATAAGTAATTGAATGACGACGTTGTGCAAGTAGAAATAGTAAAGATTTATCACAATTTAAATCATGAATATCTTGTGTTGTCAATTGAACAGATGGATGTGAATCGAGTAAACATTCAACCATTTCTTTATTATTTATAGATGAATGCATTGCCATAAATAATGCTGAATGACCGGTATTAGTTAAAACATGTCCACCTTGTTCAGTATATTGTAATAAAATTTTAACTATATCTAAATATCCAGATGAACAAGCATAATGTAATGGATGCCAACCTGTAAAGGTCGATTCAGGAGATAATATTAAAAGTAACCATTCAACAAGTTGTGTATGTCCACCTCGACATGCATAAATAAGACATGAACGACCTCGATCATCTTGACGCTGAAAATCTGCATCTGTATATTCAATTAACCATCGACATAAAGATAAATGACCTTCACCACAAGCATACATCAATGGACAACGACCTTCCATATCAGTCAAAGACGATATTGGAGCGTTCAAAAAATGAATAAGTTCAAGCATAACATCCATATGACCACAACTAGCTGCATAATGAATTGCAGTACGACCTAAATTGACATAATAATAATTAAAAGCTAGTTTTTAATATCTAAAACTAACCTAATGAATCACGTTGTGTAGGATCAGCTCCATGTTGACATAGAAGACGAGCAAGTGATTGACCATCATGATGTAAAGCAGCTTCATGTAATGCTGATCGATTAATACCTCTTCTTAAATTAATTGAACCAGGTTCACTATTTTCAAATAACCAATTTACAGTTTCAATATCATTTCGACCGCATGCTTGAATAAATTTATCTCTTACTAATAAAACAAAAATCTATTGATTCTTTCTTGAAATCTTGATTAAAAAAAATCAAACCTTTTTCCGGATCACCAGATAGAACTCGTCTCACACGTTTAACACCTTCAACAATTGATGAATATGTATCAATTCGATGATACTGAACCGATGTAGGTGCACATGAAATTTCTAGTTGTTGTCGAATATGCCATTCTGTATCCATTCTTTTTTTTATTTTCTACTCAATGAACATATGCGAACTGATGATCGACATAGAATCAGATTGACCTTTCGGTGACCTTGTTCTCTCTCTCTCTTTCTCAACGAAAAAAAAAATCTAAATAGAGGAAGAATGACCTATATACATATACTATATCGTCTTTTTTTCTTTATTGTAAATATAATCAACAAGAAAGTACAGTACGAGAGATTAAATGTGCAATAAATGTTTGTTGTTGAAGTAATCGATGTTTCTCCTGTTTATTAGCTAATTGAATTGTATATTCAAATGCTTGTTTTAATTCAGAACAATCCGTTAATTTGTTAAGTTCATCGAGAGACATCTGACAATTTTTTAAATAAATTTCTTCATTTTTATCATTCATAATATTATATATGAAGATTTTTAAATGTTCAACAAAACGATGACAACATTTTAATATAGTATCATCATTATTATTATTATCATCAATCCAATGAACATGTTTATTTTGATGATATGATGTCACTGAACCATCGACAGTATCTAAATCATACGAATCTATTGTAATATCTATAAATATACAGAAAAGATTATTTTTCTGAAATTCTGAATAATAAAAACCTTTTTTTGATTTCGTTCGTTTAAGAATTCTATCCAATGTTCGTTTCCATGTTCCGGTTATACGTGAATGAGAAATATTATTATTATTATTATTATTATTTGTATTATAATGAACAGTTAATTGTTTTGTTGATGGTGACCACATAACAATACCATTTGGATCTTCATCTTTATTACATTGATTTGCCATTTCTGTCCAAATAAGACCATCAGTAAATGGTGATGGAGGTCGAATAGGAAAACTAAGAGAACCATAATAACCATACGATGTTGTTAGATCTATTATAAAGAAAAAGCAAATATACTTTTTTTTGAATAATTACATATACGTCTGAATTTTATTTGATTTCGATCAATAACAAATATTTACTAGTAAAGGTTATGTTTAGTATTCATCAATTGTATATATGACTAACAAAAAACCTTTACTTTTACATTTATCATTCAATAGAAAATGATTTAATTATTCCTTTAATTGAAATGTATATTTATAAATATTCATTAGATGATAATTTTAAATATATGAAAAGTTTCTTTCTTACTGTAGGTTTGATTTGAACCAGGGTTCAGCGTTTATCGTGGAACGATAATAGAGATAGAAGGAATACGACACATACATATATGTAGGATTACGATAAGGAATAAACCCATACATATATGAGAAAATTCCAATATGTATATCTCTAGGCACATGGGATAATACCTACGCTTATGTATTTGTTTGAGTAACTAAATCATAGGTAATTTTATTACAATCAGATTTTCTGCTGAATTAGAATTCAATTGATCAGAGTTTATTAGCAAAGAAGAAAATTTTCTACGTACCAATTACATCAGGATGTTGATCGTCATCATCATCATCATCATCATCAGTTACAGATGTCATTGGTTCTTTTAAAATGATATGAAATGAAAGAAAACAAAATATGTAGACATAGATATTTGATTAATTAGTATCTACCTGTATGTTTAACATCGATAACAGTTCGATAAAGAACAGGTGGAGGTGGTGGTGTTGATGTATGATTATCAGCTATTGAACGCCATGTCACAAGTGTTGTACGATTAGGTACATTTGAAACAGTTTCTCGTTCATCCATATCAAATGTTTTAGCTGGATTACGTGTAAAAAACTGTCGTGTTAAGTCAAATAATGATGGACTAGTTGGTGGAGAGTGCTTATGTCTTGTTAATGTATATGTTTGATGATATTTTTTATTACTTAATATACGTTGTACAAATGGTGATCGACATGATGATGATGATTCATTTTGAATATCATCCAATGAATTAGTTATTTTAGATTTATTTGTAATAGATGTTGGTGATTTGCTTATATGAGATATACGTTCAATAGCTAATGGAATATTTGATGATTCTAATTGTGAATAACCTTCAATAAATGCCATTAAATCATTAAGTAGATTTGTATGAATTAAAAATGAAATTTCTTGTTGAAGAAGAGATGAATCATCTAATGTTGTTGTATTTGTTCTTTGAGGACATGTTAACAAACGAATAGCTACACCATTTCGATATTGTTTTACAATAACACGAGATAAATGTGACCAAGTAGAAACAAGAGTTATTACCTAGAAAACGAAAGATAACTCTTTCAAACGATTGCAAAATTCTAATGACATTTCGAGACGGTATAAAGTAAATATCTTAAAATTCGAATCGTGTCATATTACAATATTAGTTAAGAAGGATATTTCGATCATACAATTATTTGTTCAAAAAAAGAAAGAATATTCTCATCACTAAAATATTTCAACGATATGGTTAGAGATTGCATATTACAGTTACTTATAAAATCATTCATTTGAACTTAGAAATATAATAAAAGTAATAAGATCTTCGTTCTTATATTTCAATTGAATCTTCTATTCAATAAAAAACGAAGTTTACTTTTAACTGATCCTTCATGATAGATTAAAATATTTGTCTTTCGCTTTCTCTTCACGTCTCTCATATAATACATTTCCTGTTATCTCATCGATTTGCTTTACAAACACATCTTAATCAAAAGTTAAACATACAGGCGAATTAATTCGTCTTGCTTGATCAATAATGGCTACTGGATATCGAGAACCCACAAGTAGAATTGAATCTCGATGTTTATCCTAATATTTAAGAAAAAAAAGAAAGTCAATTAATAGATATTAGCAAATAATCATTACCGGAAATTTAACAGGAAATAATTTCCCCGCGAATGATCGTGTATTTTCAGCAAATATACGTATAAATTGTTTTGCTACACATAATTGAGTTGTATTATGATTATTATGAAGATGATTTCGTATACGATGAATTAATTGTTTTAAAGAAAATTGATCAAGTAATGAACGTGGTAATAATTGTTTTAATAACCATGATCGTCTATCTTTTAGTCTTATTTTATTTAATTCTATTTAAAATATTAGAAACGAAAAAAACATACTTGACAAGAATATTAGTTCGAACACCAGTACATAATGATTCATCAAGTATAAGAAGAGCTGTTAATTGTACAGCAATATCAACACTCATTTCACTTCCAGCTCGTTCTCGAACATAATCATTGATACTCTTAAGTAAAATAAATAATTAAACAAAAAATAATCTTTATTTTTAAAATTACTTGTCTATATAAATAAGTAAATGTAACAGGTTCTGTATCAGCTAATAATTCAGCTTGAGAAGGAACAATAACAACGCGTAATGTACATATTGTAGTAGTTGTCATACATGGCCATTGAGAAACCTTTGATATGTAAATTTATATTATTGAAAAAAAAGAGATTTATTCACAGACTTACTTCTTTCAATTTCTGTTGCGGTCGAATATATCGAATTGATCTCCATGAAGCATCTTGTGCTTCACTTAATGTTAATCGATATCGACGCATATCTGAACCAAGACTATGACGTAAAGATATTTTTTCTACTAATTCCTAGATGTTTAGAATAAATTATGATTTTATTTTTAGTCTTAAAATTTATTTTCTTACTTCAGCTATTGTTAAATCTTCAATCGAATATTCACCAAGAGATCCATCCTCGAGAAATATACGCATTTTAGATGTATCATTATTGAATATAGGCTCGATTTTATGTACAAGTTTTTTTCCGCCAACGCATTCATTCGTTGTTCTTTATTTTGAATAATTTAATCAATATATTACAAAGGTATCGGAAGACTTACGTATTAGTTGGTAATGCAGGTGGTAGCGGGGGTGGTGGTGGTGATGATTCTGGTAAGTTTGTTTCACATTCATCAGAAAATGATGATAAAGATGAGTTGGTTGCTGATGATGAACTCATCCTATGTCTAATTTAAATCGATTCGATCATCGATTTCGTGTATATAATCTATAATCTCTTATTCTTCTATGTTGAAGCATTACATCACTAATATATTGTCGTCTTTGTTTATTCAATCAAATTCATTCAATAGAAACGATAAAAATAATAAGGAAGAAGAAAACGATGATGATGATGATGGAGATAAAAATAAAAAAAAAGAGAAACGAAAAGATTCGTTTAATTGGAGACGACACTGTTTACTTATAAATCCTCTAGCAAATGACGAAGATGTCCGAATGACAGAAAAAGGAAAGAGGATATATTCTTTTATTTGTATTGTTAAATCGAGGATTTAATTTAAATAAATGTAAGACAGAATTTTATATCAATGAATTATATTTATGAAGAAAATGTTAAGTAAAAATCGTAAATTTGATTAATTATTAAAGATATTAGTTTAAAAAATATTTGGTCATTATTACTTTAATAGGAAGACTTGTTCTTTTGTTTAAAATATACCTAAGTTTCCAGTTTTTATTCCAGTATAATCGAATTATATTTAGATTTGATTATGTACATTAATTGGTGGACGACATGTTTGTGTTGTTAAAGCTAAAATTAGATCAATTCACCAAGAAAGTTTTAATGGAAATGGCAAAAATAATAATCATCGTAATTTTGGCCGATACTGTATACATGAATTTATAACTTTCCTACGATTTTCAGCATAATTTATCAAAAGATTATTTACATTTTCTTCTGTTTATTTAATAAGATGCTCTTTACTTCAATGATCTTTAACATCATTTGTTAGTTCATTTCATAATACATGTCATGTTTTATCGTGTTCTTCAACAATAAGAAATCATCCCTGGTACACTTAAATAACCAGGTACATCCTCTCGTCCTTCACATATATCTTCTCTTCACGTACGTTAGCTTGTCTTTGCTTCATGCACCTTTGATTATCTTTTTAGTTCCTCATTATGATGCTAGCTGTTCATTGTTTAGCCTTACCTTTAGTCATATATAGTGTATATAATACCGATTTGTTTGCAATAAATTATCACTACACACCATCTTCTATTCTCAGTTAATCATCTGGAACAAATCGACTTCTTTCTAAACCGATATGCTTCACAAGCATTAGAATCTTCTTTCATTATAAGTAATAATAAAAACTTTTTTGTCACTGCAACATGTATAAAATAACTCGTATTCATTACTGCACGTACAGAATCTAGAGAAATTCAATTTATATATTTACAAGTACCAATTCCAACATTATTAACAATTTTATTGCTTATCGTTTCATAAGCAAGATCAATATCTTCTGGTTGTGTTATATCTAATTTAAAGACAGTTGCACGTGATAAAAGATTTTTTATTAATTTATCTATATTGTTAGAATTAAAAATACCAGCAAATGCATTAAAATCTTGTTTATCTAATTCAATAGCTAATCTATAATCAAAATTAATACCATATTTATCAGTTGGATTTATATGTTTTATAATCAATAATAATTGTAAAAATAAGTATTATATACACAAACATTCTTTAACAATGGAAAGAAAAAGAAAGGAAAATATATTTTATCACAATTAAAAATGACTACATTCAAAATTTGTATTATGATTTTATCTATACTGTCAACATCGACTTGATCATTCAAATTTCAGTCAAACTATATATATATTCTTGATTAATTTCTATTTAGAAATAAAATCTTATTGCATTTATTTCATAAGAACTACATTTTTTATTATAATAATTAACATTATTAAATGATATATACGTTGATGAATGCAATGCTCACTATTTCTTGTTTTTTTATGGACAAATTTTTATTAGATCAAAATGTATGAATGTAATTATTGATTTATATTCGGAAGAAAATAAAATTTACACTTGTTACTATTGTTGATTTACTCTACGTTTTCATTCTTATTGAATAAACATATGTTGTTTTCCATTATATCTAGACCTTTATGTGTCGACTAGTTCAATTCTATAATATGAAAAGCGAGCAGCATAGGTGAAGATAAATAATAACGATACTGAACTAAATTTATAAACCAGAGTAACATCGTACTATTTCATAATTTTAACGTAGAAATATTTCTATTATTATAGTTCAAGGATTTTGTTTTCTTTTAAGTCAAACATATATTTTTTTCTCAAAATACACATTTGTTAACTTAGAAATGTTGTTTGTTGAACGTACTTTTTCCCTTGAACTGGAATAAAATAACAATTTGTTTTTCTATTCTTTTTTTCCTTGATGTTTGTATGATTTAAAAGTAATGATATTTCTCTTTAAAAGAGAACAAGCGTCGTACAAAAATTTTAAAATTAAATTAATTTTTTCCAAACTTACCGTCAGACTGAGCTCGAAGTTTTCTTTTCTGTTCATCTTTCTTCAAACTGTTAATGTGCAAAGCAGTTATAAAATAGTAATAGCAACCGAGAAGAATTACTATTAAAAATAAATAGAAACGTAGTCTACTACCTATTATTAAACTGTAGAGTATCTTCATAACAGTTTTTCACAACTTCTCTGTCTTTATATACACATAGAAAATGATAATTTTGAGGTAACATATTACTAAAATTAGAATAGGGTAAGACAACTATACTTGAATAAAATTAAAAGAATTTTTATTTAGTTATTTTTATCATCATAGGTTATAGATTCAGTTAATTTTATGTGATGATTAAGAGAATGTATTTTTACCAAAGAGGAACAAATTGCTTTCGATTAGCGAAATCAGTTTTTTACACAAAAAAATAAATAGAGAGTAAGTGTTCATAGAAGTTTATTCTTGACAGTGAGACAAATATTATTTTTTATCCAATCATATCAATATATATATATATATTTAAAATAATATATCAATAGAAGAGAATGCTCTTTAACTTAAACTGCTCATTTAACGATGACGATCTGTAATATACTTGAGTGGTCTAGATTGTTTTCTTTCTTCGTATATATTTTGAAGCAATTAGTAGTTTCCAATAAGAAACTGTCAAGTACATTTTAAAATATTACTTAGTATATTCTAACACAACTATATATTTTTTTTACTGTTATCGACTGTGGTATATTACCAACTAATAGAAAATTTTTCTTCATTGCCTTTCTTATAGAAATTCTTGCTAGTAACAATCCCCGAACAGGATGTTGACATAAAAGAATTGAAGTTTTTAATTTATCACACCATCCTACTCACATCTGTAATAAACACCGTAGTATTTTCTCATTTATAATGTAAGTACAAAACTCAACCATATTGCATATTTTAATTGCAGTGTAATTGCACTAAGAAATTTTTTTTTACAATTTCTCATTTCAAAGATAACTATCATAGAATTTCTTTTCTAAGTCTATTTATTTTCAAAATACTATTATTTAGATCATATATTAACGTCCCTATTTAAACACCAATATAATTTAATACACCACTAAAGCAAAGTTTAAGTAGATTAGATCTATAAAATAAGACAAGAATAATTAAAGTATGAAGCACCCCTATTGAGATTCATTCTCTCTTCTGTACGTATCCAAGATTCATAACTTATGAGGCAATGAGCTCGACAAAGAAACATCGTAATGACTATCGTTGACGGGTCAATCAGGACTTAAACATAGAATTTGATACAAATTCTCTCAGATTTTTAATATGACGCTCCCTTAATTCAAAATAAAATTGTATTAGCTGAAAAGATAATTAATCGATGTAGCGACATCATTGATTTCAGCGATGTTCATATACATGTGAAGAGGTCTTTATATAATTAATTTATTCATAATGTCCTTTCAATTTTGAGTTAAGTAATTCGATAACTGAAGACATTTAAAACCCTTCCCGCTTAATCCAGCATTGTCGATCATGTCGTGATACAATCTAGTTTAAATTACACATACACATATGCAAAAAAAGATCTCAGACCTTCAATCGTCACATTCTCTCAATCTTGATATAGATTTTTCTTATTTTGAAGTAATGGTTAAATATGGAGAGTAAATAGCTCGCTTCTATCGTCACTAATGTGTTGATGCAGGAAAAGAAGAAGACAGAATATGGTATTACATTAAAACGAGTGAAAAGCAATCAGTTAGTAACTAAACGTCATATAGTACATCATCTAAACTAGTATGAACTCTTTCCATTCTTTTCGTAATGATATAAGAAAAGACAGAGGAGAATGTTGATATTGAAAGAGCTAATAATAATGTTATTTTCTCGTACTGTTAAAAGATTCTTAAAAAAGAAAAAACAGACGATTGATATAGTCAGCGTTTCTACGTATGTTTTAAAAAACATTCAAAGAAATATGTTTCATATTTTAGATGGAAATACCACGACATGGTTATATTAAAAAAATAATATTACTCCTATTAGTAATATTAGTATTTTATTATCTGCTCATTAAAACAAATAAATATGAATTAAAAAATACATTTAAAGTATTTCATCATATTCTTAATCGAAGTCGAATTATGGAGATCCTCATTCCAGTTTATAATACGACTATATTAAACCGTATTAAGAACATTACTAATCGTACAACTACTACTGCTGCTACTACTAAACGATCCGTTATTACTACTAAAACAACTGGTCGTCCTACAACTATTGATCCAGCAGAATTGCTTGTCGAAAGATCTCCATCTGCTGCACGTCTTAATGCAAAGGCTCCCACTGGCGGTCTAGCTGTTTTTCTTTTTCAAACTGAACATCATGTTCTCGCCGATCTTCAATTGTATCTTATTCGAAAACTTGCGATAGATCTAGTGGCTCTTGAATTATTTGTTGATAGACCACCAACACAAAACATGCGTGATGTTGCTCTTGCACATAATGCTGGACTTCATAGTTTTCCAGTTGAACGACATAAACCTAATGCTGGAGGATCAGATAGAAATACTGATATCGTTAATTGGGCAATATCTCTAAAAGCTAAACAATATCTTGGTAATGGTACTGCAATTCTATTACTCGATGGTGATGTTTTTCCTTTAACTCCATTTGATTCAGTAACATTATTAAATTCTCGTGATGTTGTTTGTCGAAAACATCCAGCATTATTCGCACGTTTTTGTTGGATTGGATTTATATGTTTAGGACCACAGTTATATGACACTATTGATCATTTTGATGTAGGACAAACTATGCGTCAAGGTAAATCGTACGATTCCGGTGGTAAAACAATCGAATATTTTTTAAAATATGAAAATGCTTCATTTTCATGGATGAGAGAAACAATATTTCTTGGCACTGATAAAGACTTATTCTGGGGTGCAATGGATCAAGATATTCAATGGATCGGACAAAACTTTGGGCGATGTGATAAATGTGGACCTGAAATATTTTTATCACCATTTAATGTTAGTAATGCTGTTTTTTATCATATGATTAGTGCAACTTCAGAATGGCGATTTGGACATCAAGGTCCACGACGACAATCAATCCATAATTCTGTAATGCGATCTCCTTATGGACCTAATAAAACTTATTCAATGTCTGATATGATTGCATCAATAAAAAAAGTTCAACAAATGAAATTAATACCATTTTTTGGTGATTTAACCTGTGAAAAAATATGTCGTGGTTAATTATATGATATAATATAAAATGATTTTTCAATAATTTATTTCTTTATGCACTAACTGTGATGAATCTTACCTAGAATAATTATTACAATTTTGATTTTTATGTTAATTTTTAATGCAATAAAATAAAAATCTATATAGTCTTTTAACTGTTTTAGTATATTTCTAACGACTTTAATGTATTCCACATAAAACTGAATAGCATGCGATGCAATACAAGGTTCCGAATGGAATTCAAAAGACAAAATGCATATGTACACTATGTTTTTGAAAGCAGAGGTTATCAGAATCTATAAACTTAATATAATAATAATCAAGAAAAATACAAAGTGTTGACATGGTTTCCCAATGAAGAGTATGAAACAAATGCATATTGAATAATACTAAATACACAATTATGTAATCTGACATAAATAGGAATATTTCTTTTATTTTTCGTTAATATTAGTATTAATATCCATTTAAATTGAAACAGAAAAGAAATCAATTTATATTTACAAAAACCAAATGTTAATTTTGTTTGCAGAGTGTGGTGTACATTTTGTTTTCGACAACATCGTGTAAACCAGCGTGCATTTCAAATGCTGCAAGTGTTGCGCACATTTTTTTTCAGTTGTTTACACTTGCCAATCGGAACCTTGAATCGTCAGTATTTTTTACGCATGTTTTAAAAAACATTTTGAAAGAAATAAAAAAAACCTATAAAATCAATCAATTTGGTGGATTTTAACAAAGATCATAAAGTAAAGAAAAATTATGTTGGGTTCTACTCCGTAATTTATTTATGAATTTAAAATATTATAAGTAAGATGACATATTTATTATAATACCTATTTTCATAAATGTTGAAGGTTTTCAACAGCAAATTCATTTAAAAATATCTTTCATATTTTTGAGAAAATTAAATAAAAACAAACGCTTCACTGTTGCCTTATTCAGCCTTAATTTATTTTATCATTAGTAATGTTGCTTTATTTTTATTTATAATAAAGAATAAAGTTACGAAAGAACCTTAATAGATTATTACGCATCAAGTTCATCAAAACATCCTTTTCCATCATGATATTTTAGATGGAAACATCACACCATGGTTATATTAAAAAAATAATATTACTCCTACTAATCACAATATTATTTTATTATCTACTCATTAAAACAAACAAATATGAATTAAAAAATACACTTAGAGTATTTCATCATATTCTTAATCGAAGTCGAATTATGGAGATGCTTATTCCAATCTCTAATACTACTATATTAAACCGTATTAAGAACATTACTAATCGTACAACTACTACTGCTACTACTACTAAACGATCCGTTATTACTACTAAAACAACTGGTCGTCCTACGACTATTGATATAGCAGAATTACTGGTCGAAAGATCTCCGTCTGCTGCACGCCTCAATGCAAAGGTTTCCAAGGGTGGTCTAGCTGTTTTTCTTTTTCAAACTGAACATCATGTTCTCGCCGATCTTCAATTATATCTTATTCGAAAACTTGCACTAGATTTAGTGGCTCTTGAGTTATTTGTTGATAGACCACCAACAAAAAACATGCGTAATGTTGCTCTTGCACATAAAGCTGGACTTCATAGTTTTCCAGATGAACAACATAAGCCTAATGCTGGAGGATCAGATAGAAATACTGATATCGTTAATTGGGCAATATCTCTAAAGGCTAAAAAATATCTTGGTAATGGTACAGCTATTCTATTACTCGATGGTGATGTTTTTCCTTTAACTCCATTTGATTCAGTAACATTATTAAACTCTCGTGATGTCGTTTGTCGAAAACATCCAGCATTATTTGCACGTTTTTGTTGGATTGGATTTATATGTTTAGGACCACAGTTATATGATACTATCGATCATTTTGATGTATCACAAACTATACGTCAAGGTAAATCTTACGATTCAGGTGGTAAAACAATCGAATATTTTTTAAAATATGAAAATGCTTCATTTTCATGGATGAGAGAAACAATATTTCTTGGTACTGATAAAAACTTATTTTGGGGTGCAATGGATAGAGATATTCAATGGATTCGAGAAAACTTCCGTCGATGTGATAAGTGTGGACCTGAAATATTCTTATCGCCGTTTGATGTTAGTAATGCTGTTTTTTATCATATGATTAGTGCAACTTCAGAATGGAGATTTGAATATCAAGATGATCGACGACAATCAATACATAAATCTATAATGCGATCACCTTATGGACCTAATAAAACTTATTCGATATCTGATATGATTGCGTCAGTAAGAAAAGTTCAACAAATGGAATTAATACCATTTTTTGGTGATTTGACTTGTGAAAGAGTATGTCGTGGTTAATCATATGATATAATACAAAAATTTATTACCTAATGCATTTACTCTATTCAATATTATTTAGAATTATTATCCTAATATGATTTTTATGTAAATTTCAATGCAATAAAATAAAAAAATATGTGTAGTCTTTTAATAGTTTTACTATATTTTCAACGTTTTTAATACGTTGCACATATAATCGAACAAAATCGTCAGATTCATTCACTAGCCATAACGTATAATCTTGTTCTCTCTAAGACCTGTCGCATATCTAAAATTAGATGATATCTTAATCAACAGAATCGATTGAATGTTTAATTATTTTAAAATACAACAAAAAGCAAAGAGCACAAAAATTTTTGTTTTTCTTGAGCTAATTATTAATAGACGGCAAGTCATATACAAGATTGACGAATAAATGATATAGCTTTGATATCTATATTTTCTCATTTTGTATTCTGGAAATCATCTCGACATAAAATGACAAAATTTGACGTATACGTCTAGAAAGAAAGAAAGATAGATAGATGAATATACAGAAAGCAAGTCAATTCTCTATGCACTGTTATACAGATACGTTTTCTTTTTCTGAGGATAAAGTTTTTATTAATGTTAAAATATGACAATACAAGGATAACAAAATCATAAATCAAACAACTAGATATATTGTCGTTGCAAGCTGGAGAGAACAGGAAAAGGAAACATGTGATATTGGTCTTTTGTCTCTGATGATTTTGTTAGTATTGTGGTTAGTGTGAAGATATCTGTGTACAGATACTTCATATCGTAAAAATTATTTAAATTAAATCACTATCAATCGAATTTACATTCTCTTTTAATCAAGTACCAATATTATGAGCTTTAAGAGTATATAATTTATTTTACAAATTGTATTTTTTTTAAATAGAGAATAGAATATGACATACAACGCCTAAAAACATGTAATATGTTAATCCCATAAGAATGGAGATATGAATAGTATAATACATGTTTCTAAAAATGTCTGTGTTTGATGAACTATATTTAATATATTTAGCATTGAAGAAATCTATTGAAAATTGGATAACAGCATTATTCGACTTCTATTTAAGAGGACCATCTGCCCTTTTCTGATAAAATTTATCAACTTTTTTTTTACGTCTAGATGTAGATATGGATGGCATCTATATGCTCATCCTATTTGAGAAACTGAAAACTTACGTTTTATCGGTGAAGAACCTCAAAGAAGTATGTTTTTTCTGGCAAAAGGTACTATAAACCGACAAGAAAACACGTTTTTCTCAAAATTAGGCTTTCCGGTGCGAAAAAAGGTTTTGCCTCGCATTTCTCAACCATTTGAAGTCCGATCGGATTGAAAACGTTCTTGGTGAGACTTTAGCTGATTTTGGTTGGTTATTTTCTTTTCCTATCGATAGCTCTCACGAACTAAACTTGGCAGAATTCGGAAAACTTTCAGTATCCTAAAATGCTATGGATTTTTGAAGACCTTCAGTATTTTGGCTCTCATGCCTGTAGTTTTAGAGATTTTTAAAAAAAAAATAGGCACCCCGATTGGGATCTGCTACCCAGAGTAAAATTTCAGCTCAAAATATTGAAATCTGTGGATTTGTCGGGTAAAAAACTTAAGGCTATTTTTGGACTGGGGCTCCAGAAGTCCCTGAAGGCCAGATCTGGCGACTTTGAATGTGTGACAACTTTTGGTCTTCTACTGGAGATCTATGTACGGTTAAATGGAATTCAAAAGACAAAAAGTATATGTACACTATGTTTTTGAAAGCAGAGTGTAACAAAGTATAGAAATTGAATTTAATTATAATCAAGAAAAATACAAAAATGTTCATATTTTTTGCTAATGATGAGTGTAAAACAAATGCATATGAATAGGAATATTTCTTTTATTTTTTGTTAATATTAGTACTAACATCCATTTAAATTTAAACAGAAAAGAAATCAATTTATGTTTAAGCAAACCAAATCTTAATATTGTTCGCAGTGTGTCGTGTACATTTTGTTTTCACCAGCAATGTGTAAACCAGCGTGCATTTCAAATGCTGCAAGTGTTGCGCACATTTTTTTTCAGCTGTTTACACTTGCCAATCGGAACCTTGAATCGTCAGTATTTTTTACGTATGTTTTAAAAAAATTTCAAAGAAATTCAAAAAACTTGTAAAATCGATCGATTTAGTGGATATTAACAAACATGATGGAATATAGAAAACTATGTTCGATACCACCTAGACAGACAACGAAGAAAAAATACGGCGTTTCTGCGCGTACAAAACGTGTGCTTTTTATGCGACGAAAAAAACTTTTTTATGAAGTAAAATGTTGAAGGCATTCTTTATTGTCAGTAACTCGACTTTTTCAACAACAAAAGAAATTTTTCTTTATGTGTACAAAACGCACATTTTTGCGCATAAAAACGTCGTATTTTTCGTTGGTTGTTTGCTCGGGTACTGTCTCACATATTTATAAATTTAAAATATTATAAGTAAGATTAAATATTCATTATAATATCGATTTACAAAGAAGTTGAAAGTTTTTAACAACAAATTCATTTAGAAATATCTATTATATTTTTGAAAAAAATAATTAAAAAAAATCGTTTATTTTACTGTTGTCATATTCAGCCTTCATTTATTTTATCATATGAAAGTATTTTAACAGATTACTACACACCAGATTTATCAAAAATATCCTTATAAATGCTCATATTTTAGATGGAAATATCACGCCATACTCATATTAAAATAATAATATTACTCGTATTAATAGCAATATTATTTTATTATCTACTGATTAAAACAAATACACATGAATTAAAAAATACATTTAAAGTATTTCATCATATTCTTAATCGAAGTCGAATTATGGAGATGCTTGTTCCAGTTTCTAATGTTACTATATTAAATCGTATTGGGAACATTACTAATCGTACAAATACTAGTACTAAACGATCGATTAATACTACTATAACACCTGATCCTTCTACTACTACAACAACTGGACCTCCTACTACTATTGATATAGCAGAATTACTGGTCGAAAGATCTCCATCTGCTGTACGTCTTAAAGCAAAGGCTCCCACTGGTGGTCTAGCTGTTTTTCTTTTTCAAACTGAGCATTATATTCTTGCTGATCTTCAATTATATCTTATGCGAAAACTAGCAATAGATCTAGTTGCTCTTGAATTATTTATTGATAGACCACTAACACCAGAAATGTGTGATGTTGCTCGTGAACACAGAGCTAAAATTAATATTTTTCCAACTGACCGACACCGAGCTAATGCTGGAGGATCAGATAGAAATACTGCTATTGTCAATTGGGCAATATCTCTAAAGGCTAAAAAATATCTTGGTAATGGTACTGCAATTCTATTACTCGATGGTGATGTTTTTCCTTTAACTCCATTTGATTCAGTAACACTATTAAATTCTCGTGATGTTGTTTGTCGAAAACATCCAGCATTATTTGCACGTTTTTGTTGGATTGGATTTATATGTTTAGGACCACAACTATATGACACTATCGATCATTTTAATGTAGGACAAACTATGCGCCAAGGTAAATCTTACGATTCAGGTGGTAAAACAATCGAATATTTTTTAAAATATGAAAATGCTTCATTTTCATGGATGAGAGAAACAATATTTCTTGGTACTGATAAAGACTTATTCTGGGGTGCAATGGATCAAGATATTAAATGGATTTCACAGCATTTTAGTCGATGTGATAAATGTGGTCCTGAAATATTCTTATCACCGTTTGATGTTAGTAATGCTGTTTTTTATCATATGATTAGTGCAACTTCAGATTGGAGATTTGGAGGTCAAGGTGGACGACGACTATCAATACATGATTCTGTAATGCAGTCTCCTTATGGACCTAATAAAACTTATTCAATGTCTGATATTATTGCTTCAGTAAGAAAAGTTCAACAGATGGAATTAATACCATTCTTTGGTAATTTAACTTGTGAAAGAATATGTGGTGGTTAATGGTATTATATATTATAAAAATGATTTTTCAATAATTTACTTGTTTATGCGCTAACTGTGATGAATTTTACTTAGAATAATTATTACAATTTTGATTTTTATGTTAAGTTTTAATGCAACAAAATAAAAAATATATAATCTTTTAACAGTTTTACTATGTTTTTAACACTTTTAATACGTTGCACACAAAACTGAATAGCATACGATGTAATATACGAAGCTACCTATGAAAATTATGAAATCATCGTTTTTGCCGATTTCTGAATAAATTTCAATTCTTTTTGAAACCTGTGCTATATTTACTTCGAAATATCTGACTAATCGTTCCTGCTGAAATTGTTTACTTTAGATGTAGCTAATCAAATATATATTAGATGGATTTCAACCAGCAGAATCGATCAAATTTTTAATAGACGGCAAATCATATACAAGATTGACGAATAAATGATATAGCTTTGATATCTATATTTTCTCATCTTGTATTCTGGAGATCATCTCGACATAAAATGACAAAATTTGACGTATACGTCTAGAATGAAAGATAGATAGATAGATGAATATACAGAAAGCAAATCAGTTCTCTATGCACTGTTATACAGATACTTTTTCTTTTTCTGAGGATAAAGCTTTTATTAATGTTAAAATATGACAATACAAGGATAACAAAATCATAAATCAAACAACTAGATATATTGTCACTGAAAGCTGGAGAGAACAAGAAAAGGAAACATGTGGTATGGGTCTTTTGTCTCTGATGATTTTGTTAGTGTTGTGGTTAGTGTGAAGATATCGTAAAAATTATTTAAACCGAATAAGTATCAATCGAATTCATCTTCTCTTTTATTCAGGTGCTAATACTATGAGCTTTAATAGTATGTAGTTTACTTTATCAATTGTACTTTTTCTTAAATAGGGAGCAAAATATGACATACAACGCGTAAGAACATGTAATATGTTAATCCTATGAAAATGGAGATATAAATAGTATGAGATATGTTTCTAAAAATGTCTGTGTTTGAGGAACTGTATTTAATATATTTAGCATTGAGGAAATCTATTGAAAATTAGATAATAGCATTATTCGACTTCTAAATCGTTTTCTATTTAACTAAAAGCAATAAATAGAAAAGAAAAGTAAATACATGTGACCAAGGTTGCTTTCTTTTTTGTAAGCAATACAAGTTAATTAGAAAACTGTCGTTTATTTTTATATTTGTAATAAAATGATATTTGTTGTAATCAGTAAATATTTAGTATATGAAAGTATCGTATGATGTTTTCTTATGTTAGATGTAATACAATAGGATAGGAATTCCCATAATGCTCTACTATATTTTGTTAAACCCTTATGTAATATAGACAATTCTGCCTAATTCTAAATCGCATTTGATATATGTATTCTGCTGTTCCATCATGATATCTTGAGAAAATGTATAAATATTAGGCATTGAGAATATATCGATAAGAAGACGTACGGACTGCACGTCTCAAGGAAATATCGAGACAAATGTTGTATGTAATATTAGTTAAGAATATATTCTCTTCTCATGCGATAATAAGGAAAGAAAATAGTGTTTTTTTGTACTATACCTCGTGTGTTTATAGATTTCTTTTTTCTTTTACTTATACCACAAATGATATGTGATTAATCTTTCAAGATCAACAGGTTTAAAATACGAATACCATTAATCTAACTATAACAAAAATGTCAATGGATTCTGATCGAGAATCCCTTCATCAATTGCTATTTACAAATAATTCATATGTAAATCCTTATTATGAGCATAAAAACACCAACATCAAACTACGACTTATTATTGTTTCTATTATCATGTTATTTTTCTTATTACTTTCGTCAACAGCTTATATTTTGGTTCAAACAGCACCAATTGATCAAACAGATTCTACAGTAACATTTACTACTGACAAGTAAGAAATTTTCTTTTCAAACAATTATTTATATATAAAAATCTAGATTACCTTCGAATGGTTCTGCACTTGATTACCGTATTTTACCATATATTGGCAATGGTCATTTAGCTACCGTTGTATTTAGTGATTTTATTTATATGAATGGTCTTTACAATGGTGACAATGGTATGTATATTATTGACGTTTTTTCTTATTTATGTTTATTCTCTTATTAAAGGTACTAGTCATCGTGCACGTATTCCAAGTACACTCAATTGGCAATTTAATATTGATCCGTCATCATCCACATATACTTTAAATGTTTCATCAGGTATATTGTGCCATTTTTTTAATTATACATGGTTGTTTTTTTCATAGGAGTTTTCATGGAAACACTTGAAAATGATGAAATTCGAATTGAACGACGTCTTTTTGCTTCACAAGAATATACTGAACTATTAATTGCTCATGTGGTACTTACTCGATTACAATCTAAAGGTTAGATTTTGAAAAAATATCGATTGTTGTTTTTTTCTACAATAGAATATTATTCTAGGAAAGAAAATTCGTATACCTATTGATGTTAACGAACAAGTAACAAGTATTGATATTGATTTTACAGTTACCAATCGTAATAAACAACATGTGTAAGTATTATTTAGTTAATTACAATCTATAATTATTGTATACTTATAAAAGTCTATTATCTGGTAAAACACGTCAAGTAGAAAATAATCAATTTCAACAAGAGCCATTATCCGTATTTGTCTATTACACACCATTACCTGCAGAAGGATTAGAACTTAATGGAGATGAAACAACGCGAACATATCTTTTTGTTACTTCAATTGATGAAAAAAAATCAAGAGCTAAAAATAGTTTTGATTATGGTAAGAAGAAAAAAAAATCTTAAATAAAATATTCGTTATTTCTCCCTTTCAATAGCAACGACAAGACGACGACCAGATGTAATATTATCATCGCATATAACACGATGGAATGATGTTTGGTCTAATGGACATATTGGCGTGGATGGAGATGATGAATTACAACGACAAATCAATTCTGCTTTTTATTATACTCTTAGTTCTTTACCACCATTATCTACTCGAAGTGAACATAAACAATTCTATGGTTTAAGTCCTGGTAGTCTTTCACGAGGTGGTAGTTTAGGTGAAGATTATGGTGGTCATTCATTTTGGGATACAGAAACATGGATGTATCCACCCGTTCTTATTTTCTATCCAACGTAAGTAAATTAGATGAGACATAAAATAATCATTATATTATTTAATAAAAATATCTTTTTATTAGATTAGCAAAAGAAATATTATCATATCGAATTGCTTTACGTGATTCTGCAATTGATAATGCTCATCTATTTGGTTATGAAGGATGGAGGTATTGAATAATATCTTCTATATCTTTTTATTTCTATACTTATTGTAAAATTAAGATTCCCTTGGGAAAGTGCTAGAACTGGTGTTGATGTTACACCTGATTGTTGTCCTGAAGTTCGCCTCTATCAAATGCATATTACAGGTGATATTGCCTTTGCAGCAAGACAATATATTGCAGCGACAGGCAATCGAGATTGGCTATTAAATGAACTTGGCGGGGAACTTATCTATGAAACAGCACGATTTTGGGGTTCAAGAGCAGTATATAATAATGAAAAAAAACAATACGAAATATTGAGTAAGACTTCCGTTTGAAAATTTCAGTAATCTATATTATCATTTTTCTTAGCTGTTTTACCACCAGATGAAGATGCTCAACCATATAAAAATAATTCTGTATTTACTAATGCAGTAGCATCACTTTCTATTCGTTTAGCTGATCATGTTAGTTGTATTACAAATAAGAAAATACCTCAAAATTGGCTTGATATTGCTTCTAATTTACATTTTCCATTTGATAATACAACACAAAATCATCTTGAATATGAAGATTTTGATTTAAGTAAATAAATCTATGTGATTTTTGGTTTATATAGAAGAAATCTATCTATTTTCAGAAAATTCGACTATTAAACAAGCAGATGTTGTTCTTCTCGGATTTCCACTTATGTGGCCAATGACTGATCAAGTAAGACGAAATGATTTACTAGCATATGAACCTTTAACTCGTGCGGATGGTCCAGCTATGACTTGGTCTATGCATTCAATTGGATTTATTGAATTAGGAGATTTCGATAAAGCTCAACAACTTTTTGAACGTTCTTATCAAACTTATGTTCGACCGCCATTCAACGTTCGTTTTCATTATTTGTTTTTCTATTCTAGTTTGGTTTACTTCCTATTTTAGGTATGGACTGAAGCTCAATCAGGTGTTGGTGCAGTTAATTTTATAACAGGAGCTGGAGGTTTCTTACAATCTGTTATATTTGGTTATGGTGGTATTCGTTTAACATTAGATCAAATCGAATTCAAACCCCGTGGTCATTTACCAAATCAAGCTAAAAAACTTATTTTTCATGGTATTAAATATCAAGGATATGCACTTGATTTAACAATTGGTGATAAAATGTATGAAGTTATTGTAAGTGCAAAGGAGAATAGACGTGCTGTTTCACTTGCATATGAACATGATAAAGAGCAAGGCTCACTCAAACTTGGTGATCATCTCACATTTCCAATTGATACTCGCTTAATTATTCGTCGATCAGAAGCTCTTTGTCCTTAAATTTATATTTCATTGATAAATCAACATTTTTTTTCAACATATATGTAGAATTTCTAATTATTAATATCATCAAATTTTAATAATAAATATCTATATGATTTACAACTTATGAAAAAATATGTTAAAATCTATTTATTTAGGAAGAGATCAAAAAAGTAATCTATTAGTATTTCTACATGCTCCAAAGATTTCGAAGTTTCACCAATGTTGGACGTTCATCAACCGCTTCTACGCCCTAGAATTAAAAAAACACACATTTTTCATACAAATCATTTGCTTATATTGAATACATACACGAGGATAATATTCATTTCCAGTAATTCGTCGATCTCTTAAATACATATAATAATCTCGATCATCTTTCGTCATATTTTTCGGCCCATATTTCTAATCATATACGAATAGAAATTAAATGAATTACAAATGGATAAGAATATTATCTTTACTTTTCCATTGAGAAAATACCAATTGCTGATAAACATAACAGGTGCAGCAACAACTAGAAGTGGACCTGCAGTAAGAACAAGTGATGGAATAATTTCAAACCAAACCATTTTTATCTAAAAAAAACAAAGACAATAAAAATATGGAAGATATTAATTGACAAAACAATAGGGAAATAAAATATATATAAATGACTAGTAAAATGTTCGATTGCGATATTTTTGTGCTGCATGACTATTTGACATTAAATTTTGCCAGACATATAAAAGACGATTAACTGACAAGGGCATATGGGCAAAAACAAGGGAAGAAAGACCAAATGGTGAAAGAAAACGTTGTTCAACTAGGTCAACATTGACAACAAAAAGAGAATTAATATATAAATAATTAACATGAACTGATGATTGTATTGCACGTGGTAAAAGACCTGTTATATAATAATCATCAATCCAAAAGAATGGTATATGTTGAGTTGCTTCAACAAGTGGTTGAATTAAATCTCGAGTTATAAAATAAGCCGAACCCGAACAATATGGTGCATAATGTTCATAGGGATATTCATCAGATGAAACAAACCATTTCGATGATGGATCTCGTGAAACACGCATTCGTGTCCATAGAAGACAAGCTATTGTTGAATTCCATGCTTCAGTTGGATAAACATTTGTCAATGTATGTAGATGATTAAGAATGGAAAACATATTTATCAACATATCATCATCGGTTTTTAATATATATGATACTCGATGACAATGACGTGATATCCAATTCAATGCCATTATACCTTTGTATGTTAAATTACGATATGTATCAATAAATGTTTGTTGAACAATATCACGATAAGTATCAAATTCAAATTGTACTTGTTTCATTAATTCAGTATTTTGACTTGAACCAAGCATAAATAAAACTCTTATATGTTTTCCAAATGTTGAATATGATGCCCATGTTAAACGAATCGACTCTCGACGATGACGATTTTCTATTGCTGAATGAACATAAACAATTAAAAGTAATGGTTCATCAGTTGCACATATATCATCACCAGGTTCTAATATATAATCAAATTTTTTTGCTGGTGGAATAGCTACATATACACGAGGATAAGATTGACTAATTTGTTCAGGTATTAATAAAATCCATGCAATTAAAAAAATAAATAATAACGAGCCATATATTGCTCGATATCGTATATCCATTACTCATCTATAAAATAAGACAATTCAATATTTATATACATATATATATATCTGACAACATAAGATAAAACAAATAAGAAAGAAAAAAAACAATACAATTAGAAAAGTTTTTGACGTTTATCGATTATTTTTATATTCGTATTTGTTGACGATGCCGTTCGTTTAAAAGATGGTGATGGTGATGCAAATAATTGTTTTATAACACCTTTAGCTTTTCGTGGTGTTTTTGGTAGTTGATTTTCATCGATAGGATTTGTTTTATTCTGTTGAGGAGAATCAACAAAAAGACGACGTCGACCTTCTTTAAAAAAAAAGAAAAACATATCATTTCATGTATTCATTCAAGACAAAAAAAACATACTTTCATGTGGTGGTAATGATAGAATAGGTTTTGATGTCAATTGAATTTCATTGGATTTAGGTGAATATTTTTGTGCTTCTCTTACAAAATGTCTTAAAACATGATTACAACGAGATACACGATTAACCACTTGTGAAAGATGAAGAGTCGTTGGTTTTGTTGGTTGATTATCCATAATAGGAATATCGAATACTATAAAAGGAGCATAAAAAACAAAATTTCGAAATACAAAATCTTACATGGAACTGACGAGCGAAGACGAAGAGTAAGTTTTTGAATATCACGTGCCATTCTATCTGATGGTATAGTCTCATTTTCAGTATCTTTATCTTTGACTGGTGTTTCTTCAATTATTTCTTGAGATGTTGAAATTATAGTAGATGTATCTAATTTACATGAGAGTTTTTTCATCGGTGTATTTTCTACATTAGCTAATGATGAACTAGATTAAAACAAAAAAGTATTATTTTAAATAAAATAAAAAACCATATATAAACCTTGTCTCTGATAATGGTTTAAAACTAAGTGTTCGATTAATTAAAGTTGTCTTTGTTGTATTCATATTTATCATTTTTCGATTTTTTGTTAATTCAAGTTGAAGTGAAGATACATTTCTTTGTGAATAGGTTCGTCGAGATTTGGATTTTATTTGATCCGACATTAGATTAAATTCAAAGAAATCAGTCATTGTTTTTTCCTTTTAAATGATTACTCTTTCTTTTTTTATATTGACAACGATTTTTTTTTCTTCTGTGCTGTCAAAAGAAGACAAAATGAACAACGGAAAAAAGATTATATTCGCTTGATTGGATACAAATGATTGACAAATCATATATGATTTATAGGGGATGTCGCTCTATGAAATACCGGATTATGAAAAGGCTTTGTTTTTTTTTATTTATTCAAAAGATAAATGAATTCAGTCTTTCAATTGATTACGTGCACCTATAGGAGTAATACCTCCTGTATTGAATTTATTGATAGCAAAGTCAACTAACCAAGCCGGACATTGCGATAGCGCAAACATTACATTCGATTGCCATCCAGGTCGATAACGAATATGTGGTTTCGTATTCATAACAGCATGTTTAAGTGCATTAATAACTTTATTAGGATTTTCAGCATATTTTATCAATAGATTATTCGAAAGTTCTTCTACTTGTTTAACAAGATGTTCTTCACCCCAACGATCTTTGACATCATTCTTCAATTCATTCCATAATACATGTAATGTTTTATCATGTCCTTCGACAATAGCGGTTTTCATAAAACCAGGTTCAATGATACTAACACGTAAATCCCATATAGACATTTCACGACGAAGACAATCCGAAAATGATTCTAAAGCATATTTTGAACAATTATAAGAAACCATTCCCGGTACACTTATATAACCAGCTACTGAACAAATATTAACAACACGTGAATCTTTTCTCATTATAAGTAATGGTAAAAATTTTTTTGTCATTGTAACATGTCCAAAAAAATTCACATCCATTACTTGACGTATAGAATCCACCGAAATCCAATCGATATATCCATAACTACCAACTCCAGCATTATTAACAAGTGCATGAAGTACTTTTGTTTTACTACTTATCATTTCATAGGCAAGATCAATATCTTCTGTTTGTGTTATATCTAATTTAAAGACGGTTGCACGTGATGAAAGAATGCTTGTTAATTTATCTTTATTATTAGAATTATAAATACCAGCGAATACATTAAAACCTTGTTTATCTAATTCAATAGCTAATCCATAACCAAAACCAGTATCACATCCACTTATTAATACATATTTACCAGTTGGATTTATATTTGGTGATGGAAAAAAATGTTGATACAATCGATACGATATATAAACAAAAACTACGAATCCAATTATAAAATACATAATTGTAGATTGTCGCAACTTTCGATATTTATCTGAAAGTTTATATAGACAAAGATAACAGTTTACCTTTATATTTATCTATGTTTTATATGATAGGTTAAGTTTACATTAGTTCGTACTTTTTTTTTTACTAAATATTTTATTTATTTAAAAAACAAATTACAAATTCACTGTCTATCAGTAAAAATTATCCGGAATATATACATCTGGCATTTAAAATACAATAAAAAGTTCAAATATAAATCTACTTATTTAATATCTTGCATAGTTTTCATTGATAAAAATTTGACTAGACTTTTAGGTCTATTTCGAATGTTGAAATGTTAAAAAAATATGTTCTAATGATGTTAATTGTACTGTATAATTTGATGCAATTTTTTGTTGTTCAACAAGTTCTTCTAATATTGTAAATAATTGTGCTAAACTACCTTTTGGATAGATATATTCATTACTATTATCAATAGAGAGAAGTAATGGTATTTGTAATGATGAAGATTGAAGTAATGTTAATCGTATACGATAATCAATGCCATATTTATTTTTAAGATGTTCAACTGTACCTAAACATCGTTCTTTACCACGAACAAGTATTGTTAAACGATCACATAATTGTTCACATTCAAGCATTGAATGTGAAGCAAATATAATCGATGTATCATCTGATCGATTTTGCAATATCAAACGAATATGACTACGTAATACAGGATCAACTTTTGCTGTTGGTTCATCAAGTAATAGAAGTGTTGGTGATCCAATTAAACATAAAGCTAAATGAAGACGACGTTGAGTACCACCACTTAAATTTGATACTAAATAATGTTGATGTTTTTCAAGTTGAAATTGTGTTAAGATTAAATCATTTAATAATGAAGGTTGAAGACCATGAAGACGACATATATAATCAATAGATTGTATAACAGTTAATGCTGAAAATGAAATATCTTTCTGAGGACAATAGCCAATAGAATCTTGATGTTTTCGATAGATATAACCATCACTTGATTGTAATTCACCAACTAACATGCGAAATGTTGTTGTTTTACCTACAATATGATATACAGAAAAAAAATACTATTATGTCTACAAACTTACCACTTCCATTGAATCCTAAAAGACCAAAACATTGTCGATGTGGTATAGAAAATGTCAATCGATCAACAGCTGGAATTTTCGATCCATGAAAATATTTAGAAAGATTATCAACAACCAGTGCTTCACATTGTTTATCATCGTCATTCATTGATTTTATCCTGACTCTTTCTTCTTTGACATCATCATCTTCTTCTTGTTGTTGATCTATTTTACTTTTAATTCTATTCCAAGGAAATCGTATGTTCCAAATATCAATTATAATAAGTAAAATGAAATATAAGATAAATTGACTAATAAAAATCAATGTATGAATGAGAATTTTATTTGAATATTGTTCATGTGCAAATTCTAGTCCTTGCTGTTCAAATATTGAATCATCAAATTCACATAAAGATCGTCTTAATATAGCTACAATTAATATATAGACATTCACATTTGGAAATATAAGTAAAAGTAACCATCGTATGATATACATTAATGATGAAAATGCTCGATAATTTCGAAAAATTTCCATAAATATCTTTAATGTATTTAAAATATGTGCTAATTGAAGAATAAATATAATTATAGTTGCACCTAATACTGGTGTTTTGAAAATTTTTGCAATTAGATATATAAATGGAAGATTAACGATGAAAAGAAGTGGTGTTAAAGCAAAAAATTGATCATTAAAAGTTGATGAATGAACAAAACGTGCTATTAAAATAAGAATAATTAACCATAGAAGACATAAAATAAGATCACTGAGAAATATAATACACCAATGAATGGGTGATCGAAGACCATGAATAAGTGAATAGGAATGAAGACCTGATGCATAATCTTGAATGGCTAATGCTGCACAAACAATTAAAATAAGGGATAATAAAATAAATGATAGATGAAGTGTAGGTGGTAGTGTATAGAAACAAAAGAAAGATGAGTCGTGTTGAGATGTAGATATTATAATAGATTCTTCTTCTCCGAGTAATTGTAATGGTGAAATCGATCGATTAGAAAATAATGAAAATATCGGTAAACATGAAGTAATTGTATTTGATAGAGCAGGTGATGGCACATAGCATTCCATTTGATCTTGAGATATTATTCGAAGGCCAATTAATTTTTTTTGATGATTAGAATTCGATGACCATGTTGGTAGTTCTAAATATTTAGAGATGAATATCAAGTCATTTTTCCGAGGAAAAGAAGAATATAATTTACCTAATAAATGTTTTTGAAATTCTTGTGATGAATGAGAAAATGGAATTGATTTAATATCGAAATTTTTTAAATTTAATTTGGTTTTGTATTCAAACGAAGAAGAAGAAGAAATTATATAACGAATTGATTCAGATGATGAAGTCAATGATGGCATATAAAGTGGTGTAAGTGTATAAATTATATAAAGAAATATAACAATTGGTAATAAACGAGCTTGTTTTAAAAATATTTGACTTCTTCGAATTAAGACACCTAAGATTTGTTGAAACCATAAATAAGTCAATTGTGTAGTTGTTCGTAAAGTAAATAATTCATTAATTTGTGATTTAATACTATTCTCATCTAGATAAACATGTATATATTTAAGATTATTAGAAATAAGAAGATATTTACCATGTTTTAATGATTCCGATGTTGATGTTAATTTGAGAAAAATATCGTCAAGTGTAATATTAACTAATGAATATTGAATATTATCTTTTTCTAATTGTACAAGTAATTGAATTAATTGTTTACGATTTGGTATCTGTATATAATGATTATCTTGATCAATAATCCATTCATTTGGTATATAGTTTGGTATAACATCCAAATAAATTCGATCGCCTGCTGGTCCAAATTGTTGTTTAAGTTCAAGAATTGTACCTTGTGCTTGAATTCTACCTGAATCAAGAATAATAACTGAATCACAAAGTTCTTCGACTTCATCTAATAAATGAGATGAGATTAATAATGTTCGATTTGTTTTATATTGTCGAAGCCATGACCAAAGTATTCGACGAGCAACAGGATCAAGTGACGATGATGGTTCATCTATAAGATTCAATTTTTATTTCATATACAATCATAACAAAAGCTTTTCATCTCACCTAAAACTATTACATTAGCTTGACCAACAAACGCACATAGAATTGATAATTTTCGTTGCATACCTCCCGATAATGTATGACATAACTGTTGATTATATTGATACATATCCATCATAGTTAATAATTCTTGAATTTGATTATTATCAATATGTTGTCCTTTGGATCGTACACAAGCATAAAATTCTAATTGTTCTTGTACAGTTAAATATGAAAAAAGCATATCTTGTTGAGGACAATAACCGATACAAGATCGAAGTTCTTGTAAATTATCATAGAAATTTTTATTATGTATTTCAATTGTTCCACAATCACATGGTAATAAACCACATAACATTTCCATTGTTGTCGTTTTTCCAGCACCATTATGACCAATAAGACCATGTATTTTAGAATTTTCAAGATTAAATGAAATATGATCAACAGCAATTTGTTGTTCAGTACTTTTTCGACCAAAACTCTTTGTTAAATTATTTATTCGAACTGTTGTTTGTTGGTTAGCCGGTATTTCAATCATATTTTCACGAGCACTACTATCGCGTCTATTGGGTTTATTACGAATATAATCTAATGGCCATAACCAGGAACGTGGTATACCATATTTACCTGGTCGAATTTGTTCGAAATAATATGCTAATAACCATATTAAAAGACTACCAATTATCATACTTAACCAAATTAAAATAATTTCAGTTGTTAAATTCGTTTGACGACCTACACTGGTATTTATTTGTATAAAGAGAATAATTATTCGTTTTATTGAATAGAATGGTAGCCAAGCTGACGCAATTAAACGAAGAATCATTGGTAATTGTATCGATGATGAAATTGCTAACAAAAATGAAATAACATAGATAAACCATGACCAAAGTGATGCTTGAAGTATACTATTAAAAAAGTGAGCAACAAGAATTGAACGTGAAAGAACTTGAATAGTCCATAAAAAAATTGTTAAAATAATAAACCAGATTGAGACATAAGCAAAATAAATTCCTCCATCGAAAGAAATTTTTAATATTAAAATTAGAAATATACTTATTATTAATTGTATAATAAAAACACGTAAAAACCAAGCAAGACTATTGAGTATGGGATGAATAGAAATTAATCGGAGAAGTTCAGTTATTCCTTGATGTTTTTCATCGATTATTTCATGAAAAAGAAAATTAAAACTAAATAAAATATATCCATCGATAAGTATTAAAATAATTGGAAGTATAAAATTAGGATATTCAAACAGCGCATCCGAAATATAGGATGAACAAGGCCATGTATAGATTGATAATTGATATTTTTGTATCGGTCGATTTAAAAGAGATTCAATTGCAAGATAAGCTTTTAATAATAAATTATATTCTTTAACATCTTGTTTTGAACATAAATATGTAGACGGATGCTGAATTTGATTTTTGTTTAGTAGGTTTGTTTTTTGACACCATTGTTGTTTGTTATATGGACAACGATAACTGATAGTATGTGTTTTTAGAGAAGTATTAACTAAAATATGTCCATGAAATTGTTCCGATGATAAGACAAAAGTACTTCGTGGACATAAACGTCTAAAACGATTATATAGATGATCAGATATGATATCAATCGTTATCAATGATGGCGGACATCGATAAACTGATGTATAATTCAGAATTCTGATCGAGTCTTGCTGTGAAATAATGAAGGAAGGTGTTAAACGTATACGATTTGAATCGATACTGTTCGATAATGATGCTGCTTGATTAATAGTTTTAGATGAAGGTGTATGTATCCAACGAAGAAGACATAAGAGAAGAATAAATATGGTAGGAATAAATAATTCAAATATGATCCTAGGACAACATCGACATATTCGCCGACGCCAAGCATAACGAGCTGATTTTTTAATTAATAATTTCAGATGATATAGTGACATTTTTAATAGAAATCCTTCAAATTTTGACAAGATTGTTTGATATTTGTCTTCACATCTTTTTTTCTTTCGTCCTGCTAGTTTTGATTGAGTTTGTCATCAAAGCAATGATAACGAATGAAAATGACCAAGTGATAATGATGGCAGCACAAACCAATGTACTATATTTACATAATCGATAATCTTGTTAGAAAAACTATGAATCCGTACGTATTTTTAAGAAATAAATCATAGATGAGAAACATTATTGCATGAGATTTATTTACAGATAAAATTTATATGTTACAAGAAGTGCTATTATTTAACTATATTTATCATAATAAAAAAATGATTTAAATTAAGTAGCTGGAATAATGATGATACAGCTTTGAAAAAAAAATTTATTAGTTTAATAATAGTTTTGAATATAAATAAACTTAAAAAAATCAATTAACATTTTATATAATATATGCGGATTATTTAAAAATTTTTCTATGAAAATAACGATGAAGTTCTTTCATTAATGAGACAGTACATGGCTCATCAAGTGGTGTATTTATGAACACACTTTCAAACCATTCAAAACCTTTTTCGACTAATTCTTGTCCATGTTCCATTGTCTTTGTTTCTGCTATAAAACGACAAGAACTATTCATACCATTTACATCATATTTTTCAAAAACTGTTGGCTTTTCAGTATCAGCTAATGGTATATATTTTATATCAGGTATTGGACATTCCCGTGGTATATACATAAGTTTACCCGGTTTACGTGGTACAATAAGATCTGAAACAACTTTTTCTTCATCATCGATAGATTCTGGTATTGGTAATGATACACTTATACGAAAATCTAATCGAGCAAATGATTGTTTTTTATCATTTTGAAAAGATAATAAATCAATGAGATGTGTTATTGAAGCACCAGGTGCACGAGCAGCTATTTCACATAAAACAAAATCATCATCAGGTAAACGATTTTCATCAAGATTTTCATATAATTCTAAATGAAATACTAAACCATCAGATGGTGTAGGTAAAATATTTAAAAGACGTTGTGCAGTTTTAATTAAACGATCATGAAGTGGATTTGATCGAGGAACAGATGAATTTCCATAAGCTGATCCATCTTGACAAAAACTTAAACATGTATGAATATAAACAAATGGCCATGCATGTATAATTTGACCATTCTTCGCAATACCATCAACATGAAACATGCCACCTTTCATATATCCTTCAGCCATAAATTCACCAACTAAATCCATTCGTTGATCAACATCAATAGATGCGAAAAGTTTTGTTGAAAGAAATGTATGTAAATCTTCTTCAGTTTTAATTAAACTAAGACCAGCTGAAGCACAACCAAGAGTTGGTTTAACTACAACAGGATATCCTTGTTTTTCAATAAAACCAATAAGATCAGCTGGTGCAAATAAACGTTGAAATGGTGGAACAGGATAACCACCTTTCGAAGCAAATTCTTTCATACGAACTTTTTCACGATAAGCTGGAACAGTTTCAGCTGTTAAACCATTTTTTATATTAAGTAATGTACGTATATGAGCTGTTCTTATAATTAAATCTTCATTATTTGTATAAACATGTGTAAATGAATATTTTTTATGCATTTCAAATGACCATATTTCAAGTGTACCATCTGTTGTTGGATGAGCAACTTCTTTATAAGCACGAACACGTGGAGACGATTTGTCTTTTTCAGATAAAGCACCTTCACTTGTAAAAATATATAATTCAATATCATCATCATCATCAATAAACTCTGACCATGAATGTCCTTCAATCATTGATCCAATCTGATGATCATCTAATACTAAAACACGTCTACTAGCCATTGAAATATCTAGAAAAATAAATTGATTACTAAAATTATGAACGTATCCTTTTATTTCTAATGTGTTCTGTCGAAAGAAAAAATATACTATATTTTCTAACTGGTTTAAATTTATTCTCTATTAATATAATACTATACAGTACGCTATAGACATCAATTATATTTTTCTCCAAATAATGAGTACACATTCATGACGGGTCACAATAATAGCTCGAGTGTAAAAGGTACGAGTAGTCTAATAAACGAATCAGACGCTTGATACATTGTATTTTCATGTAGGATTACAGCGAAATATGTTGGATGTCGCTATCGAACAATCGATTCAAATTTATTATTTTATTTTATCAATTGTCTATTTAGAGAGCAATAGAAACTTGTGTATTCTGTTTTATGTATTTATTTTTATTACTGAATGTCTCATTAAACACGATGCATACAAAAATATTCTATTATATCCGACTTCTGCAAAAATACAAAAACAATCAATTATTCGATATATATATATCATCGGAAGGTTAAAGTCGATGTCTGGTAATTTATGTAATATAAATCGATATTTGTTACAGTATTATATAGCTATTATTTTTACATTATGTCGACCTATAATAATATTATCAGTTATACTGAATAGAATTAACGCATTCAAAATATTATATTTACCTTTTATATATTCGAAGATCACTTAATTAAACTAACGCAGGTAGAAAAACTAGTTTTATTTATTGTATTATATCAAACTTGATAGACATACTCAATATATTCCTTCTTTTTTTTATGAAATAGCGATTCAAAAAAAGAATATGTCTACTCTCTCTACCTTTGTACTGAGTCGACTGACATGCGTAAGCACGATAATAAAATAGCAGAATAAAAAAATAAAACCACATAGCGCATATTTTTTTCCTTTTTTGTAAGATAAATAAAAGAATGGGGTATAAAAAAATCTTGACAAAACAAAAAAAAAAAGACAAATCACGTGTTGTTAGCACGTGTGTGAATTCTATGTGAATGCTCGTAATGTATAGATTGACTATAATAATTATCAAAACCAAGACGAGTAAATATCCATTGTTTAAATGCAAATAAATCTTCTTGCATTAATTTAAAACACATTGCAGTAAAAGCAAGACCAAATAGAAGATAAAGTGCACATAAAATTGATTTACCATTTTTATTTTCAGTTAATGTTCCTTTGCCAGGTACTAAATCACCTAAACCTATCGTAGTAAATGTAATAAATGAAAAATAAGCACCATCAACATAAGACCATCCTTCCCAGTAAGAAAATAAAATACCACCTGCTGTAATATAAAGAACAAGAACACCAAATGCAACAATTATGGGTACATTATGTTGAACAGTTTCATTTTCTATCTAAAATTTTAAATTAATAGAAATTTTTGATTTAAAAACAAAATTCGTATTACTAACTTCTACAGATAGTTTTGCTTGTCTTCGTCTTCGCCATCGTCTTTTTATTCGATGAATAAAATTATATATCATCGAATAATATCTGATGAAGATAAAAACAAGTATATTACTTGTATTCGTTAGATATACAATCATTATTGGAATTCCAATCATAGCATATAGACATGTTATTAATTTCCCTGACATAGATTTAGGTGCAATATTTCCGAATCCAACTGTTGTAATTAATGTAGCTGAATATAGCATAGCAGTCGAGAACGTCCATTTTTGATTATAAGATGCATCAGATGGTGCATCTTGTTTATCCGCTAGTTTTTCTTCATCAGCTTGCATATGTGCTAGTTCATTATCAATTAATCGATCAAATCTTTCACTTTGAACTTTTACATGCCATAGAGTATCATCATAAGCATCTAAACGTGATAACATTCCACGCCAAAGTGCATAACGTAATTCAAATGATGCATTTAACATCCAATTAAATTCTTCAGTAACTATATGACGAATATTATGAATATGATGTAAATGTTTTATTTTAATTTGTTCATTTTTACGTAATTCATATTTTGATTCAATTGTATAGAAAAGAAGACCACCCATCATAATATAAATAAAAACTAGAATGATTAAACCTAGCTGTGAAAATAAGAATTGAATAAGAAATCGACAAAAATCTTTTCGATATCGTTCCCAAGAACATAGACAACAACAATATTCATGAACGATATCTTGTTGACCATTATAAGTACACGTATGAGAAGAAGAAGATGATTGTTGTATATCAGAAACTGGAATATCACCATATTCATCGAAGGTAGCTAATGGTGCTCGACTTGGTTGAGTTGGTAATACTGTTCGATGAGATATTTCGCCGGAAATAGTTTTAAACTAAAGAAAAAAAAATATATTAATATATAGAAAGAAAAAAAATCTTACAGGTACTATTGTTGATGTACTATAGCTAGAATTCGTATGACGAGCAGTATAGTTCATTCTCAATCTGATTTAACGTTTTTTTTGTTTATAACAATATTAATCGATAATTCGATTTAAGATCTAATTAGCATCTTATACCTCTTCGTCATCGATAGTAGTAACGACCTGATTTATAATCGTCTCATACATAATTGTTTGACTCACTAATGTGAGTCTGTAACATGTGCAGATGATTACTTAACAAGTATACAATACATTCAATTCCTTTTTCTTTTCTCTCAAATACTTTCCGAGTATGATTATAATCAACTATAATCGTTACGTCTATATTTCCGGTTATATTATTTTATATACTATTTGTATCAATGATGATTGCGAAAGCATAGATTATTTGATTGTAATCATTTCTATAGTACGTAAGTAAATTGATCCTTATATTTAGTATTTTTTTGCTTGATGAAGAAGGTGATGTCTATATTTCCGTCTGTAATTGAGTATGAAATGGCTATAGTAGTGTCTGAGTATTTTCCGTTAGAGAAAACAGACAATATGACTATGGCGAGTTGAATCAATTTTAAGAAAATGATAAAACTTACCGAAAAAGCACTATGATAATGTCTAAAATATGCCATGATTATATATAATTTTACTCTATTAACCGCAGATGCTATGTCTACTGTTAATTTAAGTTAATGTTTGACGCTGAAAGTCATGAAATATTTCAATTATTTGAGTGTTTTTACTTGGAAATGAGTTGTCTCTTGACATATTACTTTTTTTTTCTTCAAAATACAAGAATTAGAAAAGTGGTCTAATGACTCCATGCTGTTAAATTAAGAGAGAAAATCAGCTCGAAGAAATTTGTATTATTTTTATTGAATAAAAAAATTGTAAACTTCAAAAAACGAAATTTTGATGGTTCTTTTTAAGTTATATATAACTGTTATCTAGAACACAACAACGTGAAGAAAAAGAACTAGGGTAGTGATGAATCATTCTTTTTATCGTACACAATAACAATACTCTCTTTATTTATATATGTGTTTGTTTCTCATTTTTCTTTTTATGCTTCGCGTCGAATGTATATAAAGCGCTATTTTACATGTGCAACTGAATGAGAAAAAGAAAAAGAAAAACAAGAATTTATTATCGATCCCCAATAACAATAATAATATTTTGTATGCATTATAAAGATAAAAATATAAGCTATCATAATTATCTACAAAATCGTTTTTGTAGAGATACTTTTAGATTTATTTTTTTAAACAATATTAAATATGTCACAACGTCATCGTTCATCGAAAATAATTGAAACATTTGATGAACAATTCTCATCATTATCATCTGAAGAATTACAAACATTTATTAAACATGTTCGTCGTCGTTTAGATGACGTTGATGAAAAAGAAAAACCTGTTAAAGAAGAAAATAATATATTTTCACGTGTTTTTCTTTTATCAGCCTTATTGATTCTTCAATCAGGTTCATCATTTATTTTACAATCATTTTCGGATCTTATTTCTCGTCATATATTAATAACAATGTATTTAACAATGCTTGTTGGTGCCGGTGGAAATGCTGGTAATCAAGCAGCTGTTCTAGTTATTCGTCGTTTAGCAACATCGAAATCATTTTCAGTTCGTTCACTTATTTTACGTGAAACATTTTCAGCAGTTATTATTGGTGCATTGGTTACATTAGTTGGTTTTGTTCGTGTATGGATTGAAGAACGTGGTGCAATTTTACCATCATTAACTATTGGAATAGCATTATTTTGTATAGTGACATCATCGATTTTACTTGGTACATTACTTCCAATAATTTTACAACGTATTATACATGTTGATCCTGCTCATGCAGGTCCAATCATTCAAGTTATCATGGATATACTTGGTGTTTGTATAACATGTGCTGTTGGACAAACACTTCTCGTTAATTTATCCTCTCATAAACATAAAGAATTGTAGGAAAAAATTTTTTAATTAACCGCCTTTGTACATTTTTATTTGATTCCTTAATAAAACACAATAGAAGTACGCATTTGTCATGTCCTGTGTGCGTGATGTATAGATATATATATATATATACACATATGTGTAACAGAATGATAAAAAAGAAAGCATCGAGTTAAATATCAATGACGTCAACAACTGCTACGTATCTCGTGCAAATTGCTTCTGTTCCGGGTCATCAAGTTGGTCAACGAGCATTTGAACAAAGTCGATATTTACATGATTTACTTATTAATACATTAATTAATGATGATAATAATGAATGTAATAAACAACAAATAAAAGCATTAACAAAATTAATTCCAGATCATGAAATTGTTCTTCGATCAGGTTTTTCACAGACTGCTCAATGGGGTTTAGAACCAAATATGTTTGTTGAAGTAAGTGAAAATTTAAAGAATAAATTCGAATTAAATTTATTGTTTATTTTCAAAGATTCATGGTAATGAAAAACAAGCACGTATCATTAGTGCTCTTTTTGGTTATGCATTTTGTCAAGATGGAATAGGTATTGGTGGTGAAGTTGAAGGACAAAATCATTCTGTATTAATTATAAATAATGATTGGAAAAATGAAAAAGAACGAGTTAATCTTGTTTCGATTATTTTACAGAAATATCCGAATCTTTCAGCTCAACTTGATATAAATGGTCAACTTGCATTTCATGATTATCCAATGTCATCATCATCATCGGCATTTACTGATATCATTTCATTAATCAAAAGTTTAAATGATAATTGTTCGATTGAAGAAAAGCAAATGAAAAGTGAACTTGTTGATCGAACTGAATATGATAATTTATTGATGTTACTTGAATCATCAAATGCACGTCGAGCTCTTAATATTTTAAAACACGCACATGCTCGATTTTTTTCTGGTTATGCATGTGGTTCATTAACATTACCTACATTCTCAATACGACGACGACGACAAAATCGTCGCGAACAGAATAGAGATAAACTTGATAAATATAATCGTCATTCAATATCTCCGCCTCATCTTTGTTCATTAATATTAACAGCACGTCGACCATGTATGTGTCTCACCGATAACAACTGTTTTTGTCATTATACTCTTATCTTTAGTCCTCATATAATTTCGTCATATAGTTGACTTTCTTCAAGTTTTGCTTATTAAACTATTGTAAATACAGTAGAGAAAAAAAATAAAATAAAATGAAATAAAATGAAATAAAATGATTCATGTGATCGTATTTGTATGTGCTATAATAACTTTTATTATTCCAATAATTCAACTCTCTATTGGATTTCAATATGTTGTGAAAGATGGTGAAAATGCTAATCACCAATGTTCTGCAGCACCTGATCTTCCTTTACTTATGGCAATTGGTGGTATATTTGCACTCTTTTTTTTAGGTATTGCTTATCGATTTCTTAAAATGCTTACTTCAGTAAACAATCAACAAAGTGCTAAGAATGGAATAATGCGAAAGCTTCTTGTTGGTAAGTTTTTTGTACTTTTTCATTAACTCTAATCTAAATATTTTTTAGGTTTTGTTAGTTTTATATTTGGTGTGATTACATTTATCTTTTTTATTCTTATTCAAATACGTGTTTATCAAGCTTATTCAAATAATATTCAATATGATACTCAATCAACATCAAATTTTTGTTATTCAACGATAATGCGCGGTGCTTTAGTTTTAATTGTACTAACTTATATTAGTATTTTTCTATTTACTGGTATTTGTATACTTGCTTTCATTAATGCACATAGGATACGTCAAGAAAAATGTGATAAACAGTTCGAAATGAAAACTATACCTGAAAATACGAGATTTTGAAATAAAATATTACATATATGTAACTCATGACAAAAATAATATAGAATTTATTTTGAAGACAGTACACAGATGTGTCATTGTTGTCAGATCTCAATGATATACTTATTAACTGAGTTAACGAGAAAATGTTCTATAAAACTGCTTTTTTCTAAACAAATAAGTAATAGATAATGTCATCGAACAAATCTGTGTAACATTTTGATTTGATCTGAAATATATGTTACAGATGTGACTAATATATTAAATAAAGAACAATATCATAATTAAAGAGATCAAGCATTTATTTCTTTTTATTTGCGAAACATAAAATTAAAAAGAATATTATTATCGATATTTGATTATATATAGAATGAATTAGATAATTCTCAAAGTTATACTTAAGATAAATTCAAAACAGAAAACAGCAGTCAAAATATATATATTCAAGCATAGTTTATCTGTTGCTGAAGGTGGTGGTGTTGGTGCTTGTGATGATCCTGATGCTGGTGTTTGTGTTGATCCTGATGCTGGTGCTTGTGTTGATCCTGGTGCTAGTGCTAATCGATTGAGAAGTGCTCCAAGTCGACGTCCACCTGCAGCAAGACGTTGCTCAAATATTGGATAAACACGTCTGAAATAATTTTCAGTTAAATTAAATGTCATTGAAGCATTCATTGTTCTGTTTGCATCATCAAAATAAGCTTCTTGACAAATAAAATTCAAACTTTCACTTATCCACTGTTGAATATCATCGTCATTAGGTGGTATAAACTGGCGAACCATTAGTCCATGAATAAATTCATAATACCTACTTGAATTTCTATTAAAATCTTGTTGAATACGATAATCTATCATACCAGAATCCCAGAGAGAATGAAGATTAGTTAATGCTGTTCTATTCATAAATCGAACTATAAATTAAATTAAAATTATTTTTTTTATGTTGAAATTTAAAAATAGAACTTAACCTCGAACACTATTACCACCATAATCACTTTTAAATCCAGTATGCATTGGTTGATGTATGTCACCAACATAATGAATAAGAAAATAAAGTGCTTCTTCATGTTGTATATGATCAAGAGAACTTTGTAATCTTTTCGTATAATTTCTAATTGCACCATCGATACAAACATCATTAATACAATCTCTATTGACATCATAACTACAATTCCAATCAGGTACGTTTATGTAATGGAATGGTCGAGTCCATTGCCAATTACCAAAACCAGTCGGATTTGTATCTGCGTAAAGAATACTATCAGCCCATGATGCCATTGCACTTAAATTTCCATTCCAATGCCATGGAGTAAGAGATCGAATCCACTCTGGTGCCGAACCTGTCAGTTGACTTTGAGCTAGCTGCACAACTATACTATGACCAATCCCACCCCATCCATATACATGTAGGAATGTTTGGCATAAGATGATAAAAGAAAATGAAAACAACATTCTAATAAAGTCTTTCTTTATTATGCAGCACTTAGTAGGAATATTTAAAGTAGTAATACATTTATATATGACGAATAAAACAACAAAGGATATATCAGCTAGATTAAATCAATATTTTTCAAGAAAAACGTTTCAAAAATATATGTATGAAACTAAATCTGAATAAATAAAATCTATACGAAGTCATAGAATTTCAGTCTAAATATATATATTAAATATTTAGTCAATAAAACTATTGACTTTTAGAATATAATCTTTCGATAATCAGTATTTACTACTATCGAGGAATTTTATAAAAAATAAAGATAAAGAAATTAAGTAAATCTCTAGATTTATAAAATAAAGATAAAGTTAATCTTTATTTTGATAAAACAAAGATAAAGAGAAAGTTACTTCGTTTCAAAAAAATAAAGAATAAAGAAACTTTTTTTCTTAAAAATCTAAAGTTTTATCTTTTCTAGATAGGCCGCCCGATATTATAGGGACACAGGCTAAAATAGATGCTGGACAGAAGTTTTTCCATATTAGAATATTGCTGTTGATTGAAAAAAACTGCGATCAACATTATCTATTTTCTTATAAATCTAAAGATTTAGTTTATTTCTTTATTTTTATTCTTTATAAAATAAAAATAAAGTGATACTCCTAATGGTAAATTATCAGTAATTTTTTTTTACGAAAAAGATAGTAAAGTTTCTTTTGTTGACATATTTTATTTGACAATTAGCTGTCGTAGAAGAAAAATTTTTTGTGTATGAATAAAATGAACGACATAATATTCTATTTATTTATTATGTCTTTGTTCATTGCATTATAATATTTTTAACTACGATCACAATAAGTATACAAGAAATAACATATGCATTAATGAAGACTGGACATAAACTCTCTAACGAGTTTCTAGTAAAACCTAAGAATAATTGGAGTCATTTTCTTCGCGTTGTATTATATTATCAAGTTTTTTAATGTTGAAAAAGTATTATTTAAAATGATTATTTGTTGACTCAATCGAAGAATATCGATTATTAGTACCTTAAGAGAAAAAAATTCATTTTAAGATTATCCTACGATATTGCATCTATTTTTTTCGTCATCAAGCAAAATATTCAATTCACGGTTTCATTTAAATAATTGACGGATATATAATATTGATTGATCAAAGAAATTATCGTAAATCTCTATAAAATTGTGTTCAAAATACTATTGAATTCATCGTGAAAACTTATGTTTAGTCAATCTCAATTCATGTATTAATAAACAGTATTTAAGTGACATCTCCATGTGACACTGTTATATTTGATTTTTGATTGGTTCTTCTTCGTACATGCTCTTTTCTGCTTTGAGAGAATAATCGTATCGCTTTTCTGTAACCTATGAGGTTTCTTTTTTAATTTTTCAATTTTAATAATAGCTAAAAAGTACAACAAAGAGAAATATTCGATTAATGACTACGCCGACTAAATCATCAGATGCATCGAAACCACCGACTGCTACGTCAGATGCACCAAAGGCTCAAACAAATACGCCAAATTCAGTCAAATTTTTAATCGGTGGTCTAGCAGGGTACATATATATATTTATATATTTTCTTTGATTGATTAATTTTACATTCAGAATGACGGCTACATTATTTGTCCATCCAATGGACGTAGTCAAAAATCGTATGCAAATGAGTGGTGAAGGTGGTGCAGCTAAAGAATATAAAAATAGTTTTGATGCATTAACAACTATATTTCGTAAAGAAGGTTTACGTGGCATTTATTCGGGGTAAATACATTGTTTATAAAATAAAAATTAAAGTTATTTAATATATTTTATATCTAGTCTTTCAGCTGGTTTATTTCGTCAAGCAACATATACAACAGCTCGTTTAGGAATATATCAATCATTATTTGAACGTTTTCGACAAGCTGATGGTCGTCCACCTCCTTTCTTTGTTAATCTTCTTTTGGGTGTTACTGCTGGCGGTTTAGGTTCATTTATCGGTACTCCAGCCGAAGTAGCATTGATCCGTATGACACTTGATGGACGATTACCAGCAGCTGAACGACGAAATTATGCACATGTATTTGACGCTCTTGTACGTATTACACGTGAAGAAGGTATTACTAAATTATGGCGTGGTGCTATACCAACATCAACACGAGCTATGATTGTTAATGCTGCTCAAATGCCGACCTATTCACAAGCTAAACAAGTACTTATATCATCCGGTCTTATGGAACAAGGATTTCTTCTACATGCTGTATCATCATTGATTGCAGCATTGGTGACTACTACTGTTTCATTACCAGTTGATATTGTTAAAACTCGATATCAAAATATGAAAGTTATACAAGGAAAACCAGAATATAATGGAATATTGGTAAGTTAGGATATATGTATATGTCAAGCGTACTAAGTACGTTGAAGGACTACTTATTGTTTAACAAAGATAACCTTTGCGATAAGAGAATTATAGAAAGATAACGCCAGTTCTAAAAAGAAGTGGCAGGTTACTGTTAGTGGTTCTTTCTTCCTACATCGATTTGAAAAGATATATTTTATCTGATAGAATAAACTTATTAAAACAAGTAGTTTTAAATTTATTTTACCTAAATAATATAATAATCGTCAAACATCAGCAGTTTGATAACTAGCCTTTTGATTTTCATTAAAATAACCAAAGAAATATAAATTTGTAAAATTTCATTACTATAGAATATCATTTGTTCATTTTACTTGATGATTGATTTTTCTTTTAAACATCAATTTAATTGAATTTAAAGCGTACAATGTTACTCACGAAAGTTATAATTGTTTTTATTTCATATCGAAGAAATTTATACGGACAAATTTAGACAATTGAACATATATATGAACAAATTGTATTCTCATGAGAATTTATTCATACTTGACATGCTAATAAACTTCAGAGTATTTTAAATATACCGCACATGATTTGACCGCTGTTGAATTTTTTTACGTGAGTTCTGCTAGTTACCGTGACAATTTCAGTATACTGTTCGTCTTTTCAATCTGCCATTTTTAATTAATATCGTGTAAAAAAATACTTCATATGCTTTGTCTTAGTTATATAATCATTTATATATTTCTACATAGAAAATTTATTTGAGTATACATTTTTCTTTCAACTGAAAAAAACATATCAGTAGTGGTTTGATATACCAATATACTTATGTTCATTCTTGTTCTGTCGTCGAATCGTACATTAGGTCATGGATCGTTTTTTTCTTTTCTTTTCTTTCTCTTCATTTTCGTTTATGTTCATATATAGTTCAACGGTCATATAGCTTCTTTTACTTTTTGAGTGTACATTTGTCTCATGCTCTTCTTATTTTATTCGAACAGTCACCGTTGTTTCAACTCGCGTAGACAATATTTTTAAAGCTTTCGTGAACTAAGTCAATACTATTTCGAGTAATTTATGAATTCTTTTTACATGAATGTATATATCTATCAAGATAAAGCAACTCAGTTTCATGGTAAGAGTATGACAATAGCTTATCTTTTTTTTTGTATTGAGTACTTCGTAATATTCGAAATCTATTGAGTTGTCACAATTATCAAGAAAGAATCATTAATCATATTCGATATTTTTTAAATCTTTCTTTTTATTAAATTTTAGGATGTATTCCAACGTATTCCTCGTAAAGAAGGAATATTCAGTTTTTGGAAAGGTTTTACACCATATTTCTCTCGTCTTGGTCCACATACAATTCTTACATTTATATTTATTGAACAACTTAATATTCAATATCAACGACGTGTACTCAAAAATGATACTTATTCATCTACATTATAAAAATTTAATATTCCATAAAAAAAGATAATCAGAATAGTCTAGTAGTTTTCTAACAGTGCTTACCCATTTAGTATTTCCAATAAAACAGAAAAAAAAATCTATTTTTCTCTTCTTTTAGATATGTCATTTGAGGATTATGCTGCAACATGTTCACGTACATTTGCTCAAACACCAATACGTCTTGTTCGTATGTCATCGTCATTGACAACATTTGTTGGTTGTCTTGATCCACCTTACCGTCATCTTGTTTTATTATGTCAACCACATTTTACTGATACATCAATATCAGTTGCATTCTATTTAAATGGTACAGCTTATTTTGAATATTTAAATGAAGAAAAAATTCGTCAACGTTTACAATTATTAAATAATCCACGTAAAACATCATTTCATCGTGGTGATTTAGCACCTGTATTAGACCGTTTAAAATCTATGTTAGCTATTGATTCTCTTAAACAAGATAATCCAGATATTGAATTACATGCTAAACTATTATCAGCAAGATTATTATCAATTGAAATTTATCATAATGATTTAAAATTTAAACTTCGTCTTGATGAACGACCAGAATTATTTGAACAACACTATGTTAGACAATTATTAATACAAGTGAAAGAATTATCACAAAGACAAACATATTTATGTGAATTATTAGAACATAAGGATGAATTACCACAATTTGATTCAAAACTTTTTCTGTGTACGCCAATGACACTTATTGATGATCATGAAGGTAATATCATTTGATAATATACATGTGATTAAATAAGTCTAAAGAAATTATTAACTATGATATGAAACAGCAAAACTTTCATTGCATATGAGTATGTTTTAGTTTACACGTTGACAATGATATAGAAATCGACTAAAACTCTTAACTATTGCCATTCACTACGTGCAATAAAGATAGTTTCTTTTTGTATGAGTTTTAATCATATAGTAGTAATATATCAAACAGAAGTTTTAATGATTTTATGAATGGTGCAATTTACTAATAAAAGTTTGAAATTACTGTTAACATATATATGAGTCCATCGTTATCAGGTTTAGAATAAATTGCATTTTGCTTACAATATCTTTAATTATGTCTGTACCATATAAAATAGGAGCATTACAAGAATATGATGTTTTCATTCCAATATTTTTAAATCATAAGCTATCGTTATTTATCCATAAGAATAATCAGGCAAAATAATTTCTTCTACATATAATGAATTTATATTATAATATAGTATGAAAAATATTTATTTTGTTTTTTAGAAGAAGAGGAAGACGATGAAGTCTTATCGTCATCAACCACTGGACGCTTATGGAAAGCATCATTTGGTCGTCGTGGCGGTCAAAATTTTCTTGATATATGTTTACTTAAAAAATCTTATATGAGAGCATTAGAAGATCTGGATGAAGATGAAGACGATGATATAGAAACCGTTTCCTCAATTTTAACCAATATAGTTGATCAAACTGTTGCTAATGACGATGAACAAAATAATGATGATCAACAATATAATGACGACGTTGGTTTAGCAGCACGAATCGCAAAACGTTCAATAGCATCAACAATGAATACAGAAAATGATGATCATCAAATGAAACGTTTACGAAGTAATCCAGCAGCTCCTACCGTTTCTGCTTAATGATTATTCTTTCTTTTTTTTCGTCAATTTTATAAATCTTAATCGTAATATATCAGAGTGAAAGCATTCCTTTGTATTAAAGTAGAATTTAGTATTAAAATTTAATTAAATTGTTTGTTTGTTTTTTTTTATGAATATTTAAAATTTTTTTTAACGTTCATTGTTAAACGGCTATCGTTGTTTTTTTTTTTAAACTTTTATCTTATCATATTCAGATTTTAAGTGATACTCTTACCGACATATAAAGTAACCGTCAGATGTCTACTTATATTGTCTTCCGTATAGACAAAAAATAGGACTTATTTCTAAAATAAGTTACTACTGATATTTTGTTGTTGCCTTTTTTTTATACAGGAAATTGCATAAATAAATTGAAAATTTTTGAATTATTTATCCATACTTTATTTAGAGAATATTATACAATTGAAATAAAAATATTAGAATATCGTCTTTAAAATAATTTAAAAATTATATTTAACGTGGATTTGTGTTTGGATTAGCTTCCATAGCTATTGCTCCTTCTAATGTTGTTGTATCAGGTAGTTGAGTATTTGCTGATGTAGCACCTGTTTTAGCATCGTCGGGTACAGTTTTAATATCTGTTTGACGTCTTTCATTTTCTACGACAGCGTGATCCATTGTATATTAAGTTTTTGTTTTTTTATATCTAAAAAGAAAAAATTATTTATAATTAATTTTACAAATTACAAAAAAAAAAGAATTTCAAAATTTAATTTGGTTTGATAGCTGGATTTGCTTCTGTATCAGCTTGAGTCACTGGCTTTGTTGCTATTTGACCAACAAGAGTTTGACCAGTTGTTTCTGTTGCTGATGGTACTGATGTAGAACTACCATCATTTGGTGCTATGACTTTTTGTTGATCATCGTTTGTTTCTTTATATAGATCATGTACAGCCTTGTCCATTATTCAGAAGAGAGTGTTTGCTTCTAGAAAAAATAATCAGAATGTGATTTGAATTACGCACTCTTTTTTCTTTCAATTGCGTGCTGCTTGTTGCCTAAGACAACTCACCGAATGAAAACAGAACAAAGTACTCTATGACATTGATAATAAGAACGAGAAAAAAAAATAAAAATTCATTGTAACAAAAGGCAACGAGAAAATTGTAGAAGATATTTTTTTTATCGATTACATAATAATTTATATTATTGAAATTTGTAACTAAATATAACTCTATTATTCATTTATTTCAGTCGCATATGTCACTATTATTCATAAAGAATATTCATTAAAGTAAACACAGTCATAATTCTAAAAATTGTTATACTCATTGTTCAAGGACATATGCACATTATTGTTAGTCAACGACCGAATGCAATAATCAAAAAGAGGAAATAACTTTTACATTTGTCATACTTACCGACAAATTTTTCATCCTTTATATCTTCCAGCTTATTAACAAATGTAAAAACTTTTGTGATAGAAAGAATTCATAATCATACGTTTTATGTATTTAGATCATAGTTTTTTATATAATAAAAAAAAGACAGAAGAAGTTCAATAAAATATAATTATGGTTTTTGTCCTTTTTCAATAGCATTTAATCGAGCAATATTATTTAATGTACTTATTCGATATGGATGATTTTCAATTGGTAAACTGTCAAGTGCACGTTGAAAATATTCTCGTGCTTTACTATAATCTCCACATACTAGATACATCGCACCTAAATTATTGTAAGCAGCAGCTACTCGAGGATCATTTTTTCCACATTGACTTAATATATCAGCAGCTCGTTGAGCACATGATAATGCATGTTCCATATCACCTTGATCATGTAATATATTTCCCATATTACCAAGACAACCTGCTATTTCAAAGTCATTTCTTGGTTTAACTTCTTGTTCACGTATAGTAAGAGCACGTTGAGCACAATCGAGTGCTTCATTAAGTTGTCTACATGCCCAATGTGCATTACCAAGACCAACAAGACATCGAGCTATTGTAGCTGGATCTTTTGGTTTTTCATTTTCATACCATTGCAATGCTTGAGAATAACATTTTAATGCTTCATTATGTTGTCTCATGTCATTATTAACTGTACCAAGATGCATAAGAGTATCAGCTTTTTCTCTATTGGTAGCTTTGCGTAATGCTTGTTCATGACATTCAAGTGCACCCGGTAGATTTTGTAAATGTTCACGTAACAAACATCCTGCTTTATTTAAAACACGAACGTTTGGATCCTCTATACGAGAGAAAGCATTAATTGCTTGATCCCATTCACCATGAGCGATAAATTCATCTCCTGCAATTTCATCCTCACTTAATGAAAAAAAAGACATATAGATACATAAATTATGTATATATAAAAGATTATTAGAGAACAAAAAGACTTTTGCCTTAGAAAGATTCAAGAAATATCAGTAATTGTTTTATAGAAGAACAACAAAACATACGAAATATCTTTTGATTCTGGGTCATCTTTTAATTCTGGGACATCTTTTGGTGTGTCTGATTTATTTTTATTTTGTCGTTTATACATATCATCGGACCTAAAAATAGAGAAAAAAACTAATAAAACAATTAGTAATATTTTCTAACTTGAGAAGAGGAATCGTGTCTATTAAAAATTCATCTATTGATCTTCCTTCGCTTTGTTTTTTTTCAATAAATTCTTCATATAATTGTTGTTTAGATCCTGAATCAACTGCAACTAATTGAATAATAGTAACTAATTCTCTAGCACTACCAAAACCAGCATATCTTGATACACCAATTATATAAAATGCTGTTGCCATATCAAGAAGAATTATATCTCCCATATGCACACCAAGTGCATTACTTGCATCGATTTTAAAAAGTACACTAATCATTTTACGACGACGAGTTGGACGTACTGCTACTGCTAATGCATTTGCTCTTGTTTTTGTTACAGGAAGAAAACATTGAAATGAAATAATATCTCTTGATGTTTGCTGTTCAAATCGATCGACAACTGATAATGGTAATTTTGTACCATAATAACCTTGACTACACATCTGTATTGTTGATAAAGGTTTCAATTGTCTAGTTAAATCAAGAATAAAAAAACGAGTAAGTCCTAAAATATGTTGATCATGTGTACGAAGAGCATTTGTTATAAGTATATGATATGGAAATGCACGATCCGATCTATGAATCCAATTTAAAATGTCTAGTTTATTGTAGGATGTATCAAACTCATGAATGGCCGTATGCATTTGTTTTTTTGAACGATAAAAAATATTAGCTTGTTCAATAAGATCTTTTCTTGTTAGTTTTTGATTTATTTCATGACTCAACCAGAGATTATAAAAATAAAAGTCTATATTATCACCTCCATCTAAGTTACGATGAAAAAGAATACTATTTGCATTGAGTTGTAATTCTACTATATCGAGTGTTTCAAAAAGTACTGGTAATAAATTATCCATTCGAGGATAAACACCAACTACTTTAGTGAATGATTTATCGATTTCTTTACGTGTAGTAGATAAAATAAAAACAGCTTCAATAGAATTCGAAGCTTCGAATGTTTTTATAACACGATCATCGATTGATGTTGTTACTACAATAGTTGTTTCATTATCCATCGTCATTTCATCGATGTATGACATACAAGCAGGTAAATAATTAAATGATGTAATAGATTCAATTATTGCTTTACGTATAAGTGGAAGAATTTTATCACGTTCATCGAATACAACTACATGTATTCCACTACCTTTCATTGCTGTTGTTGCCATGTGTGTATAAAATTTGAATGTAAAAATATAAAATGGCAAACTGAATTCTCACGTTACTGTTTCTATTGGATCTTATATAAACTATACATTTATTATGATTGACAACGGCATACAATTTTGATCGTTTGCTTACGAATAGAAATCATTTTTCTTTTCTTTTTTTTCTTTCTTTGTTTTTAAAAAAAGAAATAAACTACAAAAACAAATTTATAATCATTAAAATTAACGTGGTAAAAGATTATCTAGATCAGCAATAGCATAAGCATAAACAGCCCAAACAGCAGCAGCTAAATCTATATCAGTTGAATTGAGTACATTGACTGTATCACCCTTTGAATGATGATAGGCAAAATAATTTCGATTGTCATTAAAAAGTGAGGCACCAGGAACACCACGTTCTAACCATGGACCTATATCAGTACCCTCACCATTTGGTACAACTTGAGTTGCATTAATTGATCTTAATTGTTGAGATATTGTTTGTATAATCTTAGAAGATATTTTAATTTAAAAAAAATTTGTAAAGTTAATATTTTTCTTACTTTTTGTGATTCATTAGTTCCTTTAAATTGAAGACCATATGGATGAAATACTCCCAGATCTGATTCCATAACAATACTCATACTTGGTACTTCATTTTCATGTGCAGTAAAATATTGATCAGCACCAATACCACCGAATTCTTCACAGGACCATAGAACACAACGAATTGTTCGTTTAGCTCGAATATTAAGTGAATGAAGTAAAGACAAAACAGTCCAAGATATCATTGCACCACCACCATCATCCATTGCACCTTGACCAACATCCCAACTATCAAGATGACCACTAACAAGTACTGTTTCATTTGGTAAAGATGAACCTTTAATTTCAGCTACAAGATTATATCCAATAACATTAGGTAATGTTTGTGCTTCCATATAAAGATAAATTTCTATCGATTGATTTCGTTGTTGAAAACGGTCAAGCATATCAGCATGTTCAACTGAAAGAGAAGCTGCCGGAATTTTTGGATAAGCTGGATCATATGTCATCATGCCAGTGTGTGGTGAATCAATTGAATGTGATGCAGCTGATCGACTAAGAGATGCTAATGCTCCACATTTAGCAGCATGTGATGCACCACCGGAACGATAAGCAACAACTGGACCATAACAAGCTAATGGTTCTGATATCCAATCACATTGTGGATTAAAAACAACAATTTTATTTCGAGCTTCAGCACATCTTTCAGTTAATTCATCAAATGAACGAACAACAAGTACTGGTGCTTGAATACCATTAGGACCTGTACCAACGGAATTACCTAAACCAAGCATGGATAATTTAGCATAGCGTGGTTGTATTAATCGAGCTCGTTCTTCACCTCGTATCCAATGAGGTATTTCAACTTGTTCAACATGAACATTTTCTAAACCTTCACTTATCATTACATTTCTTACCCAATCAACAGCTTGTGTTAATGATTCATTTCCACATAGACGAGGACCAATAGTATCAGCTAATGCTGCTAAACGATAATAAGTTACACCACGGAAAGCTCCTTGAGTAACTAATTCAATTAAACGATCTGATATAGCTGTTGGTGTCGGTTTATCATAAACTTTAAATGAACGACTTGTAACGCTTATCACCGGAAGTATAAGAAATAACCATAGCATAATTTAATTTGAAAAATCTATAAAGAAAAATGTTATCGTAACTATTCTGTATAATATCGATTGTTTAGAATTAAATAATAAGAACATACATGATAGAAGATACTCCTTAAATAAATATATATCTTCTTATAAGATAAGAATGTTTGTAATACTATTCTTACCTTCATTCTTTATCAAAGATGATAAAACCAATAAACCATTAATGCTTCTTGTAAACTATTCGTTATTAGAATAAACTAATAACAAACATGTTCTTGAGATGACTCTACATAAACGAAAATAAATATCAAAATATTTTCAATAACAAATAGTCTATATAAACATTAATATTGACAATTAAAGCTGTCATCATGTTATGCTGAATACAATTAATCATGTGATGTTAATTTTGCCAAACACAGCTGACACACTACAGTCGATACCGATACGTTGAAAAGAGAACAGAACATAATTTATAATACGCAAATGCATGTATTATTTATGTTATACCTAAAAAATTACTGTTCGTACATGCATATATTGAAATTTTTCCTTTTTTTTCATATTGCAAGCCTCCACTCGATGTAATATCATTTTATAACAAAAACAAATATATAATGTTTATTCCATTAATATACTTGATAGGAATATTATTAAAGATTGACAAAATCGTTCTAATTTAAAATTTTGAACATTGAAAATAAGAATAATAGAAAAGTTATTGGTGTGACACATTCATTTTACGTTATCTGTTCTGTAGTTTGATACTATAACTCGTGTAAAAGTATTTTTTTCTTCTCTAAAAGCATTTCGTAATTACTTTCGTAGTCGAAATGACACATAAATATTGATGATCATACTTAATGATAAACATTAGTTACTGTTTCGTAATCGATAAATGATACCAGTACTTAAGTCAACTAATTAAATATAGTATATAAAAAAATTGATGTTTAAATCAAAAAAAAAAATTAGGGGACACCCGGGATTGAACCAGGGACCTCTCGATCTGCAGTCGAATGCTCTACCACTGAGCTATATCCCCATGATAAATCTGAACGACGTCGTTTTACTCACTATAATAGTAAAAAGAGACTGTATGTGAAAGAAAAACGAAAAAGAAAGAATAAACGAAAAAAAAAAAATGTCAAGTCACGGTTGAATACGTATGTTTATTTTCGACAGTCATTAAGTACACGAGTGAGTGTCCGTTCAACAACATATTGACCTGAACATGATAGATAGTATAAAATTTATACCAACATTGACGCCAACATTTGAGCAATGGAAACTATTACCAGTTTATCTAGCTCATCATGAAACTAGTCTTCAACGACGTTTTGGTGCTGTCAAAATAATACCTCCTAGTCGATGGTCACCATTAACAAAAAATCCATATGAATTACGTCAAATAAAATTTTATATAAAACAAGAAATAATTCGTTCATCTCATCAATCCGATGTTTTTTATATACAAAATTATGAAACAAGTAAACGACGTCTTATGACATATGAAGAATGTAAAATAACTGCTGAAAGTGATGCATATCGTGTGAAAGATGAAATAAGTAATAGTTTTACAGAATATTTTTGGTTAACAATTCCGAATAATATATCATTATATGTACCAAATATTGATGATAGTTTATTTGCAAAACGAGAAAATGTTTTCAATATGACGCAATTACCTTCATTACTCAAATATTATCCAAAACCAATTCCAGGTACATTACAAATTATATAATATAAACGATATATCAATACGAAAATTATTATTTAATTTGATTTTATAGGAGTAACAACACCTTTTCTTCATATTGGTATGTGGTCAACTTCTGTTGGTCTTCATATCGATGAACATGATCTTATATCTTTAAATTATCTTCATCATGGTGCTCCAAAAATTTGGTATATAATTCATCCATCATCCTATGCTAAATTAGAAGAATTAGTCAATGAATTAAAATTATTTTCTGATATATCATCTTGTTTATCACCTCTACAACATAAATCTCTTCTTATTAAACCTTCATTTCTTCAATTACATTCCATAGAATATTATTATATTGAACAAAAAATAAATGAATTAGTCGTTATTTTTCCTGGTACATATCATTTTTATTTTGATACTGGTTTTAATTTATGTGAAACAGTTAAATATGCACTACCATCATGGTTAGAATTTCAACGACGTAGTCCAAGACTTTGTTCATGTCCAATATCATCGTCAATTAATACTAATTTAAATCGACGTTTTTTTACAAATGACGTACTTCAAAAATTTCAAAATGAATATTTTACATCATCATCAGCAACATGTATTGATTTATCTCTAGGTAATATAAACAGATAAAATATCGAATTAATCATAAAAATAAATTTTCATTTTAGATGAAGATAATAATCATACTAATGATCATTTAAGTATTGAACTAGCAGTGTCACCAACTTCGTCTACTAGAGATCATAGTAATATTAATGAAACAACTGAAGAAACAGTAGTTCTATCACTTAATACTCCTATGGATATATCACTGAATAAACATACGACTTTACTTTCTTCATCTTCATCTTTAATTAATTGTGATACATCAACATCAAATGATTTAATATCAACAATGAATACTATCAATGAACACGAAGATATTTGGAATATATTCGATCAACTTTCAGCACCAATAAATTCTAATACTCTACAACATTATCATCCTTACAAATCTTTTTCATCTCCTATTCAGAATCATACATCACCTATGTATCCACCTTTTCTAAGACCATGTCCATATTCTCATCCTCCTCCATATCCTAGTAGAAGAGATATTCAACGACGTAAATGTTACAAATGTCGACGACCAGGACACTTAAGAAAAGAATGTCCTTACTATTCTCAAGAATAAAAAAGCTTTTATATACTTGGAATAGATTTTTTGTATATTATTTTCCGCAAATATGAATGATTTGTAGTATGTAAGATATTTCATATTAAATAAACAAATCAATTTGATCTTATATTCGAATAATTTGTCTCATATTAGATTTTACACATGAAAAAAAACATGTAATCTCAAATTAAACCAAATACTATTCTATTATAATGTGTGTTCACTTACAAATCTCATGAATTATTACTAGATGACGATTTTAAGATTTTTTAGCATTCAAATTTGTCCTAGAATCGAGAATTTAAAATAACATAGATTGGAACAATGCTGATGAATCGTTATCTATCGTCAGCTGTATTTTCAGTTATAAAATATTTTTTAGATGAAAACGACGCCTAACGTTTACTTTTTGTTTTCGTTTTAATTATCCCGAAGTACGAAAAAAAAGTCTATGGTCAGAATCGTGTTTTTGAGATGCTTCCTGTAAGCAAATCGAATCTCGCACGAAAAATTGATAAAGAAAAGGTATTTAAACGAAGGAACACAGAAGTATTTTGTTTCGCATCGTATTAATCAATTACATTTTATTTTGTAGGTATCTTTAATATGTAACTTCATATTTAAATTGTTTATATTGATATAATACGAAAAAGAAAACTTTGCATCAAAATTTCATATGAACATATACACTTGATAAGAACAAGATTATTTTGGGAAGAAGTTTGTAAATAAATTATAATAAAAAAACCAGATGCTCTTTTTTTACATCAATTCGATCTTCATATAGTATATTTAGTAAAACTAAAATGACATCGAAATTAATAAGTTTTTTTTTGCAGAATCTTCAGCTTTTTCAACGCGTATTATTATTTGCACATGAAATTTAAATTAGAAAATATCAGGATGTTGGTTTATTCATAATATATTATTCAAGTGTTCTGATTTCAATCGATTTTTACTTTGGCTACTTTTCATAATAGCTGCAAAGAAAAATAAGACGATTGGAAATAAACTATTCTAGAACCAAAGTCCTTTATCATCAAATGATAGGTGTTTTTGAATTAAGACTCATGAAACTATATGAATTACACTATAGTATTTTATTTCGACAAAATCCGAATTAGATGAAAGTAGATGAAATCAATTACGTAGTATCATTTAACAGTGAAGATTATCATATTATAATAAATCACCATATTCAATGTAGTTACTCTTACATTTATTGTCTTATTGAAATTCATGCAAATAAGCAAATCTTCCATGTGCTGTTGTTTATTAATATTTATAGATCAAATGAACCAGAGACAGGCAAGTCAAAATTCAAATCAGCTCCCATTAAGTTTTATTTTATTCTTGAAGGATCAAGATATGATACTTTCGTTCTATTTCAGCGGATAACTAGAAGAAAAAATGTATTATTTTATTGACTATCATTTACTCGGTCAGTAAAATGACTGAAATGGTCAGTAAAAACTATGAACATAAGCAGTTAAGAGCTTAGTTGGTCAGTATTCCGATTATCACTCATTTGAAAAGAGGGTTAAAGAGATTTTGATTTTCACTATGTTTTCACTTAAACTAGCAATTAAAATAAAGTAATTTTATAAAAATGAATTTTAGTACCGGTGATCATAAAATACGTTTTTCTGAGATTTGTGTTGAAAATTGAGGTGCTCGATATCTCTTTGGACTCCTTATCTCAAAAAATTAGTAGACATTTATTTAAAAAGGGAAAAATACTGGAATTCATTAACATTGTCCTATTTTGATCGATTAAAATCAGATTTTTGCTAGTCTCCTGCTTGCAAGAGTGATAATCTAAATACTGACTATTTAATATTTTTACTGCTCATTTTCATAGTTTTTACTGACCATTTCAGTTATTTTACTGACCGATTAATAATTTTCCTATTTTATTTTGTTGAATTATCTACAAATTTAATTATTATAAAATAAAGGGATCCGCATATTTTCTTTCAAGAAATTATTGGGAAGTGCGATAACCAATAAATACTGGAAAGGACTTTCAACATTCCCAAAACGTTTTTTCATTTCATAATACATCTATACTCTGTGGAAATAATTATTGTTCTTAATTACATCTTCCTATTATATTCTCAAATTAGAAACCAAAACTGAAGTGTATAAAAAGTTTATACGACATACAATTTACGACTTGACTTGCCCATCTTTAAAATGAACCCATTTAATGTGATCTCATTTATAGAATATGCGCATACTGATCTGATTGTATTTGTTCTTGATCTAAAACTAAGTAAAGATTCTTTTTTCACCAAGCAATTTGAAAAAAGTGATGTAGCAAATACTATCAACTGATGAAAGAAATATTTGTAAATTAATTGATTTTTATTTAAACAAATGTTCTTATCTTGTTCGAATAAAAAAAATCCGAGATATAAGACTTACACAATTATTCAAATATCTTATTCTTATTCTTTATCTGAATAAGAATACGTTATAAATTTGACATTTTTATTGTCTGATCATTTTACAAATGAGTAGATTTATTATTCATTCATTTTACCTATCTGTATTTTATTGATCGATTTTCGATATTTTCCTTTTTAATTCAATTGAAAATGTTCTTACTTGATAAAATTCAATTAAGGCATTTTTTTTATAATGCAATGTTTGATAAGATCTAGTTTTTAAAAATGAAAAATTTTAAACAATTTTTTCGTAAAAAATATTAGTAAATTCATATGAATCAATTAAATAGTAGAAAGTGAATATATATTTTGTTGTTATGAAAATTAAATAAATAAATAGATCTCATCTATTATTAAAATTGATCGACTTTCTTAACAAAAACAATACTTTACAATTCTGTATGGAATACTCAATCAATTACTATTCTATCTTTTTTTCTTCTCTCTCATAACATCGTTAATCTCTCAATACAATGTCATTGTCAAACAAAAAGACAGTTGAAATATCTGACCTTGTTATTAATAAGATATTCTTTTCTTTCTGAAAGAACTATCTCTATAGTCTCTGGATAATTTTCTTTTTGTTCTATTATGAAATAAATGTCAAAAATGATGAAAATACATATTCATTGAATATGATATTAATTATGTATGTCACATACACAGAAGAAAAGAATTCATTCTTCTTTTTTCCCTTTTTTGTATTATCATTAATATGACTAGACGAATAGTTTAAAAACGATCATGAATGTGACTTCATCAACAACATTGGATTCAGTTTCAATTTTATTACTTTCATTAAAACGTATTTGTCGTAATCTATCACATTTACTTAATGCGTTGGATGCAGATGTTGATCTATTTGAACATATATTAACACAAGTTGCATCATCAATTCATGAATCATCATCATCGTCATCAAGTATTGAAAATGATCAAGATATAGAAAAAATTGAAGATTTTTATGAAAGATTATGTGATGAACAACTCGAACCAAAATCACCACGTGTTACAACACTTTAAACACAATACTGCGTCAAGCATTTCCTGCTGTTCATCACAATCATGTTTTAATATTCATAACACATTTATCGATTCATCAAACAAACATATAAACTTTTTACAGGATTTAAATTTGATAAGTTAAATACTTATATGAGACGATCATCATTTATCGTAAAAATGCAATACATCGATAATCAAAATGAACAAATAATGACAATGGAATTTTTTTTGCAATAATTAAACTTTATGCATATTTAGTCATAGAAATATTTATGCTATGAATAATTCATTAACAAATTTGTCTTTCGTTTACGGTCAAAACAATTTATATAATGTCGTTTCCTAATTGAAATTAACAGAGCATTTAAATTGTATATTGAGGTTATAGAAGAAAGAGGTTATGGTAAAATTGATAGGTCAATATTAACAGGCATATTTAGGACGTATGTGTTATTGAAAGACACAATCAAAAATTGTTTGATTTAATAAGAATTTCCTCTATAATTTATTATAATTGTTTCAGCTCATCACACTATTCTTATTTAAAATCGATTAAAATTCTATACTTTCATGTGTCGTCTCAATTAAATACGTATACACAGAGATATAAATGATTTGTACCGTTATCGTTTGATTGATTACAAAAAAAGAACTGCACGCAAATCTAAATGATTTATGAACAAATATATTTTATTATATTCTATACAACAAATTCTACCTTATATCATGTGAGATAGACCTTAGTTCAATGTAAGTATACCATGAAAAAGTTTTAATGAACAATGTCCTTCTAACACTCATCGCACAATATATATATATATATATATATTTTAAGATGCATATATAAGAGACAGAGAAATAAACATTTAACTGGTTATATAACATAAAGTAAAATTTTGAATGAAAACAAATTTCAAAAAAATTGTTCTACCCAAGGCGATTTTAAATTCGAATTCTAAGGAAATAATCGATTTCGTTTTTTTTTTGTCAGTGGAAAGAATAGTTATTTAGAAGGACTTTCTTTTACCGCTTGGTTTAAATTTCAATTGCCTGCCTGCCTACCTTTGCCTTTCGTCAACTTTTATATAGACGAGGCAAATTTAACGATAAGGTCGTTCTACATAAAATTTGACACAGTGTCTGTGACTAAGTGTTTAGTTTGAACGAGGCGTGAAAAGACGAAGAAGAAGAAAGAAGTACAACACATATATCATTTAATAGAGCATTTCAAATCATACGATATGAACGATTCATCATATTTTTTTCTAATATAAAAAATAGGACACTTCGAGAGGAATAATCTATAATAAAAAAAAGATTGATCAATACAAACAAAAATGGGATATATATATGTCTAACAAAATTCAATAGACACTGTATTGAACTACAAATCGTTTTCTCAAAACTCAACAGTATGAGCCTTGAACTTATAGTAAATTCTATATGAAGTATAGAATCCGTTATAATCTTAGTTGAAGGATATTTTTTATATAGTAGAACAAGGTTTGAATGATATTCGTTACAAAACATCAATATGGTGAACCTTTGTTCTAACAGTAGACTCATCAGGGCATCCTTTTGACCATTGCTAAATATGAGTGCGTGCTTTTATCAATTAGCAATTATGATCGTTATTGACAAAGATCTTATCAATAATGCATATATCGATATATCAAGTTCATTTGATATTTTAACAAAAGAAATATTTAAATTATAAAAATTTGTTCATTCGTTTTTTCGAATAATTGTATAACAAAAAAGAATTTATTTGATATCACACTTTGATTTTTAATTGATATTTTTTTATACAACAAAGTAAAATATGATGCAAAGAAAAAACAATACCAACAACAATTACATAAACATGAACACAATTGAAAGAAATTTTTATGTCTTTTTTTTTCTCCAAATTCAACATATTAAGAAAGAGAGAGAGAGTATCAAAATCATTCATGTTGTTGCCAACGATCATTCCATATAGGTCGTCGCGCCGATGATGATGAACGACTACTACCATGTAATGATGTAGACGCTGAATTAGGGCGAGAACGTGCATTGTTACTATTTATTGTGTGTGAAGCGGAAGAAGGTCGACTTTGAGTATTCAATTTTTTTTGTGAGGTTGGAAGTCTAGAGGCCATTGATGTAGCACTTGATGGCCGAGTAAGAGGTTGAGCACGTGGTGGAGGAACTGGTGGTGGTGGCATTGTAAATGTTGTATAACCCATTTGATAGTCATAATTATCTAAAAGTTCATCGCGTTTAATTCCACGTGATGCACGAGTTTGTTGAAGACGGTCCAATAATCTCTTAAAATAAATAAAAAAAAAATTATTCTATAATCTATTGTTATTTTTTTTATGTACAAAAACGTTTTTGTTCATTGTCATTCTATTGTTGTATTCCAGCTGTGACAGAGAGAGAGAGAGAGAAATGAACAATAGACTGTAAGTGTCGTTTTTTTTAACAATAGTTTATACTTTTATCAATACAATATCGGATATAAAGTAAAATTTTATACTGAACAGAAATAACTAATGAATGAAAAATAACATTTTAATAAACATATATATCTTAATGACTCAATTAGAGAAATAAGACAGGAGACATACGTTGAAAGATGAAAGAGAACATATTAATATAAATTTTTTTTCTTTGCAAAAGAATTTTATTCTTACCAAATTTTCACGTTCAATTTTTTGTTGTTGTTTTTGACGATTAATTGCCGATGAAGTTAAACGAACTCTTCGATGATCTCTTGTATGATTATGAATATATGGTGGACGATGTTGAGATTGATGGTGTTGATGAGATTTATCTATATCATCTGTAACAATTCGAACATGTTTTTTATTTAATTGTTGTTGATGATGTGCAGGAGACGGCGGACGGCTAGTTGGAGTTGTTGAACCTAATAAAACGTGTCGCATTGACTGAAGATGAAATGGATGATGTTGTTCATGAGCTGAATGTCGTCGGTGATTGTCATGTTGCTTATGTTCAAATTGTTGATGATCACCAGCTAATGATGAAACATCCGTCACATCATGATCAGAACAACCTGATGAAGGTGATGGTGAACTACTATTTGGACTTTGTCGACGGTAAACAGGTGGTTTAGAAGTGACTATTCGTATTGATGATATCAATTGTGGAGGACGTGGCGTTGTATTGTTATCATCGTTATTATTATTGTTATTATTTTTATCATCATCATCACCATCATCATAGAATGAGTCTCTCGTTTGTGGTAATGTTTCATTCGATTTTCTCAGCATATCGTACAAAATGATTTACCTGTATAAAATGAAATGAAATGAGACGTATTATCAGATACTAATCTTGATACATACTATTCTATTAGCATACATATTATTGATTAGTTAGTGACAGAAACATAAACATCGGGGCTGTATCACTCTGTGTAGTCTATTTACATTCGTTATGGCTCAGTGACTATTTTTTCTCTCTATCGTTTCTTATTCGCTTTTCTTTATTATACCTTTTTTATTCATAGAATAAAATGTTCTCCTTTTTTTCTCTCCTTGTCTCTCCCTTCTTTCTCTATCTTTTTCTTTTCTATAAAGTACGCGTGAAACAAACGACTAATTGATGTATTTACTAATATAATGAAAGTGGTCGATTGAAAAAGGCAATGGGTCTTGGTAGTTCTCAAGAGTATTATGAATATCAAGCAATAAGGCCAACTTCATCACCTGGTCGCGTAGTACCACCTGCAGCTCGAGGTGTAAAGAGACGTAGAAGACGTATCTTTCGAAGAGCCCGACCTGCTCCAACAACTGTACTACCTCCTCCTGTTATACCTGTTAGACATCATTCACCTCATCGACATCCTCATAGACCACGCCATTACGCTCAAGCTATGCCTGCCTTTCAACAATTATCACCAGCAGCTGCATCATCTATACCTATGGGTTATCCTAACTACACAGCAATGCCTTATATACAACCACAAGCTATGATGATGCCACAACAGCAGATACAACCTATGGTAATGCCACAGCAAATACCACAATCGTATCCTCTAATGATGGCACAATCTCAACGTTTGACAATGCAACGATTTGCACCTATGATGTTACCACAACAACAACAACAATATATGATGATGCAACAACAATATATGCCACAACAACAACAACAAATGATGATGGCACAAGAAATGCAACGCTCTCAACCTATGGCAATGCCACAGCAAATGCAAGCAGGAACATATGCATCGTATGGATCCTATCCTTATGGAATGAATTATTCCACACCATATGCACAACCACAACAACAACAGCAACAACAACAACAGCAACCACATCATCAACAACGAATTCAAAGTAATTATAATATAGGAGCTTCTGCTCCTTTGGCTGCAAGTATGCCAGGTCATCATGTACAATATTCTTCACCAATTAGACCAACAGGTCCCAGTCTCGGTACTGATTGGACAGGAGGTGGGAAAATTTCTCCTGGTTTTCTTGGACCTCCTCTTTAGTGTTAAGTTTATTTCAATGTTCATTTTTTTTTCTTGTGTCATAATAAGCTTTACGCCTGCTATTCTTATTTAATTCATATTTCAGGTATCTTATTCGTCCTCACTTTTCTTATTGTCTGCCCCTCCTCTGTCTCTTTCCTTCCTTTCTTCTTCTTCTTCTTCTTCTCTTATATCGTCGTCATGTCTGCTTTCTCTTTCGATTTGACATGCGGCAAGATATCCATAAGCGTACGTGTAAAATGTTCATTTTTTCACGGCGTATTATTTGGACAATTCAACGAATGCGACAGTGTACGAAATATGATTGACGATTTCGTATAATGAAAATTGAATAGTCTAGATAGGATTTATCATAATGATAAGTTTATGTGAAGAGAAGAAGAAAACTAAAAACGAGAGTAATATGACGTGTCTATACCCTCGTTTTCTTTACACTTTGTTTTTTCTTTTTGCGCCTGTCTTTATATGTATCTTTATATATATATATGAACTATCAATATAAATCATTAGATATGTATTATGACAATAATATGAATTAAGTTCAAAAATGAAAAAATGTCATTTGTCAAAATGTCTTCAATAATAAGTTTATCATTGAAAAATAATCTTTTTATTGTGCACTTCAAAGTTCTTTGAACTGTCTAAAATTGATAAAGTATATCTTATGATTAACTTTCATTTAAAATAAGTACTCATTTTCACGTCAATATTCAATATTCAATATTCGATATGATAGGTTTGACAAGTAGCTAATACAGCGAAACGAATAACTTAGATATATCTATAGAAGAATTTTCGATACACAATATATTAAAGTTAACAACAGGTCTTATGAAGATAGTTAATGACTTTTAACGGTTAATTAACTTTTAATGTATAAAGTATCAAATTCATAATATCCAAATTTTTGATTGAAAACAAAAATGTCAATCGATGCAAAACACATCATGCGATTTATAATTAATACATATAGTATTTTCTTTTTTTTGGTATAGAAAAAAAACAAATATTTCGTAGTTTTTAGCTTAATGCAATCATCAAGGACTATCATATAGAATAGATTGAATATACATCTAATACAGTAGTTATATCAATCAATTTTATTATTTTTAACTTGACAAAGATTGATATTTACTCATCACTATAGCTACACTACTTGTGATGTTAATAGATACAGTCATTTTATTAAAAATAGATTGCATTAAATTTTTGAAGAGTTAGTTATATAATTATTTCAAAAAATATACATACGAATATTCTTTTTTTTCTTTAAAAATGAAATATTGATAATCATAAATTCAAAGACTACACTATTCTAATTTAAAAAAATATATTGATATTAAACATAAACGATGTCTCTATTCTTTTAACTCTATGATAATAACTATCTATATTATTATGATATATCCTTATAACTAAAAGAAATTCTATAAGAAAATTTTTTACTTACTTATTCAATGAACTTTGTCTAAAACTTCTTCTATTTACAGTAGAATGTTCACAAATATTCACAGAAGAATATAAAAATTCGACCATGATGCGTATAATACTCGATTCTTAAGCGACGCCCCTTCCGTCATATCTACATAACATTCCAGAGTAAAATTCTTCTGTATAGAACTGTAAAATAGAGGTCGCTACAATACAGTTGAGGAAAATAAACATGTAATACATCGTTATTTATCATTCTAATAGTTCGAACCTTGATGCTCACCTGACGCGTACTTCAGTATTTATTGGTAGTAGACCCCTATACTCAGAGGACGTAACTAGTATACTACTGAAACATGCGAATATATCATTTCGCCTATTAAGCAAAAACAATCTTGAGTCATTTCGTTTTCTTATTTGCTGTAATCGCTGAAGTGAAAAATGACGGAGAATATATATTAACCTATTTGCTTGAGAATAATATATATACATTATCGAGATACGCATAACGAAACAAAGAGAAAAAAAATGTCACGTCATGGTGTTAATAAAGAAAAACAAGAGTTGGAACAAAAACCTACAAGAAGACGAAGTAATTCACATACTGGTCCCATAAATCTCATTCCAATTTCTGTGATTAATCATATCAAAAGAAAAGTAAAAAAACAAAGATCAGAAAAAGATGATTCATTATATCATTCCGATGGTTTATCAGTTAAGTCAATAAATGGTATTATAAACATTAATAATAATAATAACAACAACAACAATAAACAATCAAATGAAAATCACGATGAACATACAGATGAAGTATCACCAGATTCTGGCCGTTCTCGTACATTTACAGCTCCAGCTAAATTATTGAATAGAATCTCATCTGATAAAAAGAGTCCTAGCACTAATATTCAAACTAGTATGTTATCGATATGTAAAAGTAGATAAAAATAGGTCAAGTTTTCTAATTCTTTTAGATGTGGTTAGTGAAGATGATGAACTAAATTTAATTAATTCAACTGAAATTAATGTTCAAGACCAAACAAATTATATATCAGCTGATACCGATCAAAAATCGACGAAAACAAAATGTAAAAAAATAAAAGCAACGATATCTCTTCCTGAAACAAGTGGTAAAAAACGACGACAAACAGTTCGACGAACGGTATGATTTTTATTCGACTAAAAATAAGATCTTTCATCTATGTCATTAAAATTTAAATTGAGCTAATATATCTCTTCCCATAGTCTCTCTTCTATTAATTACCAATCAGACAGATTGTATCAATGTTTTTTTTTTCTTATATAGGGTTTCCAATTACGTGATGAAGATTTTAGTAAGATATTCAACGATTTACCATCAGATGAACAGTTAATTATCGGTATATAATATACATCTCATTATCTTTTTAATTTATCATTTTATTATAGCTTTCCCATGTGCATGGCGAAAAGATGTGTTTATACATGGACGAATGTTTCTGTCCGTCAACTACTTCTCCTTTTATACATGTTTTTTCAGATGGGAAGAAAGTGTACGTTAAATATTGTTTTCTTTTTTAAATTAAACTAAATGAACTTTGTTTTATTTAGTTGTGTATTCCTTATACGGATATAATCAGTATTACACGAGAAAAGTCTGCTAAACTTGTTCCAAATGCAATTAAAATACGAACAAAAAATCAAGAACAATATTCTTTTGTTAGTCTAACACCAAGAGAAAAAGTTTTCATTGCTATATTTCGATTATGGCAAAATGCATTACTCGATCAGGTAATATTTATATTATAATAAATAAAATCGTATGATTTTTTTTTGTCTTGTCATAGCCAATAGATTACCAAAAATTACGATCGCTTGTGTATGCTGATCAACAAAATCACGATGAGTCAACTGTCGATAGTGAAGAATCTATTAATTTAGAAACTACTGTTGATATTCCTACTGAGGTAAACGTCACATGCTATATCGAAAACTGCCAATAAAAAAAAATATAAGTTTCTATACAAATTTTTCGTTCTTATCTTTTGTTCTACTTCGTTAGTTTGTTAGACATAGGTGAAAGGTAATTGATTGATTGCCGTTCTCTGCGTACGCCCTAAATTTTGCTGAGTCAACAGTGCTGACTCAGCACTTTCATTTCCTTTTTTCAAATAGTCTTTTGTTGAATAGTACGTAAACAAAAAAGCAACGTCATTGATATATATTCAGGACAATATGTTGCAAAATGAGGTAAAAATATCCAAAAAAATCACATCCCTAAAGATCTTTCAAACATTTTAAATTAAAAAAAATTTTCTTTATACTTATAAGTATTATTTTTAGTCAGCGCCTGATACTAAATCAAATGAAGTATCTTCAAAACCTCCAAGACCATCAACGAAACGACCAAAACTAGTTCATCAAGCAACTGTTTCATTATCATTAGGTATTATAACTAACAAAGAAATAAAAAGGGTTATTTTCATTTATATTTAGATAATGAACCTATAAATTATTTACCTACTTGTTCATGTGAAACTCATTTGGCAAAAACATATGCTGAACGAACATTTACTTTCAGTGTTGATAAACTTTTCGAGTTAATATGTGATGATAATGAATTTACACGTGATTTTCATGTTTCACAAAAATTAACAGGTAAATTTTTTTAAATCAATATATATAGTATCTCTTATTCTATATTAATAGAATTTACTTATGGTGAATGGAATTCAAATAATGAAACAAACAAACGAGAACGTCAAGTAATATACAAAACAGTTTCACAATCTATTTTGGGTACGAATACCCTAACCTGTCGAGAAAAACAAGTATGCTTATTTAGTCAGGCCGTTTTTTTTAATCTATAAAATATTTCTATAGACATTAGAAGTTGACAAACCACATTTAATGTACGTCCTAAATACAGAAGTATATAACGAAGGAATGAAATACACTGATGCATTTTATGTTGCAACAAAATTTTGTATGGTACAATGTGATTCTGAACATAGTTCATTACGAGTTACTGCTGAAATCAGATATATTAAAAGTGTATATGGTTTTATTAAAAGTAATAAAAACAAATGTTTTTCTATCTTTAATATTAATTTTTGTTTGTAGCATTTATTGAGAAAAATTCTCATACATATATAGAAAATGGAGTTAATGAACAAGGTAAATAAAATAATATTTTCTAGAAAGATAAAATTTCTTTTCATTTTTAGTTCGAAGACTTGAAAAACAACAAAAAACACAAATCAAACGTAAATCAATTATAAAATCACTATCGATTATAAAACAAGATTCTCAAGAATCAATAGTACCTGAAATAATACCTGAAAATCACATAAAACAAGATACAATTTCTTTACGTGAATCAAATATACAAATAACTGAAAAAACAATAACTGGGAAAGGAATTACCTATGATATTGTCATGATAATTGGTATATTCTTATTAATTCTACATATTTATTTATGTTATAAACTTTATTCTATTGATAATGCTTTATCAGTAAGTGATACAGTATGTTTTAATCAATGTAAAAAAGGTGAGTCATTCTATAGAATATATTTTCATGTATAATTTGTTTTTTTTCTTCTTTTCTAGTTTGTTTTGAAAGCAAATGACATTGATATTTTTTTTTCTCAATCAAAGTTTTAAATACATGGACAAAGTCTATCTTTTTTTATTGGTGTATAATAATATATTTTATCTGTGATATGTTTAAAAAAACAGTTTCATTTTAATTTCTTCTATATAAATAGACATTTCTATCTGTTTTTTTTATAAATATAGTTTTAGTATTATTAAATAATTCTTCATAAAGAGAAAAGAGCGAGGGTAATGATTTAATTCATCATGATCACAATAGGGTGTTGTTAAGAAATCCGGAAAATTTTATTTGAAGTTTATTAATTATAGAAGACATAACAAGTAAAAGGTGTGAACATATTCGACAGAAACTCATAAGTTTGTTTCTTCGAATCCACTAGTAGTGAGATTCCGCCGAGAAGCTCGGCACGATCGATGTCGTCTTTATAGTAGCGGGTGTGAATATGATGCGGGTGAGGACGTGGGTATGAATGTGGATGGATGTGAGTGGGCGGATGAAGGTGAGTGTAGGGTGTGGGTGAGTGTGTGTGTGTGTGTGGATGTGACTGTAGGTGTGGGTTTGGGTGGCACAATAATACAACAGACACATCCACACCCTTCTTATCTCAGTTTCTCGGGGTTCTAGAACAATCGTTTACATGAGAATTTATTGGATTAAATGATTTGCTAATCAATGAAAGTTTAGTGAATAATATTAAGAGAAAAAACAATAGTTTGATGATGACATCCAGATACTTTCGACATTTTTTTTGTCGACAAAAATGACTTCAGTATTTATTTTTCGGCCTTTGTTTCTTTCGATGTTTTTTTCCGTCATTTATTTTTCGACGTTGACAATTTTTTTTCGGCCTTTGTACAGCCAATTGTCTGGACTACTTTTCTTCTACACCCACACCTACCCTAGGAATGGGTTATTCATATTCATGTGACATAAAGACACACTTCAATTTTATGAATATTCGTATATGTGTGATAATTGCCTTTATTTAATCACTCATCTATTTTCAAATGAAAAAGAACTTTTTGTTGGAAAAAAATACGAAAAAACGAATAATTTATTTTTCTTTTTTAAATATGATCAATAAAAAAATTAAGATGTATTGTCAGTTAAATGTAACAAAGCATCTGGATCAAGGTCGACATTACCCGACCAACGAAGAAGTAGAGCACGTTCGTCTTCACCCATGGATTGAAGAACAACTGTCATACGACGATAAATCGATGGTTGTACAAAATTATGTAACGATTTTTTTAAATTGAATTTTTTCTTAGCTACTGCTTCTTCTTCTTCTGATTTATTTTCTTTTTCAAATCTACAAAATAATCAAAAAGGAAAAAATAATACTCAATAATCATTTTCTATTTTTTACCTTCGAATAATTCGATAACCTTGTTCTGTCAATCTTTCCGCAATAATATTTTCTTGTTCAACCCAAGGAAATTTTTTACTTTGTGATAATATATACTGATTAAGAAATGAATCAATAACAAAAGCAGTAAATATACTAAAAATAATTGTGAATTAGAAAAAAATATATATTCATAAAATTTTACTTGAGTACTACAATAACAGCATTTAAATGAAACGCAAGAAAGAAAAGACGTGCCACTTTCGTTGTCACCAAAACAAAACCAGACGCCAATACTGTAAAATAAAAATGATAAAAGTCAATAATTTATTCAATTTTCTTACCATGCCATTGATTAACAACAGTTAATTCAAAAAGAACAATCAATGATGAAAAATAATCATTAAAATTATTTCGACAATATTGACTTCTAAACATACAAAAACATTTTCCTATTGGAAGTATTTTTCATAATATTACCGAGCAAATTCTGAATTAATAAGTCGAGTATCATTACAAGCTAAAGCTAATGTTGTATTTGCATCTATATAAGATATTCTATATTGAAATATTTCCATCCCTATAATAATAGAAAAAATGAAATTGTTATTTTTATTTAAAATAATTACCAATCATTGCAAATATATAATAAGTCATCTATAAATAGAGGAAAAGATGTTTTTGAAAATATAAATTTTATTTAATTTTCACCTACAAACATAACTCGAAGATAAGTTATCAATGTTGGTATAACTTTTGAAAATGTTCCAAAAATAACTTTAAATCTAAAAGAAAATATTTTTTCTATTGAATGAATTCTATACAACAACAAAAAACATACCTTTCAATATTTCCAACAAGTTTAACAAGACGTAATATACGAATAACTAAAATTGCATCGAGAACATCTTTATTAAGGCTTACTAAAATAAATAAAAATTCTTTGATTTAGATATATATGTATGAATATATATCTACAATTTGTAACAAAAGCTGCTAGAAGACTATAAGTTGTTGATACAAACACAATTGTAAAATCAAAAATATTCCATCGATGATGGAAATATTCTTTTACACCAATTGCATACATTTTTAATAGAGCTTCAACAACAAATGAAGCTAAAAAGAACCATTCTAAATCATTATAACTTGCTGCTAAACATATAGCATTTGCAATAATTAATAAATTGATAATAGCTCGAAAAAGACTAGAAAATATTTCGAGTCTTTTTTTCGTAATAAATATAAATAATGTCTTACCCGGTATTAACAAAATCAATAATAACTCGACTTGGTTTCGAATTATATATCGATGGACATTTTTTTTGAAGAATTGTTTGTTCAGAACTTCGTTGTCTCAAATCAAAATTAAGATTAAATAATAATTCAGTAAATTTTGTTAAACCTATTTAAATAAAAAAATATTCGATTTTATTAAATATTTTTTTGTTCATACTTAATCCATCTTCATTATTAGGAATATTTAATGTTTTCCAATAAGCTTCTACTATATTATCTGTAATATCAGATTTAATAGCATGCATTAAACGAGTATAAGTTTCATAGGATATACGATTCGCTGAACTATCCGATGATAAACGTTCAAATATAACCAGAACAGTATCTAATTGACGTTTACGAATTACTTGTTGTTCTTCCTGTAATTGTTGTTTATAATTGGAAAAAATAACAGCCAAAAGTAAATTCATGAATAAATATAGATTGACTAATAGATAAGCCATAAAAAAAATCACATATAGTATACTATTATTAAATGCTGGCATCCTATTTTATTAGTAAAATTTTCATGTCAGTTATTATAGAAGAATATGAATATATCTTACATAACATCTGGATTATTTGCTGTTGTTGTAAGTACATATAAATCCCAAGCTGTATCAAGATAATATGTAAAATATTCATTTCCATTTGGATATGTTAGTTTTCTAATTAAAAAGCAAATATTGATGAATGCAGAAAAATCTATTTGAAACTTTTACTTATTTTTTAAAATACCAACACCGAGTAGAGTAAATGTTAATACTGAAAGTAAGAAAAGAAACATAACATTGGCTATGTTTGGTAATGTTCGTAGAATATTTCGTATAACACGACGAATCTATTTACAAAAAATATTAATAAAAAACAAATAAGTGAATTTATTCATACATTTTGACCAGTTTGTAATGCGAATGGAAAAAGAACACGAAGTGGTCGTGACCATCGAATATATCGATGAGTATTTGATATTAATATATAATAAATAATCATATCAATAATTGATAACTATAGATATAATTAATTATTTTAAGAAAATCTATCAATAAATTGCAATTTATATTTACAATAAAAACGACTGAAAATACATATGGATAAACCGCTTCGTGTAATAATTTTCGTTTATTTTGTAAATGCATTGATATTATAAACGATGCAAGAAGTATGGATAAAGCAAGGATCTCAAAAATCAATGCAACCCATGTAGGTACTGACGTAAAATAAGCTGGTCGCTCAATACAAGGTAATATAAGTAAAGCAACATCAGCAAACCATACTATCCAATACCAATAGATTGAATAATAAAAGTTATACAATCTAAATAGAAATTATTTCGAAAACTATTTAATTAGTTAATTGATTTACTTTAAGACTGGTTTGTCTTGAGCAAAACGAACATAATGGCAGGCATTGATAGCAAGAATTTCGGCTGCAGCATAATCAACATCCTGTGTATATCTACTTAGTTCAATATATTTGAAAAGAAAGAAAAAATGACAACACTCACCAACGTTGATGGTTTGCCCCCTGAAGTTGTTTGTACTAAAAAAGACAATTAGAAAATCGAAATCTTACGATATATCACATATCCTAATAGATAATGGTATTATATTAAGTATATTGGATATTTTACCGTAAATATATCTGAGAAATCAGGAATATCATATACATAGAGGACTAAGATCGATCTGTTTTTTCAAATAAGAAAGACTGAAATCTCAATAGTTAATCTGAAGATTTTTCTCACAAGGTATCTTTATAAAACCTTCCAACAAATACCAAATGAAAATTCAGTTCTCTCTTGAATATGTAACCTGTTAATAAAATGAATTATAATTATAAAAATACCAACGAATAGTAACAAAATTTGCATTCTATACATTCCATTGTTTATATTCAAGTTACATAAATCAAAAATGAATATTTGTTTCAAACCATTGAAATCTGTTTTTAATAAAAATATTATTACAATACTAACCTCTTGTTGTCATTTCTTCGTTTATCATTCGACCAACAAATGAATGAATAAGAAAAAGAACGACAAAAAAAAACTAGAATCAACTTTTTTTGTGCTCTTACCAAGTTACTATCATATTTCGCACACATACTAATCTTTATACTTAAAGATAACAAAATGCATACAGACACATACCGCTCAATTTCGGGTTTTTTTTTCTCTGTGTTTTTTTTCTCTTTATTCTTTCTTTACAATCTAAATTAAGGTCGTTTTTTTTTGTCTTTATTTTTTGTATTCGTAGAAGTTGGTGGCATTTCTAAATCCGGTATATCGAGTGCTGATCGAATATGAATAAATTCATGTTGTTTAGGACGTGCAGATTGTTCACAATCATTCATTTGAAGTTCATCACGAATTATAGAAAGACGTTGAAGAATAACAGATGTTGTTTGACCGCCTAAAGAAAGAAGACCAGGAAGTTTGAGAAAACGACAACCAAAACCAACAGCCTATAGAAAATAAAATAAAATAAATAAAAATGAAATATTTCTTGTATACAAGATCAGCTAAATGAACTTGTGCAACTTCATGATGATCTCGTTCAAATAATCCCAAAGCATAATCATGAGTTTCTATAGAAAATAAGATTTGCATATTTATTTTTTAATTAAATCATTTACCACGAAGTGTATTTACACGTTGTATCAATTCAGTTACTGTTGGAGCATTATCTAAATTTATTAAATGACAATTAGTTGTATCATTATCATCATTATATTGATAACGACGTGTATCAGTTGAAGTAACATAGCATCTATTTGATACTCGATGACATAAACGAGATAATGCAGGTTTATCCTAAATAGATATATATATATGTATATACATTTCTTATAATACATTAATTAAAAAGAAAAAACAAAGGAAATTTTACAGCATGTCGAAAAGGATCAATGATCATAATACAACGTGGATAAGCATTAATCCATTCAGTATAAGTATCAGCTAATTCATCGGGTGATTTTGTTACACCTGCCATGGTTTCATATACACCATTTGTCTAAAATAATAAGATTTAAAATTGAATGATGTTTTCCTGTTCAAAAATTTTTACATAATCATATGCTTCATAAGGTCCCATTTGTATACCATAATCAAACCAATGTTCTTTAGTACCACATACAGTATTCACAGCATTTTGAAGTATATCAAGTCCTTGTTCGGGTTTATCCATTGAGTAAACAAGACATCCATCATCAGTGGAATAACCTGCTTGAAGCTAAGAACATCGAAAAAAATAAGAAAAAATTATATTATTTTTATATAACATACAATCGCTCCTTTAGCAGTTGTTAATGAATCACGTAAATTTTGGATGATACTGTGTAATTTAAATATCCACTATATTATGCAAACTTTTAAAAAAAAAAAATGAAACATATCAAAGTCATCTACCTCTTCATTATGAACCACATCGGGAGTTGGTATAAGCATATAATACTTAACAATTGATTGTTTGCCGGGATATGTAGGCCCACTTTGAAGAATAGGTATAATCGGTAATGGTATAGCAGGATTTGTAACAGATGGAAGTTGAATGAGACGATATAAATTTGATTGTTGTATTTCAGCAGTTATTAAACGGCAAGCTAATGATATTCCTGTAATTAATAGTTGACCAGCGAATGATGATGGCTCAGGTTCATCGGGAATAACTTCAACTGGTTGAATTTCTTTAGTTGTTCTACGAAATATTTAATAAAATATTTTAAATCAACCCCATATATGTAACTAACCTTTTTTGACTTGGTGGCGGCGCACCACCTGTTTTAACTACTACTGCAGGACTCACAACAGGTTTTTGTTTGGTTGCAGGTAATTTTAATGTTGAAACTTCAGCTATAATTTCACTAGTTGAACTTTCAGGTTCAAGGGGTGCTGTTACTTTTGGCACTTTTGGCACTTCATGAACATGTTCAGACCGGAAATTTCTACATAAATTTAACAATAGTATAAGAATTAGGTGAAAAAAAGAACAAATCAATACGCAAGAAGTTCATCAATAGTTGTATGATCAAATAAATCAACTCGATTAAATATTGTTGCTAATGATGGTGAATTAACTAAAATAAACAAACGAAAAAATGTTTAAATTTCAATTTTTTCATAATTACCAAATGTTTCATAATCTTTCATTGTCTGCGCATTTAATTTACCAGATGATAAATTTACTGTTAACCCATTATATCGCTATATAAAAAGTTTTAAATTAGAAAACAATAAGAAATGAATTTTTTTATATTTGGGTCATTTTTACCTGACTACGATTTCTAAGTGCAACTGTAAGATCAATATGTACAGCTGGCTCTCCAGCTGGACCTGTTAGTCTTTTTAAAATCAAAGAAGCAATTTGCGGTTGTTTACTCTGATGAAGAAAATGATTTGCCTGAAGATATAAAAAAATTGGAAAAATAATTCAAATACAAAAAAATATCTTAGCTTACAAGAAAACCATGTAGATCATCTGGTTTTTCATCAATAAGAAGATTGAGAACATCTTCAAGTTCTGATACGATAGAAGAAGATTCAAGAAAAGTTCGAGCTTTTGTACGTGGATCGTCAAACATCCTTTTTGTTCTTTAGATAGGTGTATGCTATTTCAAAATTCTTTTCATTTACATCGAACATTACTTGGCGACGAACGTTAGAAACAAAAATTTCAATATATAGAGGACGCTGGATACTATTGAAATATTCTAAAATAAACATAATGAGTACTTTTTTTCAATATATACTAATAGAATTGAATGATTAAAAAAATAAGATGAAACATCCGGTAGTTTAGTTTTCATTTTAAGTGTATCACATATTAAATCAAATAATAGACAAAATTTGCGTAATATTATTAGATTTAACAACTTAGTGTAAAGGGCAAAATACATTTGATAGAATACAAACAAGGATTATAATCATATTTAGTAGTAATTTATATGTCATTATACTCGTTCAAAAAATGATCTGATGTACGTCAAAATCACATATAGTAAAAACAAGCGGATCAGATACAGTTTGTTAAAGAAAATAATCGATAGAAATCTATGATTTTTTATATCATATATTATTATCAGTTATACTGTCATATAACAACACATCTCGCAAATATTCTTATCAACACATATTAAGAAACGCATGATATTTGTAATGTTGTGTTTTATTAAGACGAACTGAATGTACAAGAATAATAAGCTATGGGTGCACACAGAAAACAAATTTTCAGCATCCAGTAGATGAAGTGTTTGCTGTCGTATATATAAAAAGAATTTTTATTTGAGAAGAATGAAAGGTTCTGTATATTTCAGGTGTATAATCGAGACAGCATGCACTCATTTACATTCTTACAGTTACATAGTAAATATAAAAATAAAAATAAATGTCCGTTAAGCAGTGACGTATTACGAAAGAAATCTCCGATTATTCATCATCGCAAACTTGTAACTTGGATACATTGACGAACACTGAAGCTATTTTAATTTGGCTTGATGCATCCATTACTAAAGAAGATCCAACTGATCAATATTCTATCAAACAACTTCATCTAAGTATTAATTCATTAGGGTGTGGGTGGGTGTGGGTGTGGGTGTGGGTGTGAAGGGTGTATATGTGGAGGTGGAGGTGCGCGTTGAGCTTGTTCGTCATATACTTTAACACCCACACCCTCATTCTGTTGGAAAATCAACAAGAAAATTCCCAACAAAAAAACTTGTCGTAAACACGTAAGAATTTGGACAATTGTAGACATTCGACAACGTTGTCCAAATTCTACTACAATTTGGACATTGTCAAAATTTAGATGGCGAAATTCTTTATCTCGAAATTTCATAGAATCGATAATTATCAATGGAATTATTTTTTTGTTACCAGATTTTTTATTAATATTGTTATTGCTTTCACTGTATTTATCTTTTTTATCTCTAATCATACTCATTTATTATTTTTATGTTTATTTTTATATTAAATTTATTTAACAAACAAATTATAATGCCATATTAGATTCACATATATAAAAACAAGTTAGTTTATTCCAAGTATAAACAATAATTTTATCGATCTTACATGAGTAATCATTTGATGACTATTGCTGCCATGTCTTGATATTCAATAAAATACGATCTTTGGAAAAGGTATCTTTCTTGAAGAAGAAAAAGAGAGAAACAACAGATAGAGAGAACGAAAGATGAAAAGATATATGAAGATATATATACATAACAAATATACATAACGATAGCTATACATGTGGTTGCATCGGATAAAACCATAACAGGAAGGAAAAAAATCATGACACACCCATCCACACCCCTCAAGATATCGACAATTACATTATCATACTCTGTCATATGAGATGGTTTATTCCACTATCTCACAAATATAATTAAGAGCAAGAGAAAAGAAATAGTTACATTGTTCGTTTTTCTTTCTCTGCAATTCACTAACGAAGGTACCCGATATTGGTCCAGAACCTTTCAGATCGAAGAGGTATGTTTAGATTTTCACTCAGAGCAAATTTCAAAATTTTCAATTCCTCATCAACCACAAATTATACTAAAAGCACGTCCGCTTATCGAAAATATCTCAGAAACTTTTAGATAATTTCAGATACATAATGTGTAATGCCATGCATACATGATATAATCATAAGGTGGGAAGTAAGAAGAAAATATAGAAATTACAAAGGGATTCCAACTCAATTTCTAATATATAGTATGATTCATTATTTCTTGACTAATATTTGAAATTTCTTTTTTCTTCTACCCTTCATATATATTCGATGTATATATCGTGCCGAAGTTACACTCTGTGCCGAGGTTATAACTTCGGCACGACATATATATAGATACAGATTTTGTCAATACTAATATACATTAAAAACTAATTTAGACTAATTTCACGCGTAGAATGAGCCAACAAGAAATGAACGAAGACGATCCAACAGAAATGACTCGATGTGTACTTCATACGTGGGGTTGTAAACATTCGGTATACTTATTAAATTCCATCATTTGATATCAGACATATTTCTTTTTAGATTCCAAGGAATTCACTAATTGAGCATTATACACGCGAAGTACATATAAAAAGTATTATTAATTTTTTCTACTCGCTAAAACTGAATCATGAAACAGCTCTGATAGATCTTGCAATAAATCCACTTCAAATTAATGAGCTTGTACCTTCAGAAAATGCATTATTAAATAATTATCCTCGATGTATGAAACGATTAACAGATCACATTGTTGAAAATTTTGAATTAACAGAATCGGATAATGCTACTACAGTAAATGGTTCACTAACTATAAATTCAAGTAAGATCTAATAATGCTTTCATGTTCTCCTAACTATATTTACATTATAATATCAGATATGATTAATATATTTTTAAAAAAAGTAATTCTAGATACGGACAGAAATTCAGATTGTAACTTCAAGCGTCAATCACTTTTAACTCAGTCTGAATTAAATGAAAAGAAGACAAATGATGATCTAAGTTTAACCGATTCATCAGAGGAAAATGAAGATGTATCAAATTACACAGAAAGTCAACAAGAAGAAAATTCATTATCTGCTGATGGAAATACGGTAATGATTACTTTAATATATATTGTTTTATAAAAATATACTAATTTTAGAATGTTCAACATTCTTGGAATCCATATACTCTCCTTCAAACTCAATTAAATGAGATGCCTATTTCAACAGATGGTAATCTTGTATGGCGTATTGATGGAATTTCAAAAAAAATAGATGATGCAATTTGTGGAAAGCAACCGTATATTGATTCTCCATACTTTCAAACATGTGCGGATCGTGGTCATCGACTACGATGTCGGGTTTATTTAAATGGAGAAACGAATCTAAAGTCTATATCATTAAAGATCCATCTGAATTTTCCAATTTTTAATCCTTTTTGCGGTATTATTAAATTTATTTTAGTTGATCGAAGTAAAAATCGTCGATTACAACATATTATTAAAAGCTGCACTGTTAATGAAGATACTGTTAATACAGGTGTTGGCTTTGACAATTTTATTGATAAAAATGTACTTCACGGAGCATCAAGTCAATATATACATGACGATTCAGTTTGCTTCTTGATACGTATAGAGCAAACAAATGAACAAAAATTTGCTAATCTTAATGAAAATATTAAAGATGCATTACTTCAAAGTTTTGGAGCCACTTAGTATTTTACTATAACTCTCAATTGTAACTTTTATGTAATCAAGGTATTATTTTATTTTTATTTTTATTCATGCGTATATAATATTCCATTAAGTTTATCTAATTCTGAACTATGTTAATACTTCTATAATGAATCTACATAATATATAATGGTTCTATTTGTTTTTATTTAAAATAAAAGTGTTTATAATGAGGTTAAACCTTCATTATGTAATAAAATAAACTTGTCAATTCAGTCCCTTTGAGTGTAAAATGCGCAATTCACACATTCACTATGATTACTAAGAAAACGTAATCATTGAACTTTGATCACGACTTCTGATTATTGTTAGATCTGCTCTTGAGGGTTGAGCCCGATTTCTAAAGTTTGAAGGCTGGGGAAGATGTTCTACTACAAACAGTGAAACAAAATTGATTTGATTTAAATTATCTATACTCAGTATCAAAAGATAATTGTTGAATTAAAGAGTTGATCTAGAACTTCTCTCTCACTATACATGTAATTATCAATATGTCGAGTACCGAAGATGGCGGCTTAGTATTAACTGTGGCATTAAATGCAAAAAAACTATAATGTATCTTTTAATCGGTAAACATTGTTGGCATCAATAAAAGTAATTAAATTATAATCAAACTGTCGAGAACATTCTTGTTCATTATTTATATAGAAAATAACAAAATCGTATTCAAATAATGATTAATTTAACAAAGTTTTCTTTGAATTTGTTATATATATATAATAGTCTGATACAATATTTATTCATTCATTTTCGGAATAAAAATATGTCTTGTTATAGATAATTCAATTTAACCGAAGACAATGAAAATATATTTCTAAAAAACATTCTCACTGTCATTTTTAATTATTATTATTATTATTATTATTATTATTTTTTGTTTCAACGATAATAAAAAATAAAAATATTTTAGATGTCAATAAATACATAATTACAAATCTTGTAACATAGCCATACGTTTAGAAGCCGTACCCGAACTTGCTTTTTGTATAGTGGAATATTTATTATCTCCAACAGCTAAATTTTGTTCATAATCCATATCTAATTGTGTTTTTTGTCCTTCAATTGTTTTTGATTGAATTACATTTTTTAAATCTTGTAATTGTAAAGCTAATTGTGCTTGTTTACTTTGTTTTTCAATTAAATAAGCTCTTTAAACAAAAATAATATATTTAATAATGCAATCTTCTTTGTTTTTTTAAACTAACCGTTCATCATTTGGATTTGGCTCTTGAACTCTATGCATTGGACGATACTTCAAAAGAAAAACAAAGTTTATATGAATTTTACGAAGAAGAAATAAATTTTACAGGTGGTGGTGATATTGTTCTTGGTGATGATTGTGCGAGATTATGTTGTGCATGTTGTGCAGCAGTTGAAACAGCAATTGATTGATTCAATTGTGTAATAGAAAGTAATTTTTCTCTTGCAGCTGCTTCAGCTACACGCCATTTTGCAACTTCTAATTTTAATTCTTCTGCTTCGTTTCGACTATAAAAAAATATTTGAAATTAAAAGATGAAATATAAGATTTTTTTGTTATTTATATTAGTTCCCATTTTCCTTTTTGTTAACGAACTAACCGTTGTTCAATAGTAGATGAAAGAAAAGAACTTTCGCCAGAACGACAAGAATAATAAGCAGCACTACTGCTCAGGTTAAAACAAAAACAGATTCAGAAAAATAGACTTACTTTTTTACTGAATCATTTACTAATGTAGAAATAATTTGTTCACATTCACTAATTTGTCGAGCATAAAGTCGTTTTTCTTCTTCATTCTATTTGATGAAAAAAATTATTTTCAATAGTAAAATAATTAAGAAAAACTTACTCGATTCATTTCATATTTACATCGTTCAAGTTGAGTTTCAATTTCTATTGCTTTTTCAGCTTGTAATCGAGCTTCTTCACTACTTATATGTGCTTTACGTGCTAATAATTCAGCAGCTTCTTGATATTTAAGCTAACAAAAAATAAATATAATTTTAATAAGAAAAATTAATCAATTATATTAACAAACCAACGTATCATGAATTTCTTTCATTTGCTGTTGATATTCAATAAATTTACGTTCAATTTCATCGCGTTCTTTTTCAGCTTGTAAACGTAATTGGCGTTCTCGCGCAAATATACGAAGTTTTTCCTAAATAAATACAAAAATAAAATCCCGCTGTGCAAATTAATCTTTATTATATGGAATTTTCGTATAATGTATTTTCTGTTCGAATGAAAAAGGGGTAGTATCTAAAAACCAGGACAATCAATATCCTTATTTTATTTCGAATATAATTATTTATATGATATCTATATTTATTGAAAAATGAATAGATAGTCTATATCAGTGGCGGATCTAGGAAGGGGAGGGGCGATTTTGGCTAAAAGCTATTTTTTCGTTCATTTTTGCTGCAAAAAAAAATTCAGAAGGGTGGGAGCGACCCCCTCCCCTCCTAAATCCGCCACTGGTCTATATATACTCTTATGCCATGGTACAATATGTTCGAAAAGCTAATATTTATTTGAGGAATTTTATATTCTTGAGAATGTGGTTATGGGCAACCGTGGCGGTCTGAATCGTAGGAGAGGCCGTGATTATAGGCGTGAGTAAATATTTTCGTTGGCTAGAATGTAAATGTTTGTCTTTTTTTCAAATATCCACACCCATACCTATGGCAATCTACATTCACTCCTTCAAAGTAAATAAAAGATTGCCTATTCTGTATAATTATCGCTCAGTTAAAAATATAAGTCGATTCGAAATAAAATGCAATTATCTATTATTAAATAGACTGCTACAATATTTCATACTGCTTACCAATTGGCAAATGCACTGTTGTGACCTTTGCAAAAAAAATTAGTTTAAAAAATTGGAAAAAAATTTAATGCATTTTGGAATTTTATGTTAGCATTGTAAATAAATGAAACCATTTGAAGGCTTTCTTTTTCTTTCTTTAAACATAATTGGCATTGACATTCCGATAGATTTTGATTAATAAATAACAACAACAAAACTCTTATAAGGCTTCTGTAGTCAGATTTTAATAAGAAAATAACTCTATCGATAGAGAAAAAAATTTTTTTCGAAAATAAACTCAATTCATAATTAAACATACTTTTTTTTGTTGTTCTTCGAAATATCTCATCTGTTGTATTTCAATCGATTCTTCACGTCGACGTCTCATATATAATTCATGGTTACCAGTTGCTAAATCAAGTATCTAAATAAATAAAATACTTAAATTAGCAAAACTAGATAAAAAAACAAAGAAATTTTTATCTATTGGTAATTTACCTCTTTGCTCACAGAAGATTTCGCAGAATAAAATGCAAATGTTGCATGTTTATCACCAGCCATATTTAGTATAACCTTTTTATCATGAGCTGTAACAGATTTAATATCACACCAAGAAAAGAAAACTTCTGGTCTTAATTTATTTTTTTTATAAAAACGAATTCCTAATGAATCAATACCAAGCCAAAGTTCAGCAGCAATTGATGGTTGATCTGACTGTTGTTGTGATAATGTATTCGATTTATTTCCACCTTGCATTTTTGATATTTCAAAAAATGATAAACCAAACATATCTAAATCTTGTGCATGTTTCAAATAAGCCATTTCGGATTCATCTCGTGTTAATGATGCATGTGTACGCCATAGAGCAATTATACGATCGAACCAATCTGTACGTGATAATTCAATTTTTTGAAAACAAGATAATGGTAATAAAGCTTCACTTTCTAAATTAAATGGTTCAGATGATGAAATAATTTGATCATAATCAGAAAACTAGCAAAAGAAAAAAGAATATTTTTTTGATTATTATTATTAATTCAAATTACTTTAGCTTGAAGTGCAAGTGATGCCAGATGAGCAGCCGTATCGGGTGGACAATAAATATCCATATTAAGAATATCTTGTTTAACTTGAAGATAAAAAAGATGTCGAGTTATATCTTGTATAAGTTCATTAGTTATATCCTCAGGATAAAACTTCACAACAAAATATAATTCTAAAGTGCCTTTTGGATATTGTTGACCACCACTAGAAAGTGATGATGGAAGACTTAATGTTGAATTTGATGCAGATGTTGGAGGAGACCGAAGAAGATGAGGTTTAAAATTATCTGATGTATTAGGTGAATCAGGTCGTTTAGATAAAATTGTATTCGATAAAATATGTAATGGTTGAGAAAGTATCTAAAAGAAATTAATTGATTGATTTTATTATAGACAAATTAAAATTTTATATAACATACTGTTTTGTTCATTTGTAACCATGTCCATTCATTAGTAATTTTATCAAGAAATTTCAGACCAAAATACCAATGCTCTCTTAGACCAATTGTTTGACAAACAAGTGAAAATAATGTATGACCTTTTGCTGTTGCCTAAATAATAAGTAAATATATTATAATAATCAAATAAAACAAAAATTACTCACCTCAACAGTAAACTGCAATTCAGCATCCATAGTAAATATTTTACAACAATATTCATCAGATTTTTTCTTACTACTAAAAACAGGCATTGTTAAAAAGAACTACAAAGCACCTGTTATTACTACAGCTAATGTTTAACAAAGACGTCGAAATAAATTCGTTTTCGTTTTCGTTTTCAAAAACGAAATTTTTATTTTCGATAAAAAAATGAATTCAAATACGAGAAGGGTGTGCGTGTGAATGCGAAAAGTAAAGTGCATCCTCATTCACAGCCACCCACACCCGCACCCATACCCTCACCCACCCACATCCTCACCCACTTTCGCCCGCACCCATACCCTCACCCACCCACGTCCACAACCTCACTCACCGTCACCCACACCCACCCACCCACCCACACCACACCACACCCACACCACACCCACACTTTTCATTTCATTTTTCGTACAATCTATAGTTTATCGAAATCTGTCATTGATAAAGACATTCGTTTATGAATATACCCATAGTCTATCTAAAAAAGAAACGAATAATAAAAAAATCAACTCACATCTATATATTCAAGGTATTCTTTCTTGTTGATACTCGTTTTTTTTTCTTTTATCTTTTATGTTAATTATACCTGAATAATAATTAATCGTTTGATTTAATAATATACTTTACAAGAGTCTTCAATTACAATTTTTCGTATATTTTATAACTATATATATATTTCGTTCTTGTTTTTTCTTTTTTTTTTTCATTGCCGAAAAACAGCAGTGACAGAGACGCGTGTTTGACATTATCGAGACAAGAAATATATATATATATAAGAGGAATAGAACCAATCATTCTTTTTTTCTTCGTGTTTTTTTTCTGCTACGCAAGAAACCACATGCCATGCATACCTTTGTTCCTTATTTCTTTTTTTCTTTTCTCTTTATTTTCTTATGTCTCTTATAGTTAAGAATAGACTTGTCGTACATTAACATTGATACGCTTATCATGAATATAGCTCCAACAAACTTCATCATTATCATCAATATTTTTATATAAAATATCATTTAATAATGGATCAGAAAGTATACGAGGAACTGCATGAAAACAAAGACGACTTGATCCTGTCATAAGTATAATATCACCCGAACGTAGTAGTATTGGTGATGGTTTACATTCTGTTTTTGTTTGACCACCAATAAGAAATACAGCTGCATTACCAAATGATAATGATATAAGAGGTTTAGTTAATGCATCATATTCTGAATGATCTGTATGTGCACATAATGTTGAATTCATATGATAATAATTAACAATAGCTGCTTCAGCATTCATCATTGAACAACCTAATAAAATTGATTTTAATTTATAGAAAGATAAATATAAAATATTTCTTTTATACCTGTACTAGAAGATATAACTTGCATAATTATTTTACATAATTGTGCAAGTTCATCAGGCATTTTTGTATGATCATCTTGTTTATATATTTTATTTGTCCAATCATAATGATAACCAAGTGTAGCCCAACGTATACGAGATAAATTTTCATTATTACTATTATCACCAACACTAGTTTTAGTTTGTCTAGCATAAATATTTATACATCGATCAATCCATTGACGTTGTCCAGTAGATGTAAATGGATTAGAAAGAAAATAAAGACCATCACAAAATTTACATGAATAAAGAGACCAATTTGAAATCGGTTGTAATCCTAAAGATGGATCTAAATCTATTGAAATTGTTATCGGACACTGTTGAAAAACTGTTGGATGATTCACTATTGAATATGCTTCAGTATAACATTCAGTATCAGAAAGACGACGAAAATGTTTGTATACAGATGTAAAAAGATCAGGATTTTCGGATGTTGTTGCACTCATTATGACTTTTATATTAACTTCCTATACATTTCTTGTACGATGTTTTTTGCAAATAAAATACTTTAGGTTGCTATATGGATTTTATGATTCATCAAATGCTTGATTGGTTCAACAGAATGAACAAATTAGAGTTCGATCGACTATAGTACGAAGCTATATGAAAATAATAGATGAAAAATAGTTGAAGAGAATTATTATAAAATAAGTATTTGAAAATAATTGTTCCTTTCAATCAAGACATGTCTGCCCTCTATTGATTTGACAAAAAAAATGTACTATTTATACGAAATTGTTCTATTAAATATGCACTTGAAACGGATTTATAAGAACAAAGTTTTGATTTTAGAATGTGTTTCTTATTATTCTTACTCTAACTGATGCATTATGAACAAGTTTGGGATTATAGAGTGAAATCTAAATTATTCAAAGATCATTTCATGATTTAATCAATTGATTGCGTGTTTCATTAGTTTTAAGAAAATTATTTATCAAAAAAAACCTCAAGGTTTTTCCAGGTTCATATATCGTTCTCTATTTTCGTTATCTTCTAATAAACATTCATCAAATATTAATATATAAACAACCTGAGTAAACCCTAGATCATGAATTAAACTAGCCATACAAAATCTCGATTTAATTTATTCAACAGCATTGAAATATGCAAATAATACACTATCTACTGCAAGTCAATTATGTCGAATTCATTCAGTGGTATAAAATAAAGAATGATCATTCACCTCAAATAACTTTTGCCCTTAGTACTAAATTATTAAAAAAATACTGAACACTTAGGTCGCTTCGAGGATGTTTAGGATATCAGAATATTCTCTAGAATATACTAATAAGATATAAATATCTAGATTATGTGCTAATTATTCGAATGTAGTCTCTTTTATTTAATTTTTGAAATATTATCCGTTTCTATATATGTTCTAACACAGTATAACTCTTGATCTTTCTCTCACATTCTCATGCTATCTACTTCCTCCTTAGAAAAATATTGTCGGCAATTGTTCAACTTGTTTTAAGAAGAAGAAGAAGCAAAAGTATTATATTAATATATGTAATTTCTTTAAAAAATAAGACAGCGGAACCGGAACAGACTTTAATTCAAAGAGATTGTATGTATACGTTTTAAACAAGTGTATCGTCGGTTATATTCCAATTGAATATATTGGAATCGAAAAAAAGTGACGATACTTCTTTTTTTTTGTGTGTCTCTCTCACCAGATTATGAATAACAGAAAAATATCACATATGAATGTCAATTTTTTGTTTGATTTATACGCGCGAGAGATCATCACCATATGTCGATAGAAGTAGACAAGCGACACAGTGATTGAGATGCAAATATAATATGGATGCGCTTGCATCAATATATACACCATAGGGACATTGTGCACGAAGTAACATTTTCATTATAGACTCATCGTAAGACAACACTCACAAGAGAGAGAGACAGTGAAAAAAAAGTGTATGCAGCTGATTCAACCATCTGGTCTCCCATTTGATTAGCTTTACTTACTCTAAATCCCTTTCTCTCTACCGTCAGATCATAGTAAAGCGGCAATCGTTGAATCCTTCCTTTCTTAATGATCTGTTGACTTTCTTTTCTTGTCACTTGTCTATCAACATGATCGAGGTGAGTATTGTAAATTCATAGATTGTATGTTAGATTTTTTTATTTTGCTGACAATATCACACAAAATAGAGAGAAAAAAGAAGAAGAAAGAAAGAAACACTGTGTAAAGTGTGTAACAAGTGAAAAAAAACTCGAAAAAAAAATGTTACAAATGTGTTGAATAATGATAATCATAATAGTCTCCTCGCGTATCTGTCGGCGTCGATGGTGAACTTGGACTTTTTATATTATGATGTTGAGAATGATGATGATGATGATTATTATTGGATGCTGATGCTGAACCATTTCCTAATGGTGGTGTAACACGTTTTTCTTTTTGTCTTCGATTACAAAACCATACTCGAACAACTTCTTTTTCTAATTGTAATTGATCAGCTAATTGTGTTATATCTTGTGCAACTGGTTTGGGATTACGAGCAAAACCTAATTCAAGTGCTTGTTTTATACTAACTTCAATTGATGTACGTTTTTTACGTTTTCGTCCACTTGCAGCTATTTTTTCCATTGAATTTGTTGTACCTGTTTGTGATTCTGAATCTTCTAACCATTTAGCTAATAATGGACGTAGTTTACACATATTTTTAAAACTTAATTGTAACGCTTCAAAACGACATATTGTTGTTTGACTAAAAACATTTCCATAAAGATTTCCAAGTGCAAGACCAACATCAGCTTGTGTATAACCAAGTTTAATACGACGTTGTTTAAATTGTTTCGAAAAACGATTTAAATCATTATTATCAATATGTAATTGTTGTTCATCATCATCATTATCATTATTTGTACGTAATTGTAAAAGATTTAAATCATTATCATCAAGTAAACCTTGATTTGATGATGTTGCTGGTTGATTTGAATGAAAATTATGTTCATGATCTAATGATGGAAGAAATTGATGATTTGTCATATAATTTGGATGATGATGATAGGTGGATGGTTGATAATAATTTGATGAATTTGAATTCCAATAATCTTCAATAGATTTATGTGGATGATGTTGCATAATAACAGGCCATGCTGTCGCAACATTATTTGTTGGACTTGGTGGTGATGGTGAAACACTTTTTGTATTTGAAAATAAATATGGATTTGGTGGTTTAATATCTGTATGTTGTAGTATTAAATCATTTGTATTATTTGATGAAGAATCTGATGATGCTGGTGGTGGAGGTGGATAAAAGAATGTATTTGATGTTTCAAGATGATGTTGATGATGAAATGGATGAATATGATGATGAGTATGTATATGATGATGATGTAGTGCATAAGCAGCAGCAACTGATGATGGTGATGTTGACATGATTTAATAGGAAATATTAACAAGATAAAAACTATAATAAAAAAAAAAATAATTTCGTTTTTATGTTTTCTTTCTCTAATTAGTTCTTTTATGGATGAAGAATTTTAATAGATGTATATATTTATAACTCACCATGATTCTATCAATTGAATTAATAATCAGATTTCAATTAGCACAAACTGAAATCAGTGCTTGAAACAAAAAAGAAAAAGAATAACACGAGTATGAATGGTTGTATTATTTGAATATCAATATGAGGGTCAGTAGCACTGCTGTTTCGCGTGGATAATAATAATCAGTTTTTAATGCAAATGAAATTCAGATTTGCCGCCGTCCGATGCTTCTTCTGTCAAGGAGTCTTTTTTCTCTCTCTTTCGCTTCCCTGCTTCTCGTTTTTTTTCTTCTTCTTCTTCTTCTATGTGTGCCCGATGATGACAAGATAGATTCTTTTTTCTCTATATATGCATACAAAACACAACAAGTGAAGAGAAAAGAAAAGAATCCGGTTGGTTGATTGAAGAAGTGGGAACTTGAAATTTTTCTATTGGATAGAATAATCGGATTTTTTTTCTCTTCTTTGCTTGCTTTTCGTCGTTACCATTGCGTGATTGATGAATCTAATCGTATGTGTGTACACAAGACATTTCCTGTGTCGCACAACTATCGAACGATCGATCGATTGAAAAGACAAAAAAAGAAAAAAAGAAAAAGAAAGAAAAAACTATAGTTAAATACAAACATATAGCAGATGGTCATATCAGCTGGAGATCGAACAATTCTAATTAGACAAGTCTAGATATATACAACTAATAGAATTAAATTAGCTTGGTTTTTTTTCCTCTTCTGCATAGCTAGTCAAGATCAGAGATACGGGAAATTAAACTAATCGAGTTGTTCTTTGTGTCATCATTTGATACAGTTGTTAAGGATAACATTCAAATACAGATGATCAATGATTTCGTCTAGGAATTTATTCATTTATTATCTGTACAATTATACATATTAGTAGTTAAACTTCGATGTAATGTTACGAATGATCGAAGACACTTGAAATATCAATCTTTTTATTGTAAAAACCATTGCACATTTCTCCATCTATCAACTAAAATCTCTATTCTTACATTTATATACTTCACACATAAATCATGAGAATTGATTTTGAGTATACAATATGTGAATGTAGCTTAATTACAAATCTTCTCTTATCGAAAAATAATCCTTTTGCACCTTGATAAATACGTATATATACACGACCTTTCCACACTTATATTTCGTTTCTAATGATGGATTTATATTAGATTTCTTTCCAATCTATATATATATATATATAAATTTTCACTGGTTTCTATGTTTAACGCGGCTTCTTTTCTATTGTTTAGATTTGTTTCTGTAGACACCTTGAAAATAAAATAAGAAAAAGAGAAGAAAAGCATCACGCACATCCACTCGAATAATCAACATTTGGCACTTGCCCACCTTTAAACAAATAGGGATGAATGAAACATAACAATACACAAATGTGTGCGCGTGCCAAGTCACAAGAGACTATTGTTACGACGAAAAAATTGTCACTCGTGAATTTTTAATTCAATATTGAGCAAATAAAATTCGAATTCTTATTTTCTTTACAGACAAACAAGTGCGTGATCATCCAGTTATCTACTGTCTTCTGTTTTTTTTTGCATATATGCAAATCTTCATTGCTTCCTGCTTGATGACAGTATGTCTCATTGAAATAAGAAAAAGAAAAAGTTTCATTCTACACAATATTGCTAATGTTATTCTACACACTTGGCGTATCCATATAACGTTTGATCATATTTTTATTTTTTCTAGTCTTCAAACAAGCGGCATCGATCGTATTTCTATTAGATACGTATATACACTATTTCTCTTTATGGCTTGCGCACATCTTGTTGACATTTCTAAGTTTAAATTTAGTGAAGCGAACTCTAATCGAATTATAGACACACATTGAATATCTACATCAACATATATATGAGAAAAGAAAGAAGAAAAAAACGTATATGCCAATACTACACTTCTCATTCGGGGCTTTCGTTTTTTTTTTTTATTAAAAAAAACTGACAAATTTTTTTTGTTTTCAATGAAATTTAATAAACTATTTTATGAAGCATGCATTTCGATTGGTTCCTTTGATTTTTTTTATTTACTGATGTGCTCATGTTGAAAAAGAAGGAAAAAAAAGCTGCATGCCAATGAGTACCGATCGGATTTCGTTTCGTCTTGAGATGATCATGACAGTAAGACGAAGAGTAAAGTCAAGCATATACGTATATATATATATATATAAATAAGCTGCCGACAATATCAACGAAGCATGTGTTGATGAACATAAAGAAAAGAGAAAAAAAAATACAAGACAAGACTATCAATCATTTTCTAGAAGAGCAGATGAGTCCAATCAAGAGACCGGATGGAAAGAGGAGGAGTAGATAGATAAAAACGTGACATACATACATATATATAAATGACTTTATCGAAATAAGTCTAGGGTTTTTTTAATTGAATAGATATGTGTGAGGAAGATATTAAATTTTCTTTTCTTCCATTCTAAGTAATTGATGTATATATATTACATGAAATTTGTTGTTTAAATGCATTTCAAGTTAAGTAATATGAGAGATTTATTTACTTGATATAATATATAAAAAGAAAGAGAGCGTTCGAAAATAAGATGATCAATTGTTTGTTGTTCATCTTGATGTCATGTTAAAACGTCTAACAATTCAGATTGGACTATGAGAATATAATCGAGCAATTATAGTGCGAGATAAGGCCAATCAATTTATTTGTTTTTAGATCATCTCGATGATTGGAGGTTGTGTCTAGTATAAATCTTATTTCGTTAACTTACTCTTTCAAATGAGATATCTACCTAAAACTTTGAACTGTAATATTTAACGATATAAATAAATGAAAGTTTTACAGAGTGAAGGAATATTGTCATCAGTTGTGCCCATAAAAACTCTATTTCAAATCTTTTGCACCTCTTCAAGTTCATTCACAGAAAAGCTATTTATGATACTTTATTCTTGGTAATATTTAATTAAATTAGAATAACCCTTTGGTAAGTCACATAATCTTCGAATAGATCGTATGTTTTCTTAAACAATACTCTATTGAAAATAGACAACTATGATGTTTAATTACATTTAACTTTTCTTGATCTCTACCATCTGACATTATAAATACATTTTTTTAATCTTATTAGCTTACATGATGACAACTAATCAAGCAATAAGAAAATAAAAAAAAAGAAGAATTCTCTTCTTTGCCATCTATAATACTAAAGCAATAGATCAATTTCAATTGATGGCATTATTATTTTTTTGTTTTACACACGCACGAGTTGTTCCGCCATTTGAATATATATATATATATGTGTATAGATATGCGTGTGTGTGCGTGGTAGTGAACACGAACTATTAATATAAGTGGCAAGTGGTTGTCAATACTAATGGAATGAAACCCATTTACTAGTCATTCATTTGCACATAGCATCGTCATTTATAAGTTGTGTCAAATTACTCACTTCGAACTGTCATCGTCATTATTGCTAATCGATAGAGGTCACCACCGCACGATGAGTCGTCAATATATTATAAAGCCGTTGTTACATTTTGTAGATGTACTTCTAAAATGAATATATAAAAATGATTTATTTTCTGTATAGCAAAATTCAAGTGAGAAAGAAACGCGATTTTTTCTCCAAAAAAGATTCCGATCGGCAAGTTTATTATGATTTATATTCTTTATTTTAAGGTAAAAATCAACTTTTGCTAAGTGTGTTACATCATCGAGTAACTATTAGTTCGTATGATATAAAATTTTATAAGTTAAAAACAGAAAAACCTTCTATGGACAATTTGATCAAATTTTTAAATCATCTTGTATCGTTCCTTATTGATTCTATTTCTTCTCCGATCTATTCAAAAGATGTTACCGGAAACGTTCAAATACAATCCATATGTATGTTACATAGAATCACTTTTATTTCCTTCCGGTTACGATATAATCATAGCAATAAATAATACTTAAAAGAATTGAAATATATTGTCGTGTTTTTCAAAAGATTCACTCCGTAAAAACCATGAATTTACAATACTAAAATTAACATCATTGATAAAAATATTAAGAAATGATTCTATCAAAGACAAGCTTAGACTAAAATCTTAAAAGAATATACGAGATTTTCATTTTATCCGTCTAATAAATAAACTTGAATCATCTATTAAGTAACAGGTTAGATCTAGCCGAATTTACTATCATTAACAACATAATTGATGTTATATTAATCATGCAAAAAACTTATATATCACAATTTGATAGATTGCTTTATATTTTCTAAAGGAATATCATAGAACATTCATTCATAGCGATCGATGAAAAACTTCTGAACATTTATTATAGATCCTATTATGTAACAAAATATCTCTTCAGTCAAATTCAATGATACAGACTTCTCACATTGTAATACATCGACATACTTAGTATAATATTAGTCTTAAATATCTTACCTCAAATACATACGATTCGAGAGAAACTGATGATGAATAAAAGAATGCCATTCTTATTCCTCTTCATCTTTCGTATTGCTTTTGTTGAGAAAACTCGAGAAAGTGACGACGAAAAGAGAAGAGGGAGAGTGAGAGAGAGATGCAAAGAGAAGAATTATCATAAACTGAATGCAATAAAATGAATATACATACTATTTGCATACATAACGGGGCGCGCGGACACGAGCTCCTGTTCGCCTCTCAACGATGAGTAGATGCGAGCATGTTACGTTCACGGCGAGAGAAAAAGAAAAAAAAGAACTTTGGAGATTGTGGCTAATGAGATCAAACTCGAATTTGAATATATATATATTCATTCTCTTCTTATTTCATTACCTACACTAATGTACTATACATATATGATAGAAAATAATTTACGATATTTTTGTCAGAAATAATATTTACTCTTTTTTTATTTTCTTCAAAATTTAATAACAAAAGAAAATGCTTACCCATATCCGTTGTTTGTAATCGTTGCTAGTGTCGAGTCATATAAATATGTAGCTTTCTCGTCTCGTCTCGTCTCGTCTCTTTTCCTTTTTTTTCTAATTGATTATGCATACACTACCATTTCTTCTACTGTTGCCGTCATCATCACATTATATGACCTCGTACTGATTTTTTATTCATGTAAATTTTTTTCTCGCTCGCTTCATTTATGTACAACATATATATATATATATATTATATGTTGATTTGATCGTCATCATCAATGAAATGATATACTGTATTATTATTATGGCGCTTATCACATCTAGATTTCATATATTGAATGAATAAGTATTCAAAAATGAATATTTACTCGAAAAGAAACAGAAAGAGAGAGAGAATGAAGAGAGATTAGAATAATTATTTTTGAAATAAATATGAATAATCCTTCTCTTGAATGTTAATTTCAAAAACAGAATATTAAAATGCATCAAATTAAATTCGATCTTTTTTTTTATTAGTATTACACAATCGATTGTCTAAGTAAAAACGTCAGTTTTTGTTGAAATATAAGGCATGAAGTGATAGTGCACAAAAAACAAAAGTCATTCATTCATTCGATTTTTATTAAAATCTAGATCGATCACACTTATTTCATATAAGTAAATAAAAAGAAAAGGTATGTATAATATTGATTTATATTATAATTTAAAATCAATATGGAAATTTTAGCTTATTTCTCTACTCTATTATTTTTTTGTTTTAGTCACTGCAAAAATACAATGTGATCGCTTATTATTTTATTTTATAGTATAAGCATACGATCTCCAAATATCAATATTTTAACAATCCCATTGATTTCATCATGAAACAAAAATGGCGCTTTTAATATAATGAATCGCTGCGATCGATTAGTAGCATTTACTGGTGCTTTACTTGGTATATTCGCTTTAATTTTTGCTTGTATAGCTTTATCTTCACGTAATTGGGAAATAGAAAGTAGTACCGATTATTTTCGATCATCATCAAACTACGATCAACTTTATCTATCACGTACTATCAGTTGTTTTAGTCTTATTTTTATTATTATTGGTATATGTACATCAATATTAATGATTTTAAAGTAAAATAATTCATTTTCTTATTTAAAAAAAATTAATTATCGTAGACATCTTTGGAAATACTGGAATTTATTAGCATCGGGTGCGTATCTTCTTGCATCTTTAGCTATTCTTTTAGCTATGTGTGAAGCTTCTCGATTAATACATCATAATGGTTGGCCATCATATATCTATGCCATAGCATTTAGTTTACTTTTGCTAGCTACACAAATAATGAGTGGTCTTGCTGGAAAAATTATTTTTTCTAATTGAAGAATATTTATTTATTTCATGAAAAAACATTTCTATTATTAATCAAATTCATCTTCATCTTTTGTATTGCGACATACACATACAGCCATAAGTAATGCAATTAACTAAACATAAGAAAGAAAGAATTCAAGTTAAAATATATATTATTTAATCAAGAACATTGTAAATTTATTACTTCAAATACAGCAATACCAATTCCAATAGCAACAATTAATTTCGAATAAAATTGTACATATTCATTTATTATTTGAAAACATCCTAATCGATAAGAATCAGCTTCAATACAAACACCATTTAATAATAATCGATTACAACATGATGAAGGAAGACGATTACCATATAGTTTATAATCATTATTAGCATAAAAATCGGATGGACCCTCAATACCACAACAAACAAACTAAATTAAAAATTGAATGTTGACATTATAAAATACTAATTAATATTTTATCGATAATCATTCATAAGAGATATTCAAGAATAGAAAAAGAGTTAAATATCTATGTACCTTATTTGACAAATTATATTGTGATACAGATCAAAAACGATTCGAACTTTCTATAGTTAATATTCATAGATACATGAATATTACATTATTAGACATAACTCTAGTGCAATTGCAGAGGTGCAGAATCTTCTCGTACGCCTCTGCACGGGGAGGAAAATATTTGAAAGATTGTGTTTTTTGGGGAAATTGTCGAAGTTTAACTTGGGGAATTTTTTCAAAAAAAATTTGTCGAGAGCAGAAATTTTTGATTTTTTTGAAAGATTCTGCGCAATTGACTACGAATTTTTATTGTTTTGAACTTTTTTTCTTAATCTACTCCGTCGAATGAGTCAAAACGAGGTTGAACGTCTGAGTACGTCTCTCGTAAACTGCCATTTCATAGAGAGGCTATAATGCAATTAGTAAAATTTTTTGAAACTAAAATATTCAAGTCCATATTCAGTTCAGTAGATTTTCTTGAATTTGGAATTCATAGTAATACGCAAGCAAATCTTATTTACTTGGATGTATCTCAAAAATTAGTTCTAAGTAGAAATCGTCGATTTCAAAATTAACTTAAGGGGAAACTTCTAACCTAGATAAAGTTTAACAATGAATATCTAAACAAACAGCATCATGAGATGTAACTCTATCAATACCTGCTTATGAACAGTATCCAAATCAAATTCAAATTGATGTGGTGTTGAATAATTATAGGTTTGAAGACGTCTTTTTAATGTACTCGGTAATTTTGTATCCCATTCATCACCTAATAGAACCGTATACATTGCGACAACAAGTTCTCCACCCATGACAAGTATAATAAAAAATACATACTAGTTTTAGAAAGAGAGAAAGTCAAAAAAAAGATATTTTTTTTTCAAAAATTACTTACAAGTCCAAGTAAAAGTCGAGATTCTCGTACAGAACCACAACAACCAAGTAAACCAACAATAAACACAAGTGCACCAACACCAATTAATACATAACCAACATTAAGAAATGATGGTACAAGACGTGAATCATAAGATAATAATGCAAATAATTCATGTAAATCTCGTTTATATAAAACAAGTATTCCACAACTAAGAAAAGCACCACCTGATAACTAAATTTAGAAAGAAAATAATCTATGAAGAAAAAAAAACAATTCAATATCTTACCCAAATAATTAAATTGAAGAATAGAAGAAAATATTTCGCACATAAACAGCAGGCCATTGTATTTAATCTGATTGAATTAAGCTTGAAGAAAAAAAAGTCATATACAAGAACGATGACCAATTGTCACAAATGTCAAGTGTTGATGGCGGACGGATAGGGAAGTCAAACGATGTTCTTGCACTTTTTTCGTACTGCAATTAGAACGAGTATTTTTCCTAGTGTTCGTTCACCTTGGACGACAACGTACTGGCGCACACAGATAAGAATAAGGAAGAACAACAGTGAGGGAAAGGTGAAATTCATTCCTTTTCTTCTCTTCTGTTCTCTTCTTCTCTTTATTATTTCTTCAATCTAAGCCATTGTGCACACTATGTATAGATCTTGCTGATATCGTTGACCAATTAATAAAATAGGGATTGTGATTGACATGGATTAACTGAGAAGAGAGTAAATATTCTCTAGAAAAGAAAAAGAACATTAATTTGTCATTTTCGTATTAACAAAGGAAATAATAAAATATAGAATTATAATGATTAATTAGCGATCAGATAATGATTTGATTCGATGATATATAATGAAGAAAGAAATAATCATATGAGTATGTCTGTTATTTATTAAGCTGAGCATTTTATTTTTATTTATTTAATAAAGGTCACTATGTCGGTGCATATGTGATTGTATGAAAATGTCAAGTATTGTGTTCAGTATTAACGAAAAATCAATCGACATGATTTTTATTGTTTTTCGAAATAAACAAATTCATTAATGATGTTTAAAATGATAAAATCGGATAGATAAAAAGTGTTTGAATTTATGAATTTCGATTAACACATTTGATGAAAGTACCTAATCCGACATATGTTTAGTGAAACTGATGAGATGATTTAGTTGAACATAAAATAACTTTCTTTTATTGATTGTAAGATTTATTTCACAAGGATATTTTATCGATAAGTTGTTAAAGATATTGATGTCTATAAGAATGAATCAAGGAATACAATCGATCTATTTTGATTTGTTTATTGAAATTAATGATCAAAGAATATGTTTAGTCGCGAGTGATACTGACGTAGTTGAGTATTTTCTGCTACACAGATCTAGATACTTCGGTATAATTAGAATTTGTACATACCTATCGAAAATTATCGTTCGAGTATCTCATAGAATAGTATATCAAAAACTTGTGTAGCTTCCTGTTCGATAGACTATGAAATACATTACAATCAGGAACTAAATATAGTCTAAGAATTCGTGAATGTTTTTATTCAATCTCGTAACAATATGTTAAAAATAAATGTCGTATAGCATTTATAAATATAATAAACATTAATGACTAGAAATTGAACTTTTTTGTAATCGAGTATGTTAGATTAACATGTTAGTGTTTATACTGATTCATCCTCATAAGCACACAAAGATTTTCGACTTTATTATGATGAAATACTTCGAAACTATGTTGAATCAATTCAGATCACCGAAATTATAAAACAATTTGAAATGCCATTTTCTAATCACATGTAATATCATTATTACCGTTCTTCTTTTCTTTTTTTTAGAAAATTCATTATCCATTTTAAGAGAATCCTTGTAACAAAATTTCTTCTTCAAAATACATATAAGCAACGTGCTCGGTTACTTCTCATACTTGAAACTATCAACTCATTATTTTTGTAAACATATAAAAGTACAAATTAAAAAGATATTTTCCTCATTACCAATAAATAATAGTACTTTAAATTTGAAAAAAATTATCAAAAGAAAACATATATAATTATTTACTTAGATCATGTGAGAAGAAATCATTAATACTAAAAACAATGTATCAAATTTCATATATCATATGTTTCAATAACAAAAGAAAACAATTACTAACACATGTGTTCTATGAATCACAAGTTTACATTGAATGAAGTAATCGATCGATTGAATAATTAAAATTAAGTTTTAGATATATATCATAAGTAGACTCATTTAAAGTAAACGAGATAAAACTAAAAATAATTGTCCTTCACGTATTATTAAAATTAAATTATCTATAGGAGGAATGATATGTTTTCTACTGAGTTTATATTGTCATTCATATCATACGTTGATCTTTTTTTATAGATAATTTATTAGAGATAAAGAATATTATTGTATTTCAAATTGTAACTCTGTAAATTTTGCGAGAAAGGTGTTATTTTTATTAATCTTTTAGAGTACAAATGTATAGGATACATCTGTAACCAATTTATTTGATAATAGAATGAAACAATACATATGTAATATTATTTGTGTGAAATATTTTGAAAACTAGTAACAATAATCGAATATACGAAAAGGGTTATAAACAAAAATATTATTAATAAATAATCGAGGATATAATTTATTTTATAGAGTTTTTAGTATTTTTTTTGTTCTAATTCCAAACAATATATGTTATGTTGCAGCATCAATGTAACTGAATCGTATAGCTAAAATTGGTTGTTTGGATTGATTGTATTTCTTTTGTCGTTCGTCCGCTCGGTGTCTCTCTTCTTTGCGACGATGATAATTTTTTTTTGCTTTCCATGATTCTAAGTCATGTTCACTTGGATTGATATGAAAACCATATTTTAATACATCCATAAGAATAACAAAACCAATAACTGTTGATATACAACCAATTGCTACACAAGCAAAAGAACGTGAAACGATTTCTTTTACACGTAAACTTGACGATTTTATTTGGCAATATGTACCTGAATAGAAATCAGGATTAATACATTCACATGACCAATTGCCATAGCTCGATGAACATACACCATAGTTTTGACAAGTTATGTTTGCACATATATCAACTTCATATTGACAATGGCCACCTAATTTGCCCGTGGGACATGTACAAGTAGTTTCATTTGCTGTTGAATTACATTTACCACCATTAAGACAATGTGAACATGAAGGTACATCATATTCACAATTGGTGCCCGAATAACCGGTAACACATGCACATATATAACCAAGTAAGGCACTTGCATTTGTATGGCATGTTGCAGAGTTTAAACATGGTTGAGTCATTGTACATAGATTTGAAGATATGTTACATGAAGTACCAAGACTTTGACTTGGACATGTCGGAGCAACAAATATTGATCCATTTCCATATGATACTAAATGTGATCTATATGAGAAGATATTTAATTGGAAAAAATATTACACTTATGAAGCTAAAATATTTACATAGTTGTTATATCTGTTGTCGTCGTTGCGGTTGTTGTCATTGGATTCACTGTTACCCCTACTGACGTGGTTGTTGTCATTGGTGCTCCTGTTGTTGTCGCTGGTGTTGGTGGTGCTCCTGTTGTTGTCGCTGGTGTTGGTGGTGCTCCTGTTGTTGTCGTTAGTGCTCCTGTTGTTGTCGTTATTGTTGTCGGTGCTCCTGTTGTTGTTGTTGTTGTTGTTGATACCGTTGTTGTCGTCGTTGTTGTTGATGCCGTTGTTGTCGTCGTTGTT